GCACTTTTTATACACTAAAGTAAGAACTTATAAGATTCTTAATATAGAAGGCTAGCTAGTTGCACAAGACTTTCTAGACACCCTAGCTCTAAAGCTTGCACTAGACTAGGCGCGCTTTATGCACTAGAGGGTTATAAAAGCTAGCGCACTTAGTAAGAAACTTTTAATAATCTAAAAAATTAGTAAAATTTTTTTAATAATACTTTAACAGCACTTTCTATATATAAGTAACTAAAGTATAAGTATATTTATAACACTTAGTAGATAATTAGATAATAATTTAGCCTAATTTATTTTAGCTTAATTAGGCTACTTATGCTTATATAAAGCTTTAAGGTAATTCTTTTATTTATAAAAAGTAGTAAACTGTAAAGACTTTAAGTTAGTAGTTACTAAAAAGCTAAAAACACTTAGTAAAACTGCACACTAAAAGATCTTTAAAAAGCTTAAGTAGGCGCAGTATAAAAAAGTAAAAGCTATATTACTTAAAAAAGGCTATATAATTCTAGATAAAGCTTCTCTTACTTTAAAAGCTATTAAAGAATTAAATAAGCTAGCATTTCTAAAAGGCATTATTACTGCACTTATTAACTTAGCGCTTTTAGTAAAACTAGAAATGCATATAACTATAAATTTTAACACTTACTTACTCTTTATAAGCATAATTCTAGATAATAAAAGTGCTATATACTTAGTAAATAGTATTAAGCTACTTATACCTAAGTTATTTAAAAAAGCTTAAAGTTTATATATAGTAAAAGTAAGCTATTTATTTTTAATTTAAAAAATAAAAACTAAAAAGATTAAAAAGTATTAAATAAAGTATAATAAAAAATCTTACACTAACGTACCTAACAGGTTGGCCGGCTACACGGGTTAGCCGGCTACTTTTGCCAAGCCCCTACTAAAACTACCCTATTCTAGCGCAAAATAGCCTACTTTAGCCCTGTATAAAGTAATATAACATAAGATATTATTTAGAGTCTACTTCTGCTACTTTTTTACATATATGTAAGTTATGTCTAGTCTAATTACACTACCTACATTACTTTTAACTTAGCTTACTTTTTTTAGTATGCACCTATGTCTTTAGCTTTTTTCTATTACTACGCGCTTTAAACTCTTTTAGAGGAGTTAAATAAGCTTTATTTTTAACTATTAAAGTCTTTTTTACTTAAATCTACTTTCTTTTATGTAATCTATATTGTGTAGTAGCCTTATTTACTACTTAAAGCTTTATAATCTTTTTTTATACTAACACTAGCTTATATGTAATAATTACTACTCTCTTTAAAACTTTTTTAAAGGCTTTTACTATAAACATTAGTAAGCTATTTATATACTTTTAAATTTTTACCTTTATAAGCATTAATTATAACTTAAATTTAAAAGTATTACTTAAAGTTTATAACTACTAGAGCTTATTATTAATAAGTAGTAGTAATAAAGTATATAACTAAATATTAAAGGCTATTTTAACTTATTTTAAGTTAAATAAGACTAAACTAGCGCTTTAAAACCTTTCTTAGATATTACTAAAAGTAATTACTACATTATAAGTGTGTATAAAGCATAGTAGAAACTTAAGTTTTATAATATAAGTAATTTAGTTATATATAAGATTTTTAGCTTAGCGCTTATATACCTTTTTTAAAAAGGTAAAACAATCTACATTAAAAAGGTATAAAAAGTGTAATAAGTGTAAAAGCATATAAATAGTAATAATTTTTTTTTATAGTACTACTAAAAATTAAGTAAGTTATAGCTTTTATAGCTATTAATAATAAAAAGCTAATAAGCACTTATAACTTTTTTTATATACTTATTAAAGTGCTTTAACTACTATAGCCTAAGCTTATTTATTATCTAGCTATTTTTAAAGACTATAATAACTTAGTTTTAAAGTAGATTTTTTTATACTAAGTAAAAAAGTAATAGCAGCTTTTAAAAATAATAAAAAGTAAAATAGCTTACTTTATTATATTAATACTTTAAATAACGTACCTAACGGGTTAGCCGGCCACACAGGTTAGCCGGCCACTTTTGCCAAGCCCCCACTAAACTCTACCTATCTACATAATGCCTTAACAATAACACTAGATTAGATCTTTTAAAGAACATTAAATACAGCTTACTTTTTAGGCTTTTAAATAAGACTTAAAACTCTCTTTATAACACGCTGCAGCTATTTATAATGTCTTTTATATAACACTAAGTAATTAACGCGCTAGACAGCCTTTATAAGTAGAATGCTAGCCTAAATTAAGGAATCTAACTAAGCTTAAAAAGAAGGTAGTTATTAAGTATATACTTAAGCTTATTACACGCAAATTTCTTTTTAGGCTTATAGCTATAGCTAATATAGCTAATTTCTTACTTATAAAGTGTAATCTAGGCTAGGTTAGCTTAAACTAGCCTAGTATATAGGTTAAGCACTACTTTAAGTTTATAATAAAGTTTAATTATAAGTATAATTATAAAAAAGTGCTTTATAAGAATCTAAAGGTTATCTAGGGCTAGTTTTACCTAGTAGCTAACATAAAAGCTAAGTACAGTATCTAGAATAAAGATAGGTATAAATTTAACAAGTTAAGCTTTATAATAAGCTAGATATTAACTAAAGCAGTTATTACAGCTTTAAAGAGATAAAAATAGCTAAAAGTAATATAGTAAAGTAATAAGAAGTAAATAATAGTTATTTAAAGCATTAATATAATAAAGTAAGCTATAAGATTATAAAGCTTTAAGCAGTAAATAAAGCTACTATGTAACATAGATTACATAAAAGAAAGCAGATTTAGGCAGAGAAGACTTTAATAGTTAAAGATAGGGCTTATCTAACTGCTTTAAAAGAGTTTAGAGCGCGTAGTAATAGGAAGAAGCTAAAGACGCAGGTGCGTGCTAAAGAAGGTAAGCTAAGTTAAAAGTAATATAAGCAGTATAATTAAACTAGGCATAACTTATGTATATATAAGTAAGTAGTAAAAGTAGACTTTAAATAATATCTTGTGTTGTATTACTTTATATAGGGCTAAAGTAGGCTGTTTTGCAAGAGAATAGGGTAGTTTTAGTAGAGGCTTGGCAAAAGTGGCTAGCTAACCTGTGTGGCTAGCCAACCTGTTAGGTACGTTAACTATTATTTACTTTTTATTATTTTACTATATTACTTTTAGCTGTTTTTATTTTTTTAAAGCTATAATAACTACTTTAGTTAATATCTAGCTTATTATAAAGCCTAACTTATTAAAGTTATACATATCTTTATTTTAGATACTATACTTAGCTTTTATATTAGCTACTAAGTAAAACTAGCTTTAAATAACCTTTAAATTTTTATAAAGTGCTTTTTTATAATTATACTTATAATTAAACTTTATTATAAACTTAAAGCAGTGCTTAACTTATATACTAGGCTAGTTTAAGCTAACCTAGCCTAGATTACACTCTATGCGCAAGGAATTAGCTATATTAGCTATAGCTATAAGCTTAAAAAGAAATTTGTGTATAATAAGCTTAAGTATATACTTAATAATAACTTTTTTTTTAAGCTTAGTTAAATTTTTTAATTTAAGCTAGCATTTTACTTATAAAAGCTATTTAGCGTGTTAATTACTTAGTGTTATGTAAAAAAACATTATAAATAGCTATAGTATGTTATAAAAAAAGTTTTAAGTTTTATTTAAAAGCTTAAAAAGTAAGCTATATTTAACATTTTTTAGAAGATTTAATCTAGTGTTGTTGTTAAGGCATTATGTAGATAGGTAAAGTGTGGTAGGGGCTTAGCAAAAGTAGCTGGCCAACCTGTGTGGCCGGCCAACCTGTTAGGTACGTTATAAAAAGTAGTTATTGTCTAAACAGCAGTATTTAGATACGTTGTTAGGCGTCTTGTGTCACAGTCGCACGTACAAGCGGATAAATATTCCTTTCCTTCGCACAGACTTAGAACAAGAACAATCAACACTAGTTACCTGCAACCCCCCCCGCACAATGTGTATACTGTGCAAACCTCTTTGCTTTGCATAGCTAGCATAGAGCCTATTTAACACTAATTAGTAGTTTAAATGCTGTAAGATAGAAACCTTTTCTTATACCTTTTTATTTAAAAGATTATGTATAAAAGGAATCCTTTTCTTTACCAATTTAACTATAAATTAGTAAAAGTAAAGACAGAGTCTAATTTATATATAAGTAGCTAGATAAAGATTTTAAACACATACCGCATTCAGACCCATTGTCTTGCCTATGCCGTTGCAGTATCTAACCCTTGATTTAACTAGATTATATTACGCAACATTCTATAACTAGAGCCGTTACAAGAGCGGCGGATTGAATGGGGTGAGGAGTGATGCCGGATATGGATAAGCGCAGGATGACGCTAAACCCGAAGAGAAAGTACCGGACAGAGATTACTGTCAGAGAGAAGTACTTTTCCTGTTTAGGATGTGATAAACCTATACAGGAAGGTCACTAACCCAAGTAGGAAATCAAGACAGATTGAACCTTGAAAACGCCATAAACTTGCTTGTTGATAAGTCTACAGATGAGACTGCCCCCAATAGGCATGTTATTGTTGCCCATATATCCTCTCATTTTTATTACCACGTTACGCACCAAATTCCTGGATGACTTCCTGTACGTAGGTAGCCGTAGACACTAGGCCCCGATTGGGTAGCTCTTTTAGACTCTACCTCCTTGAGATGCTCAGTTTCTCTACCTCAAGTCCTTCTTCTCTCCAGTCATATCTAGTTTTTACTCTAGCCAGACTTACGTCTGTCCTGAGCAGTGGGGGAGCTGCTTATCTCGGAAACTGTCAGAATTCACCAAAGTCGGCGATGTTTTGCACAGGTTCCTTTGTCGCCAGTTATCAGTATCAGAGGCTGGCGTCAATATGTCTGCGATTATATACTTGATAGATACCTCCTAGACTCGCCTGCTTTCAACGCACAGTGAGTTCAGTTAGAACTAATCGGGGTCCATTCGATGAGCTGACGATATACTGCTCTACAGGTACTTGAGCCTCTTCTTTATTTAAGACGCTATCAACCCTCCGCTTTGTCACTTTTTCCCTGACAGAACCCTCCTCCAGACGAGATCTGCATAATCGATCTGCTACCGAGCCTGGATGAGTCGCCCATACAATGCAATTCGATTGGAATACAATGCACGAGAAGAGAGAAATTTGTATTAATACAGAGTGAGGATGCCGAGCACCTCTAATGCAGTAACCCACGCTAAAACCTAAGCCACGCATGTAAGCAATCCCAAAGGCACACCAAATGCCGCTCTTAGAGATTACCAACCCCTATATCCCTTAATTTCAAAGACGGATGACCGAATCCGAATGCCTGAGAATCAATCTTGCCCCCCAAAACTCCATGCCAGATGCAGTTGAAGAAAAGCTCCCAGCTGTGACCACCGCTTTCGATTTCGTAATTCAACAATGAGTCGGCGTCCCACAAATCTCCCTCACACTCTCAGCTTGGAAGACATCCGGGCCTCCATTACACATCGTTGTCAATCCGTCCACACTCGTAGTACAGCTCAATGGATCGATCTTGTGGTGTGTGGAGGACATCCACTCGTGTCTACGCAAACACAGTTATCAGCTCAGCTCAGATTACTTTCAGGAATGGAGATTAAAGTCAACTTTGCAGTGGCTCGCTTCATACTAAGGGCTGTAGGGGCACTTTAGGGACACTTACCCATTGCACTGCCACGTATGAATGAATTGGAAATCTGCATTTTCCTGTGGACCACGGAGATCGAAGTAAAAGTTCTTGCGGCCGCTCGAGCATTCCACTTCGTTTGGGATTACGCCAGTAGGAGATGAGATGTCGCAGGCGACCGTGTTGAGCGCGGGGTCGTTGATGGTGGAGCCGCCTGGGAATAGGGACTGGAAGTTAAATGAGAGGCGGGCAATGTTATCTGGATCTTTGGAGAAGGTGTAGGTATAGCCTTTAATGGTGTACTGGGTTGGAGAGCAGACTTCAATGGCGTCGCGGGGGATGATAGGGGAGGCGTGGATAAGGGTTAGGAGGAGAGTGAAGGAGGCGAGTGCAAGAGAATGCATCTCAGATTGTAGAAGATTAGAATAATAGTGGTTTTGTCGTCGAGCAGGTTTAGTTTGTATGGTGGTCGAATGAATGGCGTAGTTGAGAATGAGTTGTGACTCGTCTAATGACGAGAAGAGAGGGAGAAGAGTCAGAGTCTTACGATAGAAATATTCAAGGAAAGATGATCTCTTTAATACGCTTTGGAGGTGAAGGTGCAACCCTAGGCTACGATATCGCCCAAACTCACGCGTCCTCCTTACAGATCTAGCCGCAGCTCACCACACCTATCCCTGTGCCACAAACGACCCGGCGCCATCCGCAGGTCGCTGCCTTACCTTCCAACCAGAAACCAGTATGATAACAGAACAGGGTTGCCGGTTGCGAGAATATCTAATCGTCAGGAGACCACAGCCCCAAAGAATGGCCACGTTGGTGGCTGGTGTTGCGTTGGAGTAAGCTGACCAGAAGGCAAAACTTTGCGTCGACCAATGGTTGGGGTTTGGCGAGAATTTTCAAGAAAAGGCCATGAAACATCGCCATGAGGAGACAATGGACGAACTCGTGATTTACTGTCACAAATTATCCTGAAAATTGATTAATAAGGAATCCTAGGGGTATATTCGGTAACGCCGGAATCAGGGAGATCGTGGTATCCAAATTTAGACATCGAAGGAATTCCAGAGCCATGGGAGGAAAACAGGCCTGCAAGTTTGAGTTGATGCAGCTGTCGCATTTGCTCGCAACCTGGTTCCTGGACCCTTGCTGTGCATGTGCCCATACTTCAGTGATAGGATAGGTATGCCGAATGATCCTATGGTGCTGGAAGCATGGGTTTATTCGATTAGGTTGACATACCACAATGCAAAGCTAGTATGCAGCTGCCCATGGACCCTGGTGAGCCATGACGTTGCAAAATGGGATAAGTGTCAAAGGGAGAAATACTGGAGAGGGGATATGCCAAGTAGAGTTCTAAAACAGGGGTAGAAAAGCATCCTTTTGTCCTTCCCATTAAACACGGCCCCAGGCTTTGGAGTTCCCCGTTAACCTGACTACGTTCATCGGTATGCTCCAGTATGTAGAAAGCCTAACCGAGATTATCCAGCTCTTTTCCCCTTCATCTCCATCTTTACTCTTCTAGCTTCTCTCCACATGGGTCCCCACTTGAGCAACACCCAGAAAATGGGACTCGTAAGAAACAAAACCACAGCAATGAATGTGAAGCACCATCCTCTTCCCATGCTACCGATCATGATGTTGATTGTCCCTGTCCCTCCGGCGCCGACAAGACATCGAACAAGGTTATTGGCTGCAGTTGCAGTGGACGGGCTCAACGGATAATAATCGATGAGCATGACGCTCATGCAATTGAAAGCACCAGTGAGGAAGAGACCTATCAGGAAATGCATCACTAGAGGAGCAGCGAGAGGTGTCTCTCCCTCCAATATCCAGCCGTAGCAGAGTAATGCGCAGTTCCCTATTGCAATGAATGGAACGGCGACGGAGAGGCGAGCACGTTCGAGAGGGAAGCCTTTGAGGTTGTCGCCGCGTTTATGATCAATTGTGAAATTCTCTTTTTTGGCTACCCGTCTGTAATTCCAGTCCATAAGACGACCTGCTGCCATTGGAGCAAAGAGAGCGCCAATTCCGAAGGGGATAAATGAGAGACCTATTTGCAGGTCACTAAAGCCGTATATTTGTTCAAAAAGGTAAGGTGAGGAGGCGACGACGTCGTAGAAGGCGGTATACACCAAGCTGTTATAAAACAAAAGTAAACCGGCATCTTTCTCCTTGATGACACGAAGGGTGCCGAGGGGATTTGGAAATCGTAACTTTTGTTTCTCTGCCAATTCTGCCCCTGCGGCTCGCCGTTCTCCACGAGATCTTGCCAGCGTTAGCCCGGTTTCAGAATTTCGCGTCTTTCGGAGCTCAAGGTAGTCGAGGACAGACATGTTCCAGCCCTGTGGGGATATGCTCCCGTTGCCGACGACTCCACGAGCCGTTTCAGGAAAGGCGATGAAAAAGGGTATTAGGTAAACTGCGGCCATAATGACGAGAAACCAGAAGATGGATCGCCAACCAAGGAATTCTGCAAGTAGCCCACCTATCACTGGCGCTATTGCAGGAGCAATCATTGGGCCCTTCAGCGGCTGTCAGTAGGAGGGACACCGATCTTTTGGAAAAGAGAGCTCACACTCGTGGCATAACCCATCCAAGTGCCGCGCTCAGAACTAGTTGCAATATCAGCTACAACACCATTACCAAGAGCAATCGTTGCACTACTGCCTGAGCTTTGAAGACATCGAAGAACGAATAGGGCTGCATATGAGCTTTGCGAAGCAAGTCCGATATTTGCGCCGATGTAGACAATGAACCCAATGATATATGCAGGCCTTCTCCCACTATCATAAACGTCAGTAAATATAGTCGCTCGGGATAGGAGCGGATTCTCACGCCATATCAGCGAGGTCACCGAAGATTGTAGGCGCCAACCCTTGGAAAATCATGTAGGATGTGAGAGTCAGGTTCATCAACGTACTTGATACCTCGTACTCTTGGCTTAAAGTCGTCAACGCCGGGAAGTATATGTTTGCTGAAAGAGGTGAAAAGAAGCCGCCCCATGCTGCTAGAAAGACGGTGAATTGCTTCTTCCTTCTGCTAAAGGCAGAGTAGTGTGGTATATTTGACTGAATGGGAGACAAAGCCTCCAGGTCTGCTTGTACGATTTCTTCGGTCTCGTGGGTTGACGATAACGCTGGAGAAATTGGACCAGACTCGGATGCTTCTTCTTTCTCTTTGACATCTGCAGTAACTGCTTCAGGTGGGCCTGCTAAAGCTCCTGTGGAAATAGACGCTGCCCTACTTTTCTCTACGGCTCCAGCCTTCTCGGCCCCCATATCTAGTGACGAATCATCATGCGACATGACTCTTAAAACCAAATATGAACGTCATGAGAAAAGTCCAAAGCAACCAAAGAAGAAAAAGACGACCATGTTGAGCATGGAAAAGGAGCAGGTGCTCCGCTTGTTAACGACATGGCGCATGCCAGCCGGGAATAACTGAACCTGGGCGACATCGGCCAACATTGTGGAGCCTCCATGGATGGGCTTTCGATATATGCTGCTATTGGCTTGACTACGGCTTTCATGCCGCGATCCCGAGTGCCTCTTCGATAAGGGGAATTTACAGGCCCCATATTCAGCGTCCATGTCCGATCCATATCGAATTAGACCTTGGATCGCAGCTTAATATTTACTTTAGAAGGAGACAGGGTTGAAGAGATCAAACTGTAGATATGAACCTAGTGAAGGATGAAAAATGAAGAAGAGGAGGAGAAGCTGCACCAAGCAGAACGAGACTAAGTCCAGCCCTTCCCTCTTATTGGACGTTTAAGCGAGCGAATAAAGCTAGCTCATTCCCGACGGGCATCATCAAGCCAGCACGTAACCATTGCTCCACCACATGATGAACATTACTTCAATCTTTAACCAGGCTCTGGCCGCTCACGATGCCCTGCCAGTCGAGCCTTATATCTTGCGCCTTCAGGACTTGGACCAATTCTTGAAAGAGGCCTACCGCATTGTATGCCACGTTGCTCTCTAAACAGGTCTGGGGAAACTGACAGCTAACAACAAAAACAGCGGGCACATATTGCAGAGCTCAACGCGTACTTGAGATCGATCCGGCAGAGCTATCTTTCTACCGCTCTTTCTCCTCGGCGGAAGCAAGTCGCGCGAACGAATACCTCGAGCTTCCTACCCACCACCGAAAAGGATGCGAAGTACCTTACCGACACGCAGCGGACGGAGATCGATGCTCAGGCGAAGCAGCTTCTACGCGAGCTCAATGTTGCGATCAACAATCTCTCTGACGCGGAACAGGTGCGACAGTCTGCTGAGACTACGATTGCACTGAAGAAGCGGGCAAGAGCTGGCCTGGGTGCGCTCGGACGATGGGCAGCGGGCGGGGCAATCACGGCAAAGAGTCCGCAAGAAGAGTTAGAAGAGGCCAAGGCGAATACCATAAAGGTGCACAGGGAGAGCGTGATATGGTATCTACAACGGCAACTGGAACAATGCGGCCGCTTCCAGAGCTCAATGATGGAGATTCGGCTCACACGGGAAGTCGAGAAGAGCAAGAGTGTGCTGTACAAGGCGAGAGGAACGATGCCATCCTCAGACGACTACAGCGGAGTGAATGAAGGCCCCAGTAGCATGAACGACTACCGGGGAAAGACGCCAGTAGATCAGGATGCTGAATCGCTTGTGGCGCAGGAGCGGCTTAGTCCTGAGCAGCTCCAGCTGTTTGCACAAGAGAATCAAGATATGCTAAAGCATTATGAGGACGCGTTGGATCAAGTGCGGTATGCCTGGTTCTTGTTTGTTGTCGCTGATGTATCCAAAGCTAACTTCTAACAGAACCGCCGAGAAGTCTTTGCTGGAGATCTCGGAGCTGCAAACCACGCTCGCAAACAATCTTACCATCCAGGCTGCGCATATCGACCAACTCGTGGAGGACTCGTATCTAACTACAGAAAATGTGGGGAGCGGGAACAAGGAGCTCAAACGAGCTACAGAAAGGATGAGTCAAGCGCAAATGCTTTTCTACTGCACGAGCGGGTTTTGCGCGTTCCTAATTCTCTGGGACCTGTTCATATGACACCTGCTTTGTAAATGGACTCAGATTGGGTCAGGCCGTAGATAATCGGAGACGCATCCTCGGCCATGTGAAAATGCCGCAACGCTCTTCCAACCCTCACGTGTGATATAGATTCTGTGAATTGCCGGGATAAGCAAACAAGCGGGAGTGCAATCAAGACCTCGTGGCTGTCTGCAGAGTGGAATTAAGTTGCTCGCGACGTGCGTCCACTCCGCTCGCTAGGGCGAAGGTGCCGAACATGTCATGCAGCCTCATCTAGGCTAACTGACGATGCTCTTGATATTCGGAGTCTGTCGGTGGACTCTGGACTATGTTGGCATTATCCCGTCTCAAGATGGAGCCTCGGGTCAGCGGTAGAAGCAACGCTTTTCCGAACACTGATGAACAAACAGCGGTTCATAATGAGCGACATCCGAAGGACTGCAGCCTGCAGCCCTATTCTCGTTGTCTTCTCGCCAGACCTGCACCCCATATTTGCTTCTCCGCTCTCCGCCCTTGAACCGTGCCTTTCCGCCGGAACGAGCAATCCAGCCGGGGTACCTTACGGGCACTAGCGCGGGGTTGGTGAGGCGGTGGTGTGGCTTCCCACTTTCGGCGGTGAGAGGGATATTTTGAAGGAAAGCGCGATCATGCCAGAGTCACCTTCCCCCAAATCCTCCGCCTCCCTGCAGCACTCTTCCTCCCATTCTCGCTTCTCCCAGCCTTCATCACACATTGTAATCATGGCTCCCACCTCTTTCAACGCCGATGTCGTCCCGCAGGCTCCAGAAGACCCTCTTTTTGGGTTGATGGCAGCGTTCCGCCGTGACGAAGATCCGAAGAAAGTGGATCTGGGCATTGGAGCTTACAGAGACGACAATGCAAAGCCATGGGTCTTGCCCGTAGTGAAGAAAGTGAGTCCGACTGTTTCCAGAGCTCCAACGCTCTTTCCTCGTTACCAATTGGGCAGGCAAGATGCTGACGGATGCTCCTTCCCTCTAGGCGGATGAGATTCTCCGAAGTGACCCCAATCTCAACCACGAGTACCTGCCTATCGCTGGTCTTGCAGACTTTACGACCGCCTCGCAGAAGCTGATTCTCGGCGCCGACAGCCCAGCGATCAAGGAGAAGCGGGTGGGCAAGCTCCCCCCTCTGCCTAGTCACAGAAGCTCACAAAGGTTACGCAGGTTGCCAGCTTGCAAACAATCTCAGGAACTGGTGCTGTCCATCTAGGAGCACTCTTCCTCGCCAAGTTCTACCGCACCAACTCCCAGCGCACTGCCTACTTCTCCGATCCAACATGGGTCAACCACTTCCAGATCTTCAAGAATGTCCACCTCGACTACCTCACGTACCCCTACTTCTCGGCAAAGACTCGTGGCCTTGATTTCGAGGGTATGGTTAACACAATAAGGAACGCGGCTGAGGGAAGCATTATTGTTCTCCACGCCTGTGCTCACAACCCCACCGGTGTCGACCCCACGCAAGAGCAGTGGAAGGAAATTTGCAAGGTCATGCAGGAGAAGAAGCACTTCCCCTTCTTCGACTGTGCCTACCAAGGCTTCGCTTCCGGTGACCTCGCAAAGGACGCCTGGGCAGTTCGATACTTCATTGACCAAGGCTTCGAGCTCTGCATTGCCCAGAGCTACGCCAAGAATTTTGGTCTCTACGGCGAGCGAGCAGGCTGCTTCCACTTTGTCACGTCTGCAGCTTCTGATGCCGAGACGACGGTGACCCGAATTGCTTCGCAGTTAGCTATCCTCCAGCGCTCCGAGATCTCAAACCCGCCCGCGTACGGCGCCCGCATTGCATCCACCGTCCTTAACAACAAGGAGCTTTTCGCTGAATGGGAAGCCGACCTCCGCACCATGTCTGGCCGTATCATTGAAATGCGCAAAGCGTTGCGCAGCAAGCTAGAGGAGTTGGGCACGCCAGGCACTTGGAACCACATTACCGATCAAATTGGTATGTTCAGCTACACTGGCTTGAGTGAAGCGCAGGTCCTCAAAATCCGTTCCGATTCACATGTCTACATGACTAAGAATGGTCGTATCTCTATGGCTGGCCTGAATACGCACAACGTCGACTACTTCGCGCACGCCGTCGATAAAGTTGTGAGGGAGTCGCAGTAGACGCTATACACGCTATTTCTAAGGTACCCCAAGGTGGAGTAAAAGTATCTAGATAGCCGGAAATCGGAATATTCGGGAAATGGTGGCGGGTTGCTGGCTTCGGGTTTGGTCGGGTATCGAACGTATTCCGACGGTAGTTTTGACGCCATGGCTTTCATGAATAACGAATGAAGCTCTGCAATAGGGTTTTGGATACATGGAGGGTAGAGGCGGAGAAATCAAAAGGAATTTTTGAGCTGTAGAATTACATAAACGGTTGGAGATGGCGTGTCCTCCGCTCTTGACTTCTTGGCGCCCGGCCTTTTGATGTGCCTGTGCTTGTGAACCCCGGCTCCGCTTATGTGTGATGTGAAGCTCGGCTTTTCCTGTTTTGGAAGAAAGAGGTAGGTGAGTGCAGTCATATTTGGGTGCACTAGAGAGTGTCAAGTATATGGTGTGAGCCAGTCGGACGGGTGGGCGTATTTGCCGTGAGGATGCACGGATGCATGCGTGAGTGCCATCTGACCTGAGATTGCTGGGTAAGATGCGATACGTTGTTTTATGTTAATAACGTAAGGTTTTGGAAGTCGGTTGTGAGATGTGAAATTCTGGGCAAGTTGTTGTGGGGTTGTGATTTGTGGGTTTGTTGGGGGAATAGACATGGATGCTCTGTGCGTGTGGATGGGGATTCATCATGAATACCTAGCATGTCTATAAGTCATCGCGTGGCGGTCTCAGGACTCGGAACTCGAAACATTTGAGGTTCTTTGTGCATGTATGTGTGAACTTTATATTGTACATGGGTGGATTACTTGATGTAGTAACCAGCTAGGTTCTGTGTGGATGTGAAAGAGAGCGAATTTCGGGTATATTGCGATGCATGCAGACAGAGAGCTGCCGCTGCTAAGAAAAGATACGAAGACGAAGAGGGAAGGAAATTTTGTTGGGATGCGAACGATCGTTCTTAGGAAATTAGAGAGTTGCAATCCGTATGCGCCAGTTGAAAGCTGAAGAAAGTCCGAAAGAGTTCCGAAAGAGGTCGGGGATAGAGAGCGAGCGATTGTGCGAGTTGAAAAAGTGTACCCGTATGTGAGTATGCATACACCAACTAGTGAGGGAGTTCCAGAAACGCCTTATCGTTCAATCCAATCCACCAAACCTGAGTTCCAGTCCCAAATTCCTGTACAAAGGAAATATACAACGATAAATTGCTAGCGCGAATCACATAGTTTAAGACACCTCCCCCCTCCTAGCGCTCCACCGACTCTTGATGCTCCAACTCCTTTTCCTTTGATGCTTCTCGATACTATCTCTTTGTCTCTGCCTCTCCACTTCCCTCAGTCTCTCTAGATCCTCGTCGCAGTCCTTCATTGAACTTTTGACTGGCGGAGTGTTTGGTGGTGAGACCGATAATTTGGTTCGTGGAAATTCTGGGATTGTGGTGCCTTGTAGAGGGAGACTGATTATACTGCTGTTGCTAGAATCTTGCCGGATGAGAGGAGAGCGCGGTGGCCAGGTTGTGAATGTTTCCATGGAGGATTGGGGGCCTAGGGGGATCGGGAGGATGGCGGAGCGTGAGGAGGTGGGGCGTCTTTGAATCATTTTAGGGGGTGACGGAGGGAGAAGATTTGGAGAGGATATTCCAGGTGGTGTTGCGGCGCTGGGACGTGGGGCTGGTGATTTGGGGGTTCGTGGGCGCGGAGAAGCTGGTGGGACTTTCAAGTGCGATTCTGAGCCGGGCTTTGGAGATGCTGAGCGCGTGCTGGATGTCGATGATTTGGGAAGTGATGGGAGTGCTTTGTTGGCTGGAGATGAAAGGCTCAGGGGACTGAGGGCGGATTGACTCGCTTCTTTGGAACTGATGCGTTGGGGAATTGGGATGGGCGTTGCTGGAAGCTCTGCGACTGAGGTAGGTATCGGAAACGCTTCGGTGAGATCTTCGTAGCTTGCGTGAACAGTGATTTCTTGTTCTCGCGACGAATCCGAGGATATCGACGCTGCGTCTTCGGAGAGTTCTTCTTCGCCCTGGCTTTCTGCTAAATCCTCGGAATATGATTCTGAAGTTGGCTGTGAAGGGGCTTTGAGCGCAAGAGGCTTGATCACATGCCATGGAGGGCAGTCTTTGATCAGATCCGCGAGGAGCGGCGGGGTGGCTAAAGTGTCCCACTCATTTAATTTCTTCACGACCCAGGGATTTTGAGTACAGCGCATTTTGGAGAAGTATGCGCTACAGGCTTGGACATTGTCCAGTGGATATCCGTGGTCCAGCAAGTCTTCTAGCGTCGCGACGAATTCGATGTTGAAATCGCCTAGACTGCCGTATTGGTCGATGTGAAGGTTTAGAAAGTGGCAGAACGCGTGGTGGTAGTCTTCGAACTTGAACTCCTCGAATCGACCATCCAAAGCCTGTATCATTTCCAATGCGCTCATACCTGGGGGTGGCAGCGCAGGTCCGACTTCGAAGACATCAAGCTTGATGTCGTCCGCCACTGATAGAAAAATGTCTAACTTCACATCGCGATCTTTCCTCGACCAAGCCCTCCTCTCTTCCAGTAACTCCGGCTGTGGCTCCGGTGTTGAAGTGGGTGCAAAGAAATTTGGTCCTTGGGTTGGCATAGGCATGGGACAGGAGCCATCGCAATAGCCCCAAGTTCCTCTAGATATGAAGGCGTTCTTTACTCCGCGACGCCAACGCCGATATTGCGGACCCGTGGCTTCTGGGGCTAGAATGCTCACGCCTGGCAAGCGGGGGGACATTGGTTGGGGGGGCATTGTGGGCTGCAGCGGAATTGCGCGGGGGATGTGGTGGATACTCAAAGTGGAGAGTTGAAGACCACGCCTGGAGATGAAAGCGACTTTAAGCTTGACTTTCGCGACGAAGTCAAGTCAAAAGGAAACGCAGCAGCAGCAAGCCGGAACATAAGATTGGGCGGCGGCGCCCGAGAGCACCTCATAGACCATATATGTGTCCACCAACCCACCATAGATGACATCGGACATCTCACGCACTGCGTGCACGCACACCATGGGGACCATGAGCACGGCGTCGGGCTTCCAGCCCTGCATGCCTCACATCCTTCCCTTCGCATCTAAGTACCGCCGCTCTCGATGGCGCAAACGCAGGGCCCTCCAATCCACACTTGCCATTCCCATGCACGGAGCTACAATACTGACAGCGAAAGCCTGACCTCTTTCGTCAGACGTGCTGCCTTGTGCTGCAACGAGGCTGCAGTCAGCACGCTATTCACTGTGGTGGATTAATATCGCCAGCCAATAGGGGACTAAGACGGGCAGGCTAGGGTATGACTATTGGTAGGTGCGTCTTCGTCGGGGTAGGGCCACGGCGCTCAGCTCGAAGTCCGAAGACGTGGATTCTTGCTTTGCTTGCAAAGGTCGAACACTCTAGGGTAGGCGATCGCAGGGCAAGGCTGCACAAAGCTGGAGTGGGCTGGGTCATGGGTGCACGGAGTGGGACGCTCCGGCCAGAGAGAAGGTGGTGAGGCTCCACGAGCTGTGGAAGAGTGGCCTCATATGAACATGTGAGATGGTAGATGAGTTAGTGAGAGGGTGAAGGAATCGCGGCGCATAGCACAGGAGGTGGCGCAGGACGTTCCGGCGATGGGATGAGGCGTGTGAAAGGGGTGCAGTCGAAGGAAATTGATTAAATCTATCGTGGGACGATAGGAAGAGATCGTGAAGTTGTAATCTTAGCTCCAGGTGCATGGCAAGTCTCGGCAATTCGAAGAACCCCGTTTTTGCTGCGAAAAAGATACTTTGCTATATAATAGATAAAATTATATCATTTACCATGAAATCACCAAAGGCGTGGTGGCGGAGTGGTTATCGCGCAAGACTAGAAATCTTGTTCCTTCGGGAGCGTCAGTTCGAATCTGGCCCACGTCGAGTTAATTTCTTTTTGTTTTTGAAAACTCTTATGGGTCTCCTTGTGCTACAATACTGTAGCATTCGGATACCACAATATTTTGCTAGTGTTTTATCTTTTTTTTATTTGGCCATCAATGTGAACTTTTTCAATTAATCTGGCCAAGACGGATGACGCTAACTTCTCGGCTTCGGTTAGTTAAAACACCAGGTTGAGCTCGCTCCTTGTACAATTTTCGAGCATGTCTCATGCCTCCACGACCGTTTCCCTATCCCCTCAAAGTGGGCATTGACGTTTGCTACATTGCTCGGATAAGAGACATCTTAACGAAGAATGTGGGCAAGGAGGTAAATGAGAGTAAACCTCTCTCACAATTTCTCTCCAAGGTTATGACGTGGCCGGAGCGCCAGTTTTTCTGGGACCGATTCAAGGACAATGAGTCTGCCTATAAGGATATCAATAAAGTCGCTCAATATCTTGCTGGTCGGTAAGTAAGAAAGTCATATATTCTCCGTTGATTCGGCGTTGTTGTCGCTAATTCATCTCTATAGTTGGGCTGCGAAAGAAGCCTGCCGAAAAGCATGCAGCCACATGGGACTGTCGAACGGACATCACAAGATCATGATCCTCCCTGAATCTGGAGATAGGTATGAACACGGAGCCTCTTTCGCACCAAAGGGTCTCATACTTCACGAACTTATCACGTCATACCACCCCAGCAAGGACTTGGATCCAGAGAAGAGGGAAGGCGTTTGGTACAAAACGACGAGACGGCACCACTTTGACGCCAATGAGGTCGATGGACAATTCTGTGAAGTTAGTATTAGTCACGATGAGCGCTTTGCGACTGCCGTAGCAATGGTGCCAATTATCAGACTAGAGTGGGAGGAAAAGATGGGCTCGGGTTGGGGACAATTGGACAATGGGGGAGGTAATTTGAACAGAGCCGGCGGCGATATAGAATTACGGTCATCTCTACATAGTGATGAACCGTCGTTTGCCCCTCTTAGTTCTAAGGTATGGTAATTTGAATCATTCCATTGGGCGGAATCTTATTCCCAAATACTAACATCTGTTGTCGCGACAGGATCTCTATAGCAAGGACACACTACTGAAACGAATCGCACGATTGGAACGTGGAGTTAGTGACCTGATCTCGCGCGACGAGAAGAAGCCTTCTATTAGAAAAGTCAAGAGTCGATCTATCAGAAAGGTTAACAGTCCAGGTAGTTCAAAGGCCTCGTAAAGCAAGAATTCCTCTACATCGCCTACACAAGAACTATCTTCTCTAAGCAATGGCAAACTAGATGACTTGCTGTCTCCGAGAGACTGAAAGCAAGAAACCGATTCTGATAAGGTTGGCGGTTAAGAGAGGGCTCGCAAAGCCCTGGATATTAACTCAAAGCCACCTAATACCACTGCCGGACCGCCAACATCGAATACGAAAACCACTCCTTGGCATTATCGTTACTTTGCTGTTTAAGGGAACACGTGAGTGCCACGAAGTCTTCGTATTCGCCCACCCATCGAATAAAATACGATACACGACGCCATACACCAGGACAGCCTCACTTGGCGCTTTTTCTCCCGCGCTTGGTTCCCTCTCATTGGCAAGAAGCCAGACTTTCAGCCTTGTCAACAGGCTTATATGCAACATTGTTGCCGGTCACCAGAAGATACGAGGGCTGCGCCTCAGGAAATAGATCCAGTGTGCTCGTTGTATCTAGTTTTTAACGTCAAAGCTCCCACATCTCCGCTCAGCTCAGCTCCAGCTCCGCTCTCCAGCTCATCTCCCCTCACCAAATGCGTTTCACATCGCTGCCAACATGCTGTTTTACGTGATATGGTTCGTACTCAACTCAGCCTCCGCAAATGCAAACGTTTTGCCCTCTCTCAGCCCCTCAATATCGGACCCCACCATCACCCCAGCGCCTCAGCTACCCCCGCTCGAGCTCCTCCGGAAGCAAAATGATAACCGGTTCTTGGGATGGGTGAGTTACAAAGGCGCCTGGACCTCGGAGCAGTGTGATCTTGGAGGCACATATTATCAGAGTGGGAGTTTTGCAAGGTGTTGCGCGACGTCGGTTGCGAGCTGTAATGTGGTTATTGGGTGTGTGGATGGGAGCTTGATTTATGGGTATTCGACGGGGACGGTGTCGAGGAGGACTTATGCTTGGTATGTTAGATTTACTTACTTCGATTTTTTCAGACCTTGTGATGGGAATGGAGTGTCTGGGTAAATTTGAAGCGCAATAGGTCGAGAACTGATATATGATGTGATATAGCACCGATGTCTTCACAGATCTTACAGATCGATCCTTCACGATATGCAACACTGGGTTTATTTTCGAAAACACGAAAGACTCAAGTCCGCATTCGAATATCTTTTGTGGAGTGAGCTCCCTAAATTGGAGCTACTATCGCGTTAAGCCCGAGGAGACGTCGTCAAGTATAAGCCCAATCTACCTTATTGATTGATGTCTGCTTACCATTCATTGCAGCCCCTACCCCTACACCCTCATCCACACCTCAATCAATCACGGCAACGCCCACCTCAACGCCGACCTCCTCCTCTACCGCTGCCCCCATCGAATCCCCTACATCAAAGAAATCCTCAAGTAAAGCCTGGATCGCAGGTGTCGTTGTCGGACCCATTGCAGCAATTGCCATAGGAGCTTTAGTCGTTTGGATAATCCTGCTGAAACGCAAGCACAAGAAAGAAGACGGGAACCCACCAGCATCGATTCCACAAACCCCTCACCCACCTTATTCCCCAGGCGGTCCTAACGGCCAACCGCCACGAGAATCCTACATACCGTACAACCCGCAGATGCAGCAAGGGCAAGGGCATCCACCAGGCATGCTTCCGTACCCGATGGATGCGCAACGCACAAGCTACATGTCCAATGGACACTCGCCGACGAGCCCGACTACGGCGTCGAACTCCCCGATGCCGCAGGCGAGTCCGTATGGACCGCTTTCACATAGTCCGCAGCCAGGACAGCAAGGTTATCAGCAACAGCAACAACAGTGGCAACCCATTCAGCAGCCGACGAGTCCCCAGATGATGAGTCCACAGTATACACCGCAGCAACCCATTCTGGTCGATGCGGGAGGTTTGCATAAGACACCAAGTCCACAGCCGTTGAATGGGAATAATGGAATGTACTCAACGCAGCCAGAGTTGGTGCCTCCGCCACAGCAGATTGTGAGGTAGAATGAGGGTTAGATTGGGTGGTAAGATGAATGATGTGATGTATTGTAGCTAGGATGAGATTTGTTATGTGGCTAGTGTCAGGCAAGGAGGTTTCATGGAACATCCCAGTCGCTGGTCTATTGGATTTCGCCTTGACGAAGGAAGAAAGTAGGATATATTTCGTAAGGCTGGAGTATGTCTCGGACGGAGAAAGCCACGATGGACCGACGGTGAGCTCGCTGATGGGATGGATGACTTGGCTTGGCTTTGAGCCAAAACCTTGGAGCTAAACCCTTGGGGGTACTTCTTTACTTTTCTTCCGCCATTCGCTGGATACCCTTCCACTGGTAATGTAGTCTGACCGGTACTCAAGTTGTGTATTACTGAGTATATTGTGTTTATCTCAGGTTTATTCCCAAAATATGATCTGTTCCCGTCCCGGAGTGAGCGTTGGGCAATTCGCCGTTGCGAAGCTGACTATTTGAACACCCATCACAGCTATTGTGGGGAAGGGAATTGTAATCATCGCCAATCTGATCTCAGATCCTATCCATAATACCGACCTCAATTATCGTTCGGCGGACAAGGACTTCGTCCACATCTGTGGTACTATTACCCAAGCCTCTAGGGTTTACCTAGAGCATCATGGATTTCCCAGTTCAGCCAGAATGCTCTCTCTGAGGCAAGATCGCTCTTCCGGACATGCGAGGAGCCACAACGCGAATCCACTCCGCAAGACCGGATAACGGATATTGTAAGGGGGAGAATTCCACCAACGAGGCGCTTTCGCAGAAGTCATACGTCTGCGCGCTACGAGAACTGGTGGATGCTACCAACTTAACGGACGGTGTCTTGCATAGATGATTGCGCGGCATTTAGCGTAACTAGAATGGGAACGTAGGCCATGAAATGTGATGACGGTGTGCAGCACTCTTCGGATCGGAGTGTGGGGAGACACTTGTGACAGAGAGGGATGATGGATGGTAGCACAAACGCACCGCTGAGGAGGATGATGTGGAAAAGGGATCCTGCCTGTCAGCTTGCGGACTTGGATACTGTCGCAAGCTGTTCGTCCGACGGATCAAATTCGGCGACGGGAATACCGTCGCGATTCGTTATGTTTAGTAAAGGAACCATAGCGGTAGGATGACAACCTAAGGCTTGCACGACTGCTGGAAACCTCTGCGCGGCAATATTGGTGACAGACATGCGGACGACATGAACTGCAACCCTGAAAACAAGATGTAACAAGAGATGAAGAAAACGAGAGATCCGTTACCGCACTCTCGTGAGACCACACTTCGATTCTTCGGACTCGTGTCCGGACTTGCGCTCAGAGTTCGTGATAGTCGCATAACTCTCAACGCCCAATACCTGTGCACAGCCGCGAACTCCTTTCTCGCCACAAATCTCCGCTCCTTTTGCCATGGCGAACGCCTTCGCTCGCACTCTGAACATCATACGAAATCTCAAGAGCGAGCGCGTTTGGGGGATTTTCTACAGGGTTGCCTGCAAATATTTACGGTTTCAATAATCAACTGCTCATCTCGTGTGCCTCACTGGCTAATATTTGTCCCCTTTTCTTGGACCTTGAACGCGAGGCGCTTCTGCTCAGAACCAATACGGACACCTGCGATGTCATTTCCTGGCTCGCCCATCCGCCTACGCCGTCTCCCTCCTTTTCGCTCGTGAACGTGATCTTGATCGGAGAAATACATAGTCAGCTCATCTCATCCCCACAACGCCTCTCCGGGCTGAGTATGCCAAGCATCGTATGGTGTCGGACGCTAATTTCAGAAACGTGAAACACGACCTGGAGTAGCTAAGACCAATAATGGAAATGCCATGGGCAAGCGTGCAACTGGATCGCGTGGTCGATGTAAGGTAGGAGTTCAAATTAGGGGCGTCTGCGGACCCGGTGAAGCATGAAAGCCACGCGCCTCGAGTTGCACCCGGACCTTGGGCAAAGCCAATTCATGCAATCACTTTGACGGGTTGTAGGAACTGTGCTTAACTTTTGACAACCAGTCTATTTCAAGGAAAGAAGAGCTAAATAATAAACATATATGATTCTCCAAGCCAGACGTGCTAATTTTGATCATCCCCATCGTCCGTCCCAAAATGGTAGGCGGCATGTTTGCACGCACGACCTTAACGAATTAAACAAACGAAGTGCGAAGCGCAAGCCGGGAAGGGGGCCGACAACAAGAGTGGTATATCATGACATGACATCGTGAGGAAGAATATGTGACCGAGAATGAAACCGCCCGAGACCGACATCCTTATATCGCTTTTCGTCGCTCGTCGAAGGGTCGAGGTATATGGTATTGAGTGACAGGGCAGAGCAAGCAACAACACAAACATGGCGAGTGCGCGTCGGAAAAGAACTTGGTAGAATAGAAGTGAATTGCCTGCGACGCTGTCTACCCGCCATTACATGGAATGGTAATCCCAACCCCCCTTCCCCTCCTCTTTGATATTGCGCGAAGTAGCGATCTTGAACTTGACTTGGTATTCCGCATAATACCGTGTCCCGAACACCGAATAAGCCAAAACATTATCCTGTTGAATATGAATAAAGGTGTAATGGCGCTGATTTATGCACGGAATTGTTGGTGACGATGGCCATGGGCGTGTCTCTTAACCTTGGCGTATTCGGTCACGTAGACAGTTTCAGTCTTGATGTTGAGCGTGTGCTCCTCCTGCTTAGGTGATTCCGTGATAGCAGCAGCATTGACTTCAGCAGAAGTGAAGGCCGGTGTCTGAGTGGAAGATGGCCCGGGTGCCTCGTACTGGCTGCTTGGAGCTTGGCTGGACTCAGAGCCTGGTGCCTCGCCACCACACATGTAAAAGTCGAGGTTAGCCTGAGGGTCGCAGGACTTGGTTTGGCGGTCATCCGGGTGGATGTAGGCGACCTTGGCGCAAGAGCTGGGGCTGTCGCAGCTAAGAATGGGGCAGATCTCATTATTTCCTGTCGCCAGAAACTTCCCATCGACATTGCCACTCTTCAGATAGAACCCCTCCTGGCGGGTTGGGCATTTCTCGCCACCACAGTCAACATACGAGACGTCGAGATAGTTGTAGTTATAGCCGGGGTTTGAGGTCTCAATGTAGTACTCCAATTGAGTGATGTCGACACCACTGCATTGCGATGTCTTGGAGATCTTGATAGAAGTGCCGGCTTGATTGACTGCGGGCCTGTAGTTCTCCTGGTAGAATTGGCCGGGCTCAAGGACGGCGCCCTCGCCGGATGGGCAGCCCTGCCCCTTGAGGACTGACCAGATGTGTACGGGATAGGAGCATCGGTTGTGCACCCTAGCCAATGGCTCGGTGTCAATGCAAGAGTCGTTCAGGTTGAACGAGGTCGAGGCACGAGCAGTCGCGACGAGCGCCGCAGCGGAGAGAATAGTGATGAGCTGCATATCGGTTGAGGGCTGATGGTTTCGAGGCAAAAGGGAAGGATAGTAGCTATGGGCTGGTAAGAATGACGGTAACGAAGGAGAGAATGCTGTAAAACTAAAGGAGTGAAGTTGTACAGCAAAAACGAGCGTATTCAAAAGCCCAGCTTGGTGTGGTGAGAAGGGGGATCGTGGAGGGCCCTGGGGATGCGAGTACTTAAATGGGCGCGACCCAGAAACAGAGTGCCTGGCCGCCAACCCGCGCCACGCCAGGAACCCGCCCGTGATGAGGGCGAATAGCGGCTCATTGCTCAGGCTTGTTTGCTCCCATGCAAAACGTTGTGGCTTCCCGGAGAAGTCGAGGGGGTGAAGGACTTTAGCCACTAAGGGGTGGAAACAAGACCGACTAAGCAGAAGCCAGCCAATCGGACGAGCGCTGTGCCTGACTGTGCCTGATCAACCACAGAAACATGACCGGCGTCGTCAAAAAGGCCCTAAAATAGAGGAATATTACGACCGGGATTGAGATGATCGCAGCACCAGGCGGGTCAGCTTTTTTTTTTGGCCCGCATGCAGGTTTTCGCAGGTTTTTTTTCGGCGGGCTGCAGTTGAAACGGCGCAACGCATCGGAGGGCGTGAGTTTTGCGCACGATAACGCTTGTAGTCGTCTCTTGATGCAGAATGCTGTGTCGAAACCTGAGGTTCGCACATGATGATTTACGCTGCGTGTTCGTGAGGGCTCCCTGAGGCGACAAAGACCTCATTTCGGCCATTGTCGTCACGCTGGCGAGGCTGGAAATTAACCTTGGAAGCGGACGTATGCGCTCTGGACACCGGCGGCCCACGGCATGAGCCCCCAAGGGGAAAGGGGGTCTCTCGGCAGAGTCTTGCTCGCCGTCTGCGCCTGTCTTGGTCTCTCAGCATCGTGGCAAGCAGAGAGTGGAAGAATTTTCGGACTGCATAGAGCAAGGAAAACTTGTCGTCGCCCAGTTTGCCATGCTGTACAGTACCGTCATCCTGCAGAGTCATCGTGCGATAGAGGGAGAAAGCGTGCTCTCGCGCTGTGAAGAAGGTGATTAGGGCTGATGCTCGACCAGTAGCAGAGGAGAGCAGTCAGGAGGCCCACAAGTAATTTCCCAGCAGTAGCAACTGAGCGATCGCCAGTCTGCCGACAACTATCCTGCTGGCTCTGACTCGGCGCCAACCCCAACAAGCTGTGTCTAGATGAAATCAATACTCCTGCGAATGAGCATCGTCCTTTGATTTTGCCTTTCTTTGCTCTGAAATTTCGAGTTCGTGGTGGGCGGGGACGTGCCAATCAAGCCGCTTCGCACGGTGTTGGAATAGCAGCTTCGCGGTATCTCGTCGTGACTGGTCTCTCCTATTCCAACACCTTGTTCGCAGTTCGCCGGATCAGGCTTCAGCCAGGCACTCGATGACAAGCTGTTTTATCAATCTTACTCCGGCAGAACATTCAACGGCTCCTCTGTCGAGACACTACACAGCAAACGAGACGTTCCAAGGTTTGACCTTCCAACCTTAGAAGCTTCATTCTGATCACGTGTTACTTCCCTTCCCCTACATCTTTTCGTCTCCCCATGGCAAGCCCAACTTGCTCAGTGGAACTCACCGTGCGCTTTTCTACCCATCTTCTATCTTGCTCATCTGTCGCAGCAGACACCGGACTACCTCGACCAACATAGCCGGCTTCGTCACACATAGATTCAGGTTTCCGAGACACCGGATCTGTCTAGGAATATCGCGGTGATCACAGGTGGGCAGGCAGGTATCGGGCGGGAGATCACCGCCCAACTCCTGCTCTACGGTATAACGAAGGTCTACATCCTTGCGAGGAATGAGTCAGGTACTTCGGGTCGATCTAGGAATGGGCGACTAAGCACAGCATTGAGAAGGACGACGTCCAAATAAGAACCGAATTCGTGCAATGTGACTTAAGCTTGATCAAGGATGTTTCACGCGTCGCTAATGAGCTCCTCGCCAGATTGGACCGGCTAGATATATTCATGAACAACGCTGGTACGTTACAGCTAAATTGATTGTTCATCGTACAGCCTCTTGTCTCACCTATGTCCAGCGATGACTCTCACCACGGACTACGACCTTGAGTCAGATGGCATCGAAATCATGTTTACAACAAACTACGTTGGCCACTTCACCCTCGCCAATATTTTCATGCCTCTTATTGAAAAGACATCCACCGATTACGGAGATGCCCGAATAGTGAACCCGACTTTGTCCCTCTACATGATGTACCGATAACTCAAACCATCCGGCCTCATTCACCAACTAAGACGAAATCCCTGGCAATATGGGACAGCTTTTGGCGATATGTGCGAAGCAAGCCAGCAATTGCCCTCTTCACTCAAGAACTCTCGAGCCGCCTACAGAAGAAAGGCCTAGGCAGAGTCTACGTCAACAGCTTCTTCTCCGGGAACATCCCCACGGATGCACGGATTTGGTGGAAGCAAATGGCAGGCAGCGTGTTCCACACCTTGATCAAACGGACTTGCCAGCTCATCGGACAGTCTCCTGCCGATGGAGCAACGTTTGCTGTGTCTCTTGCCACAAGTCAGGCGGTTGAAAACACGATATCAGATCCAAATACTTCGTTCTGATTGCCTCTCAGAACAAGCCTAGCACTCTCGCCGAAGACAAGGACCTAGCCAAGAACCTCTAGTACTGGGCTGATCATGTTTTCGCCGACATCCTTGCCCAAGGTTGGACTGAAGAGAGCAATGGCACCTCAACCCCTCTCCTGGCTAGGAGTGTCATCGAAATCGGTGATCCATGGCCTGCCACCCCTCTTTTTCTTCGGGTGTTCGGGCAGCAACCGTTCTCATACCGCATCTCAGCACCTAAAGTGGAACAGAGGTGTAATCAAGATCTGCAATTTGCATCCTGTTAGCATCCTCCCCAAGTTTTGCAAGAGGTTTAACAGATAGACTTTACCCTGGCCATATTCCACGTTATGTGATTACGTGCTTACGGGGAGTCCGTTCAGATGACTCTGTCTTTGAGACACTGGAGCGGGATATGAAGGACAAAGCGCTTCTGGCGCGAAGGGCGGTAAGCCCCAAAAAAAAATTGGCACGAGGAAAACTGTTGACTCGACCCTCGTTGGAAGTTAAATGCCTGCCCAAAGTTAGTAGGATTGGTGCCAAATCGCCGATGGAATACTGAACATGAAATCAAGTGAGGTGGGCATCGGTGTCGTCGAGTGCAGTATAAACTCCACCATTCAAGCCTCGTCAACTCATCCTTCCCGCGAGCCGCGCCGAAGGCCACCTCAGACCCGAAGGATCGCCGTTTTCTGATTCCAAGGGTCTGGATCTGTAAACTAGTGTATTTCTGCATCGGAAATCCACAAATTTTCCCACTTGAACTCGCTACGAGTTTCCAAAAGACGAGAATTCTTCGGACTCAGCTTCTCCGTGGCTTCATCAAGCTGAACGCAACTCTCTCTCGACCACTCGACTTCCACTAGCTCACCGATCAACCAGGTTCAAACAATGTTTTGATAGAACATTGATAGACGCACTCAGATTGGCAGGGATGTGAGACTGCGAGCAACACACCGGCACATCAAGGTACCATAAAATGCAGTAGGCGACATACACTTGGCCTATCATCGGTAATTTCTATACTTGGCCACGAGGCACCCCAAACACCTGCTGTTACGATGCGCAAGCCTCGAAAGATGTGGGAACGCAAACATGTTTCCATCTGGATCCACTCTTTCGCCCGCATCCAACGCTAGTCACGCAGTTCATGCATGTCACACCTGCTCCCTACCAATTTTGAAGGCCCAATCATTTTTCCGTCCCGACCTAATCATGTGGGCTTGAGGCTTCGGCATCATTTCCCTTCCAGTAATGCTATGCAGCTTGAGCTAGACAATTTTGAGAAACGCAATCCCTCAATCGTGATAATTGCTTCTGGCAGTCGATGCGTGAGGGTCCGAAGCAGAGACAGAAGCATCCGTCAGTCCATGTGAATCCTTTGCACGATGAGATGATGGGATTTGCGCTGAGACCGAAAGTAACCGATCTAGTTAAGGCAAGGATCACAGGGTCCGATACGATGATTCTGAACGACATTCTCGCATCATCCAGCCGGCCGAAGCTGCGACCGACTGTCACCATCTATCTTCGGAATCTACTCAATACCGGGATCTGGAAGCTGTCTGGATAAGGACTGCCAACGTCGCTGAACCAATACCTTGTTTGTTTGCCGCTCTGGACGGCTATATTAATTCAAAATACCCCTCACTCGACCCCCCCTAGAGACTTGAATCCTTGCATTTCGACCCAATTCCCTGGATCATCGCTTGGCATGCATTGAACGGTGAAGTTAGAGTAGATGGTATTGATGTGAGGCCGTTGAATGGTAGAAATGGACGGAGGAAACCTCTGAAGCGGAGAATGAGGGTTACGTCCAAATTCCTTGTCTCAGGGCACTGATAGGAGTAGAGTTTCAGGCTGCAATGCCGGACTGCAGAGCAATCACACGCGCAACGGGCGGGAAGCGCGTTGTTCGTTCGGACGGTGCTTTTGGCATGCAGTGTCTGCGGCGAAGCCACAAACGTCCAAGACTGTGCCTCAGCGCCCGTCTGGCTCCAACCGCTCAATCATTCCTTTGGCATGGCATGGTATCACTTTCAATGATTACTAGTTTGCGTTCATCTCCGTTGGATTAATGAACCCATGCCGGTTCCGGGAACATATTCTGACCTTCTGATACATTCCCTTCCCACTTTGAGCCCATCACCTAAACCATGGAGGTATCTTCTCTTGCCTAGACTTCCTGTAGCTTGATCGAATGGGGCCATATCAGATATCTCTCTTAATTTCCCAAAAGAAGCAAGCTACATGACGTCTCAACGGTCGATTCTGACGTACATTTCACTCAGATGACGATTACGCGATTGAGAGAGAGATATATCGTGCATACGTACTCTTGTTCGAGCTCGAGCAGTCCTCCATCCATCTGTGCATCCATCTCAACAATATACGCCGCATGTACGCCTGCCAGTCTTGGCTGGGCTGCGCCATTCAATGACCTCTACTGTACCTATCCAATATCATCACACACAGCACTCACATAAGGTGCACACACAATAGATAGACCCACACATTCTCGCTTGTGTTGCCGACCAAACCTTGCTTTACCGCAACGCCTGCGCCCTATGTATGCAGAATCTCAACCTAGCCCCGCCCTCGTAAACGGACGTACGTCTCGGAGGATGGACATGCTGATTCTCGTTCTCGTGGCCACAAGCTCGCATCACCTGATTCAGTTGCAAATCCCTCAAGCCACAATCAACAGCTGTGCTGTGCCTCAACCATTCCCTTTTCCATTGACTTGACTCGCTCGTTTCCCTGTCTGCTGCCTGCCTGCCTGCCTGCCTGCCTGCAACGCTACTCACGTACGCCATTTCGTGCCCGTTTTGATACTCGTGCTCCCTGGCGCTTATCCTCGTGGTCCCACCCTGGCACGGGGGCACCGATGTCAGCCTGCCTGCCTCCCTGACTGCCTGTTTGCTTCCCTGCCGAAGTGCGGCCCGTCCCCCGTAGCCCGCTCGCGTCCGTTCCCTGTCCCGTTATCGGTGTGATATTTATGCACGGGAACGGGTGAATGTCATGTATTGCAAGTCAGTCAGTCAGTGAGCTCCTCGTTTGCTGTTTGCCGGCTGGAGGCTGCGGCTCCAGGGATCGGGATTGAGGGCTCTTGCATTTTTAGGCTTTAGATTTTGTAGAATACGGTTTCGGTAGTTAGGAAAGTTTGGCGTTGAGAGAGGGGTTATTGGGCTGTTGTTGGGGGTTTTTTTTTATTAGAATGATTTGTCCGGGGGGTTGACGTGTGCGTCCGTATAGTCCTGCCTGTTTTTTTTGTCCGCTGAGGCATTTGTTTTCATGCAAGTAATTTCTGTGCTATGAATATCACGGCGCATAACTGAGGATTGAGGATTGAGGCTTGAGTGGCGAATTTGTGGCAGTGTCGGTGCTGTCCGGTGAGGGTGTGTAGAGAACCACTACAGCGCGGTGTGGGGAAATCTGCAGCATTCGTGGCTATGCTATGAAGACACAGCGACGGAGTGTAAGGATCGGATGGTGGGGAAAAGGATGTGTTGGATTGCAAAATCGTTGGGGATCCGTCTGGAGCGTGTCAGCAAACGTGGGTTTGAAAGTCCTTCATGAACTGTTTGTCGACTGATATCTTATGTAAGATGAAGGACGGGTGGGTTTACCGCCAATGGAAGTATCGAAACGTGGGGGAACGGAAGACGGGGGAAGCGGGAGGAGCGGGAAGGGCGTTGGAAAGCTTCCTGAAGATGTTGGTCTTTGGGAAGGATAGGACGAGAGGATGTTTTGTTGGATGTATATCTACGGCGAGGTAGGCTCGCTCGCAAAGAAGGATTGCTGATGTTATGTTGCGTAGGATTCCACGGTCGTGGTATCGAGTGGGGGATGTGCTCGAAGCGTGAATGTCGGTATAAGCGTGGCGTATGGAAGGATTCACATGAGTCCAGCCTTCACGCCGTACATACAGGAGACCTGTGCCCCACAAGTCACTCGCAGGGCTCACACAGCGCTGACATTGGCTGAGGAATAGTGGCGGTGACGAGCAAGTACACAGATAGCCAGATACCTTGGAATAATTGAATTGGCGAAGAAACTCCGATTAGATCGGCGTGATCCCCTATGTAGTTGCAATACCTAAGTTGGCAGAGCTTAAGCGAGTAGGCTTGGCTAATGTTGATGAAGGAGAGTTGCAAGAAAAGACATAAAACACCCCGTGTCATGAAGACCCGCCCCCATGATTTGAAGAGAATAAATAGAAACCTGATGTGCAAAGCTCGCTGACCACGCGCCATTTGCGATGTGAGTTGAACCGGCATCGCAGCAGAACCCCCAACATGTGAACCCCATTTATCGAAAGTCACCAGAACTGGAATGCAAAGGGGTGGGGAACGGGCTTCGATCTAATAGTAGAACTCCTGCTGAGGGGCATGAAGGAGAAGCAAATCAAGACTTTTTGAAAAGGTGTGGTGTTTTGAGGAGAGGGGGGTGAGGGGGGGATGTGACGTGAGGGCTTGAGTCTACCGAAAAAGGCACAAGCATGTCATATTTGCTTGGCACTCCCTACGCAAAGTGAAAACAATCAAAATTTCTCCAGATTATAAACAGCCCTGCTGGGCATCAACGCTCGGAAGATCCGGGGCTTAGATGGTCGGCGGTCGGTCAGACGGTTGGTGGATGATGTATGACTTGGCTCGTGCGTTTTCCGACCATCCAACATCCGTAGTTGATGGAAGCAATCAAGCCTTCTTGCCGTTGATGGCTTTGAGTTCGACGTCGCTATACCCAGTATCAGCAAGGTTGACGGTGGTAGATTAATGTCTCAGTGCGTGAGGGACTTTCCCGATGGAAGTGCTTGGGATATGCGTTGGGCAGGAACAAAATGGTACGAGGCATCCCGCAGACGCCCGAAGGAGAAGGTGTGAGAAAGAGGAGGGAATTTGGCGGTGTTCAGGACACGGGGAGCACAGACGATTGATGTACGGATGGATGAAGCGTGATGAAAGTTGGGCACCTACAAGATCAACCTGGCATTCTCTGGAATGTGTCCTGGGAAACCACTGTGAATTTACTCAAGGGTTAGCTGCCTGTGCTCTCAAACGTCTATCAGATCAACTGCGGATCCGCGGGGAATGCTATTTTCTGCAATAAGGCCAATGCCAATGACAATGGATGGAACCGGTCCATTGCGGTGCGCGTTGGTGTCAATGGTCGGTGTAGCGTCGAGAGCGTGCGCCCGACTTGCCGAATACTAGTGCAGACGTCGATATTGGCCACGCATCGCCGAAGTCGAAGTCCGCAATCGCAGGTACAGTGCTGATGGTGGAACAACGAAGTCTCAGAGGAACTCACCGGCTACCGTAGCCATAGTCACTAGAGGCGGCGCATTGCGTCAGTCATGTGGTGTGAGAAGGAGAGCAAGAGACAAGGCCGGCCAGCCAATAGGCGCATTACGTACGCTGAAATGGTCAGAGTCGCCTTTTCGCCTAGCGACATGCCCGCGGTCGAGCCGGAGCCCAGAATGCCCTCATCCCAGCCTGTGCAGCACATCAGTCCATTATTGCACATGTCTCAATATCCAGTTGCAGACGGAGAGAGACGGACAGCGACCGATGCATATGAAAAATACGTACCTCTAATAACTCGGCCGACGCCAATGGGCGTGATGAGGTCTCCTCGACCAACCGACGAGTCGAATCTGAGATCCATCGTCAGTCCCAAGTACAGATCTCCCAGATGGGCCTAATTGGGAAGAGATCGACTTAGACTTACTTGGTGCCTTTCTTGTCGCTGGCATTATCGTCGTAGAGCCATCCTATTTCTCTGTGAGACCCTCCATGCAAGCATGTGTGACCTGCGTGTTACCTGTGTATTCCATCGACACCTCGTCGTGCTTCTTGGGGAAGTCGACTTCGTTGCCGGTTTTCAGGACTTTCTTTTCGACACCCATGGTGATGGTCGATTTGGTAGGGTGGGAAGGGGAAAGGAGGTTGACTAGGTGCTTGATATATGCTGGCCGCTCGGATGGTGAAGCTTGCTGCGGGGCACGCCGGACAAAGGCAGGTGCTAGAGCGTTGTGAAAAGGAGAGAGAAGTGGACTAGAGCTTCTCTGGCTGAGGGAGGATGGGGTCCGGTTTTTAAAAGGTAGGTGAAGGGCATAGAGCCACAGCTCTCAAGAGGCTCTTTGGGTGGTGTATGGCTTGAGCTTGGGCTCTAGCTCCAGCTCCTCCCGCAAGGAAGGTAAGGTCCAGGTTCATCGGTCAGTGCTGTAAAGCCGTGGAACAGATTGGCTTGCTGAATTGCATCAAGCATTTTAACCCCTCGCATAGGCGGTTGTTGCACTCGTGTGTCGAGGCCGTGGCCCATGGCCCTAGACGGACAGCCGCCCTTAGAGCCCGTCCGTCTCTCGGGGCACTCTCCCCGATGCTCAAGCCGTTTGAGCGCCAGCACAACGAACCAGCCCTGGTGGACCGTGAAGCCAGCCGTCATCCGCGAGGCCCCAGCTGACCGGCATCCGTTTCGACTTTGAACCTTCACCCTGGCTCGCAGAGTACTTCCCGTCTGCCCCTCCTCGGCCACTCCCACTACCACCCACCTCCAGCCCACTACAACTCTTCAATTCCGCATTGCAAGCTTTCAGGAGCCTTCTCGCGGCTTCTCGGGTTCCGGCCCAGCGCCCGGTTGCGTGACAAACAACTTCACTTTCTCACGGACACTATTGCGTGAAGAGCTAAGTAAGGTGGGGTGGTGGGGTACGACATGTACACCTCGCAACTATCTCATGCCCACCCATCTGTATGGCGTTTCGTCAAAACCTTAGCCCCGCGAACTGTGCCCATCTGTGGATGCGTGAACAGGGCTCTGCATGGCTTGCCTTCTCGTCAAAGGGTACACAACCTCCTCGAGTCACGCCTTCGTGCTCCCCGGCAACCCTTTCAGCCACAAAATTCCGATCATGTCGAATGATGTAGCATAACCGCCAACCCTCCCTCATGAAAGTGGTTCACTTGGAGCCTCTGATTCGATGGCTTGCCCAGAGGTCCGCATTGTCTAGCTCCTCGAGCGCTTACGGAGGGGCAGTTTTGCTGCTCTCCTCTAACCTCATTCTCTCTATTCCAGAGCTGTTCGACGGAATACCGAGGCATGCGGCGGACTACTCGACGTGCTAAAAACAACAATATGAACCAAGAAAAGCAAATGGAACATTAGGCGCTAGCAGCCTGGAAGAGGCAAGCCACGAGACCGCCCGTCATTCTGATCTACCACCCAAAACTAAAATTAAAAAAGCAAAGAAAAAATGTCCGTTCAGACAGTATGCAGATCGGCACAAAGACCTGCTCAGCCCGAACCACTTCCCACAGGCTCGCTTTGCTACTCGCCAAAGCACGACGAAAAGCCATTCTTGTTGCAAGCAGTCGAGTCAAGACATGTCTCAATCCCGCTTTCTAAGTTACCTGTGTCATGATTGCGCATTCCAGACTGTTTACAAACCCGTGAGTGATATCTCTGGTCCCGAACTGTTCTTCAAACCTGGCCGCGCTATCCTTCAGACACCCCCTTAACACGCCCGTTCAACGTTCGCTAGTGTCTAGCGCAGAGACTGCTCTCCGGAAATCTAAAAGCACAACACGCGGCGGCACAGAAACCTCCGACTAAAAGTGCTCCCTACTTCAGAAAACAGCACCAATCAAAACTGCAGCGGATTTGGCAACCTTACTTCCGCACAAAACCACACACCCACAGTGAGCGTTTAGTGTGCTCGACTGTGAGTGACCGGATGACGTTATGTCTAAATGCAGATTTCGTACAACTGTCGTGCTTCTCGCGGTAAACCCTAAAATCCCACCTGTACACGCGAAAAATGCCAATGTATCCTTTGCAAAAGGCAAAACTGCTTGACGTCCCGCTCCATCGGCATCGTCGGCTTTGCTATCGAATGGGAGGTTCTGAGATAGCTGGCGCACGTCCCCGCGCTGGTCACACGTGGTGCACTGATGAAACATGATCCAGCCATCGCACCCATCAGCCAGCCCGTGAAGAGGCGATCGTGAGGGCACCTGCGCCATGACCTGGGTCTCCCAAAAACTCGGTTTGGGCCCTGTAACAGACCAGCGGGTCGCATTCAGGGTCACACATTGGTCAAAACGGTTGCGCTTGCAGCGGCTGGGGTCCACAGCATGCTGACTGGTGCACCCCACGCTTCTGAGGCAGATTGCCGTGGCGATTCGGCAGCTTTCGATCAATATTGATATCATGAACCTTCTCCAAGCCACATTTATGGACTGCATTGCGAAATGCAATGTTAAAGTCGTATGCTCAGCCAACTACTCTCCGCCAACGTCCGATTATCAAAAGGCGCATTGCACGAAGCTCACGAACGGCTAATATCAAACCTAGTTCACGGTATCAAGACGTGATTGGTCGTATTACTCATTTTCATGAAGAGAGGTGCTTATTCACGGCTTTGCGGCAGCGACTTTCTGGTGGTGACTTTTTTTTTTACTGATTGGCCGTCCAGAAGGGAAGTTGTGCAAGCTCACTAACGGCTATGCTCGAAAAGCCGGCATTGGGGAAGCGGTTGTCCTTCCGCGGAGCATTACGGTCGGCATACCAGATGTGTTTCACCCTCGCCTTCTGTACGAAGTCCAATAGCCGAAAGTAGTTCGTACCGACTTGATCTGTAGAATGACTGTCGTCGGATATTGTGAAACGTCCTCCCATGCGCTGAAATGCCTACGCGATAAGGGTCAGAAAAACAAACAATCGCGCCAGGCCCTCAAAAGCGGTGTGACCAACCTCACAGATGGGCAGACATGGATAAGGCTGAGCCAAGCCCTTCCGAAGTGCCGAAGAATTGAGCTCGAGTATCCCGCCATACGAGGTAATGTATTCCAGATTACGATGAATGCGCTCCCAAACGCCATTAAATCCATTGAATTCGGCATCGGGCTCGTCGCTCAATAGACGTATGAGATCAAAATGTCCAACAACAGGCGGTTCAAGTGCTTGGAGCATTTCATACTGGGAGTCGAAATAGTCCTCGAAGAGCCTCTCGTCTGTGCCGCCTGCCTTTGCCCGAGCCCTTTCGTACGCTGCCTTGTCAAAATCGATAGGAACGGTATGAACATGGTGGACGGATCCCATGAAGAAATCAAACGTGTGCTTTGCGAGGATCTCCTGGATCAGGGTCAGGGATAAAGGCCGGATCCATTCGGTCTCGAAGCCGATAAAAATGTTTATCTTGGGGGAGTACTCATCCCTGAGTCGGGCTGCTTCACCTGTGAAATCATCGAATAGCTTCGCGAGGCTTGCTTCGGTATATGCCAGTTCCTGCTATGATGGCGGTTAGCAAGCAACCTCATGGTCGGCGTTACGCGAGACATACGCACTTCTTCTGGATAGAAATCCTCGATGTGACGTGGAATGTGCTCTGTCAGGGAGAAGGTGTGGAAGCCTTTTGATATAGCCTCCTGGATCATCTCTTCCAATGTGTTCTTCGCATGGGCGCAGAACTGACCTGAGTGGCTGTGGTGAGAATAGGGCATGACTGGGGACTGTCGAGGGTGGGATGTGTGTGGTGGGGTGGACGAGGACGGATCACTCAGGCATCAGCGATAGCAGTTCGGATCAGGGAAGGTGGAGGAAGAACCGCTATCGCGTTAAAGCAGGGCTGGTGTCATGGATGGACCTTGGTATGGGTGAAGCAAACTTGTGAATTAGGAAGGCGCAGATTTTGTGACCTCGTGTTTCTCCTCTGGCACAAGCCTAGCTCAAACGCATTCCTTGTGAAACGAATGGTGGAAGACTAACTGTCCTGGGGAACGAATAGTGAGTTGTGCATCGAGCAAGGAGAGGGAGAAGGAGGGATGAATATTTTTCGTTGCAGAGAAGCTTAGGTCACCACGTAAGCTGACCCTCAACGCAATCCCACATCGCTCTTTAGTGTTTCCTATTCTAGGAAGTCGTGACACCAACATTTTGTTGAATAACCTTTGCTGTTCGAGGATTTGAAATATTTTTTGAGGCTCAGCTGCATATGGCGGAGAGGGCGTCTCATGCTGACGACGATTCAGCTGGAAAGCTGCCAGAGAGGACAGGCTAGCCTAAATTAGAGGACCAGTCTCCCTGCTCTCGCCATGAACGCAGATGATGCACTGGAGACTGGTGATTAGAGTTGGAAGATTTGTGGAAGATAGATGCCATCTCGGATACTTTTGAGGAAGCTAGTCTATGCAAGGTGAGGTAATCACCGCTCCTCCCTCCACCATGTCACCTGGGAGCGCTCTTTCCTCATGCTGGGCCTAGAACTCGCCGTTTCCTTGTAATTCCTGCTCATCACATGCGCTCGTGTCATTGTCGTGTTTTATCTTGCCCTTTGGTCATCAAATCATTCACAGGCTCACCTGTGAAAGAGTCTCGATAACGTCAAAATCTTAAACTGACGACGAAGTGAAGCTGTGCGTGAGTGTATTGCATCTTTTACTACAGAAACTTTGAGCTGTACCCGAGCATCCAACAATGCATGGTTAGAGGATATGCTAGGCAAACAAGGAGTAGATGACACGAAGGTTTGACATCTGAAGTCTAAGACCCCAGGGTTAATCCCAAGGTCAAACGCAATTTGCTCTACGTTGTATTCCTTTCCATAAGGGCCCTTTCTGCGTCAAAGGATTCCTCTTCGGTGACCAGATTTTTAGCCTGCATACAAAGTGGAACTAGCTAAAAAAAAAAAAAGTGAAATGAGCGAAGTTGACTCTCTCTCTCCTCAGTTCTCGTCCACAAACCTCCTCGCCTGCTCCCACGCCTTATCCTCTACACTCCTCCTCTTCCCATTTCCCTCCCCTCTTCCCCCCTCCTCCTCCTCCACCGGAATGAATTTTCTCATAACACCCTCCACATATCCCCTCGGCACTCCCATCATGTCTGCATCCTCAATCCCCCGATTCATCCTCCAAATATACTCTTTCTTGGGCGTACTCTCCTCGGTCCTTTTCCTATCCACATACACCAACATCTCCTTCTCGCAAGTCGAGGGCTTGCTGACATCCGTCCACTTCCCATCGGAGGATTTCCAAAAATCGCAGGCAAGATACTCCTTGGTATAAGCGAATGGTACGCCCTCATTGACATCCAGTCGATCCTCGTCTTTCGGTTCTAAGGAGTATACGAGCCCAAAGACAACATTATCGTACTTCGACTTCTTGTTTACCGGATTTGTATCTTCCTCCTTTGCCTCTTTAGCAGAAGTAGCGCTCTTGACTTCCACCACGTTTGCATAACCGCGATCGTTGATAATCCATTTGTATTCGTCCAACCGCGCTACGCCTAGGAATTTCGATGTCGGGCACCGGAGTTCCATTTGGTGGAGCCAAAGATTCGATCCATAGCCGAAGTAGATGGTGGGGGTCGAATCGTTTGAGGTCATTGTGGAGGAGATAAACAGCGCCTGGTCTAATGTGACGGTGCTGAAAAGTGATGAAAGAAAGGTATAATTTGATATAAAAGGGTTAACTACAACCGCACCCAGTGGACCCTTTATAAAGCTTAGAACGCCAAATGCACAATGCTGTGAGTCACAATGCAGGAGGAGGCACCGGGAGCCAGAGCAAGCGCAACCAAAAATTATTCCTAACCTTTTGTACCTTGGTACCAGGTGTTAACTTAACAAAGCAAGAAGACAAACGCTGATTCATGCCACAAGCAAAGGACGATCTCGGCGCCTAAAATGCCGAGTCATCGGCCCGAGCTTTGAGCCGCCATGTACAATCGCAAAATCACAGGAAAAATTCTATTCACTATTCGCATAGGCAAACGGGCATCCTTGAAGGGGATGAGACCACACATTGGGGAAATCTTAAAACTAGAGACAGAGACAGTGGCAATGAGAAACCCCCCAACGACTGAGAATACCAGGACTGTCACCGAGCAACTATCACTAGAAGTATAGCTGCTTGCTGGCTGACCCCCGGAATCCCCTCATGACGCAATCTTTCATTCTAAAAAGCTTCGCTAGATTCATGCTCCTTCACGAGCCTTACGGTAGCTGGCCTAAATGAAACGAATAGATCAGCTTGGGCGAAGATAAGCGCGCTAAGACGATGCATCAGATCAGGTCGACAGGGTGTTTTGCAACAGTGTGCAGATCAGAAATCAGACGACTGGTGGCGACGCACCTCCTGCTCAACCTGCAGTTGATCAACAACTGGGGCCAACTCCGACAGGATCTCGTATGCCTTCTTATGGTACTCGAGTTGGGCGGCGATGAGGTCCGCAAGATTGCGGAGGGGTTCGGGGGTGTCTAGGACCTGATATGTACGAGTTAGGTGGCTGACCAAAGGGTAGAACTGCCGCCGTGGCGGCAAAAATCACGTATCGGTAACTCACGTTCTTCATGACACCAACGGCCTCTTCCGTCTGGCCAACAAATTCATCCTCAGCCTGCTCCACCTTGGCGCGGGCTTCCTCGGTCATCTCCTCCTCCAACCCATCTTTCCGACCGGCGGGCTGACCTGGCAAATGGAAGCCCGGGCCACTCTTAGCCTGGGCTTTGGTAGCATCGAGACTCAACCGAGCGTTCTCGACGGCCTTGCGAGCACGAGTTGCGAACATAATGTTGGTGTTCAGAGTCGTACTCCATCCGGCTAAGAACCTGCTCTGAATCTGGGCATCCTGATTTAGCCTTGCCTCTCCAACCTTCTCGCTGGCAATGGCGAATTTCTCAAGGGCAGTAGCGAGGGGATCTTCGCCGGCGCCGGCGTGCTCACCAGACAAGATATGAGAGCTGTTTAGGGAGGCGCGGGCAATGGCATGGCTGAAGGTCTTCGGCTGGGGTTTCGCGGAAGGAGGAGCAGTGAGGGCGGCCTGGGCCTCGGCGGGGGAGGTGGCAGAGGACAAAAGGGTTACTTTCTCAGAGACAGTCCGACCAAGGTCGTTGAAAGATTCCCTGATATTGGCGGGATAGTCGTATGCTTCATTCGAGTATTGAGAACTAGTGACAAAGGACGTTAGTTGCGCCGCGGCCGCGTGACAGAGTGGAAGGGTTCATACGTGACTTGAAGCATAGCATTGTGGACCTTCTTCAAGGCATCGACTCGCTTTTCGAGTTCGATATAGTCTGGCGGAAGCTGGGTCTATTGCGGTCCAAGTCAATGTTGTCCTCTGAGGTGTTGTTGGCGAAGCGTGTCAGGGGCTCCCACTGACGCCGCCTAGCCATCGCGGGGAGGTGCGCACCTTGTCCTCAGCCTGGCCGAGCTGTTCCTTGACATACTGCTGTGTTCTCGCAGCGAAGGGGGTGAACGAGGCGCTGCAGCGGCCATGTCAGCAGGTGAAGCTTCGCAAGCGGAAGTAGGAAGCGGGCAGGGAAGGAGGGCCGGAGTAGCGTACGAGATGTTCTTGCCGAAAGCTTGAAACTTGTCCATGACGGAGATCTGCTAATGACTCTGGGGTTGTGGAGGGTATATTGGATGCGGCGACGAAGCTGATGTTCAGGTGTCGAATAGCTTCTGCTGGACGCCGCCGGCCCCATGCCACGAGGGCGGCGCACGAACCATGCTGCGCCACACTTAGACCCCATTTGTCCTGATCAGAGAGCCTCAAACGGTCCTCGTCCTCGCATCGCAATGGACAGCGCCTCGTGCCCATTTATCTGCCCTCATGGCGGTTGTGAATTTCTCCGAAGTAGTCCTGTGTCCTATCGTGAGCCCGTTGCCTCCCCGGGGCTTGGCCTGGTCTTCTTGACTTGAGGCGCTCTTAAAATGTTTCACATATTGCAATTTGCTCAGCGGCATGTTTTAAATATCGCCATGCTGATCTGACCGATGAACATCACGCAAATGGGCCGTCAAGCCGATTATGCACACTAAAACATCTTTTGTTTAAGAAGGTAATCTCTGGCTAAAGTCGAGTCACCCTTGAAAATGAATCAATGCAGCCCGACACCAAATCCAATCTAGCCTGTTCCGTCCACCAAATTGGAGCCTTCTGAATCGCTGCAAAGCGAAAGCGAGTGAATTGTACAGAGAAGGAAAACGCAGGACTCAAGAGTTAGTCCAGTAAGGGAACAATATAAATCGAAATATAAGAGTGCAACCTTTGTATGTATGCCGGGATAATAATGCTTCGGACACTCAAGGAAACAAGCTTGTAGATTAAGTATACTGGGTCATCAATACAGGTTCAAGAAGCAGAGGTAAAACGCTACGGGCGCACCATGCAGCCCGCGCCGACGTGGCATAAGAAGTGGAGGATTCTGAGAGCAATGTATTGAAAGGAAATGACTCAAACAAAAGAAATGTTGTGTAAAATGTTGACCATCATGCGCCGTTGCCGTTCCCCGGGGGTATCTCAGCATATCCGTATCTTTCCACCTGACCATTTCTGCCCTTGAATCTAACTTTTGCTCCCATGACTGCACTCCGTTGCGGCCGTGTCTGCATTGTGCTTCCATAATGATAGGGTGGTGGGTTTGGAGGAGATGACGTCGAAAATGGGTTGCAGGAGAAGAATAATGTTTGGAAGAGGGGTTGGCATATGTGGGGTCGCCTCGCTAGATTATTCCAAAAATGCTGAAATACGCGGCAGGAGAGGTGCGTCGTGACACAGAACTGTCTGTTTTGTCGCATATACACATGCAGGACGCAAGCCGTGCTTCATGTGTCGATCAAGGTGTCACCGAATGCCGTTCCAAATCATCAGATGGACTCTCGTGGTACAGGGCTGGAATAGAGCGTTTCAGATGCATCTGATGAGCTGCACATAACCGCCACCCGGGGACTTGTCATCTTGTCGACGCCAACGTTCATTGTCCAGGGAATTGGCCTGTAGTGTACGGATCCTGTCCTCCAAACTTTTCATGTTCGTAACTCCAGGCAAAGTCGGGAGACCCGCCTGTGTAAATGAGTGTCTCATCTAAATTCGTTGGTACACCCGCACTTCCAAGTATGCCTTCGATAGGAGTGTCACTTGTTCTATCAGATGACGGCGAGTCTGAGATGTTGAGTGAGCTGAAGATGCCCCTCATTTCTCGCAGATCCTCGGAAGTCTGGTCCTTGGGTTCTTGTGTCCGGTCAGAGATAAAGTTCTTGATCGAACGGATGATGGGCGGACAGCCTTCGTCATTGGGCAACCACCAATCAGAGGGCTCTAGCCCCCAAGCTTCTAGCATTCGATTACGAAGTGTGGTAGAGTAGATGTAACTAGGGAAAATAGTCAGTACCTTCTGTAGTACAACTAGCTAAAGCGGTCTGGCAGCGGGGTGCGGTAAACTGGGTGAAATATAGAAACACTGTGTATGTTGTGTGAAGGAAAATGAACTCAATGGCTCAGAACACATAGTCAGTCTAAAGCGTGTCGAAGAACTTACCCAGCAGACTCGATTTTTGCAAACGTGCGGCGGCACCACTGTATGGTCTTCGGATCCTTGGGAAGGAAGAGCGTTGCAATAGCAAGACATGCTTGTGCTTCGATGATCGCGCCTGGTGGGGCTTTGGGATACATGGTGACGGCTTCGAAGGTTTGGGCTGCTCGATATGCTTTCTCACCCACATCCGGATCGATCGGTCTCCGTAGGGCCAACGAACACTGAATATTGTACATAAACATAATGCCCCAGGAATCCAGCAAGAGATAGTTGGATGTCCATTGCTGGCCTTGCCAAATGATGTTTGGTTCATAAGGATTAACGATGTCGTCGGGGTCCGGTGTGCCAGAGAAGTCTGTGATATAACCGCTAGGATCGAAAAGTATAGGATCAATGTTCTTATCCAAGCCTTTAACTCGCTGGTCTATCTCACCCAACTGCGTCATGAAGGCTTCATCAGTGAGCTGCCCTTTGGACCTCCTCGCAAAGAGATCGTTGAAGTCCTTGGCCACGAGTCGCGAATATGCAAATCGTTCTTCGTATTTAAGCGTAATGTTTTCTGGGTTCTCGCGGGCCTGATGGACATAAAAGTCGTGGATTGAAACGTACCATTCCTGGCCGAGGACGGCTTCTGCGCCTGACTGAAATCCTACAAATAAGTCAAATCGAACGTACCACAACAGCACCTTCCTTAGAAGCTCTGATTTCGTGATGGTTTGTGGCGTATACAGTTTCTTCAAGATTTGATAAGCCGCTTTCTGATGGCCCATAAGATTGACCCAGTCACCGAGGACCTCCTGCGAAAGGGGGTTAGAAGAATGCAAATGGAGGAAAGGGAGTATGTTTACCTCAATACTAGCAAGTTGTAAAACAGTCATCAATGTAGCAAGGGTGTGCTTCTTGCTTTTCGTAAGGGATTCAATTAACAGTGACACCGACCTGTCGTAGTACTGGAGAAAGCTCGACATTCGTCCGTCTGGTTTCGAGAGTGTGTGGTAATAGGCAGCAAATCCCACCACAGCATATAGAAGGGGCTCATTCTTGATGGTCATGTCTAGGAATGCAGTCTGAAGAAAATTGCCGCCATCGCGCTTCAAGGCGTAGTGGTGGAAGGAAACTTGGTTCCGGAAGTAATTGAGATAGAATTTGACGTCGTTTGGTAGCTCAGGAATGTATCGGCTGGGTGTGGCAGATTGCTTGGTGGCTTGGTTGCTGGTGGAACGGGAGAGTGGAGGACGTGGCATTGAATTCGCTATTGTCGAAGAGGCTTCGGTCGACGGCGAAGGACTTCGACCATGGGTTAACGACGGTGTGTCAGATGGGTCCCTATTCGACGGAGCGTTTGAAACAGTGTTTGACTCGGTCTCCACCTCCTCGTCGTCGTCAGGGATCGCAGATAGTGGCTCCTTGAGGTCTTCTTGCTGGTCTTCTGGAGACGAACCACTTTCTTGCCCAGACTTCTGACCTAATTTTGCTCCACTTCGGCCGGATTTGGAGGCTGATTGGGGCTCGGGATACACACACTCCCGATTACCTTTGCGACATCCTGCGGGAAGGCTAAGTTGAGCACAAGTATAAAAAAAGGGTACAGGAATACTCACTTTCGCAGACAGGATGATTTTCGTCACACTGTTTTCATTGTATCAGCCAGTATGTCTCATTCGAATCTAATAAAGGGATAACTACCTTGACCCTCCGATTCCTACATGTATAGCAGCCACTTCGAGTTCTGCGGTGCTTCACATGGTCCCCGGGTGCACTGCGTCGTCTCATGCGTCCATTGCCGCCTGGTGGGGCTCCCATAACTCCGGGGATATCCTCATATTGGTCCATATAGGCCTGTTGCATCTGCGGTTCCGGATAAGGAACAAAGGCACCTGGAAGTCCATGGTAAATTGGGGTGTCAGGAAGACCGTGAGGGATATGAGCCTCAGCTGTTGTCATCGGTGGGACATTTTGAATGTTTGGATTAGGGACCGCATTTGGATTGACATTGTAATACTGGGGCGGAATATGTTGGTTTGGAGGATAGTATCCAGACATGTCTTCGAGGCAGCGAGGAAGAAAAGAGAGCGGCGAAGAGATTGTGGTCGACAATGAGAGGAGCGCAGAAACGTGATCAACGTCATCCGTGCCCCCGAGAGGTCGGCCTGGCAGGGATTTGAGGACGATCGCAGGAAGTCGGGGATGGGGTCAGCGCCAGGGAGTTAGAGAAAGTGTGTTTGAAGATAAATCAAGGGAATGGGCGCTGATTCAAGGGAGTAGTTGAGGACAACAAAAGATGGATGGTCAGGCCTGCGTTAGGCCCCTTGCTAGCACCGATGACCAGACCCCAGCGACCGGCTTTTAAACAGCACAATGGAGTCTTAACTTCCCGCGGAAAGCAAGGTGGTTTCTGACGCGCGCAACACAGGCGCTGATGGGGGCAGGTGAAGTGCCAGCCTGAAACTGGCTGGTGGTGCTGTCGACGTTATGAGGAGCACAGCAGCCGCAGAAAGAGATAGTGCCTGAGCTACTGTATGTGCCTGTGACAAAAGCCATGTATCTTGCTTGCGTCCAGGGAGAAGCAATGCTGGGCGTCGGAGCCCACAGCTAGAGTGCTCATCAGACGTAGGCGGGGAGAGATGGCCTCTGCAGATGGCGGCCAGGGTGTTCAGAAAGGGACGAGAGCGGGCTGCACAGATTCCAAGTCACCTTTTCCACCTGTTCCGGCCAGTCTTCGACGGCCGTGCGCCGCGCGCTGGCGGTTTGATTCGAGCCGGACGTTTCCGCTGCCCGCCCACATCTGCGCAGGCTCCTTCTGCAATCCTTGATGCGCGTCTTAACAGCAACGCTATGGATCCACCTTGCCGCTCCACGATGACGGCCAGCGCCCAGCTGTCGACCATCCGGGGACAAAGGTCAAGCCGCACGCCTCTTCTGGGGCGCCAGCAGGGGAACGGGGCCAGGGCCGGCGTGTTGCTCGCTCCAGCCTGCCTCCTGCGGCACTTCTGCCACCATCCCGGCCGATGATCGCACCTGTCAACTGTCCGAGGCCTGCTGTCAGCGCATCGCTCACCAACTGGAGCTCACAACGCTTCGTGCCTAAAGACAAGATCGCCTTTGCAGGGTGGCCAGCAGCCAGCAGTAGTGGCGGGCGCGGGCCAAGCCTCAGCAAGATGACAGCAGGAGCAGCGGAAGCACTCGAGACGGCCGAGGCGTACGAGCAGGTGAGGGAGGCGGGGAGAGGTGGGGGGCGGATGATGTGAAGGCCTCACCACTGGCGACGCAGCGAATGACGCCGCCGTGAGGGTTGAAAGGACGCCGATGGGTGCGGCAATTGGGCTGGGCGGCGTGTGGTGCGGAATTCTGGTTCGTATGGCCCAGCGCCACAACCACTCCCCTTACTCAAACCGCGTGAAGGCGTCTGCAGCAGAGTTTTGATATAGGGCAGAGCATCTATAACTGCGGAGTCTCATTTTGCGTGCTGACCCCGAACAGGCGCGAGCGCCGATGCAGCTAAAAACTGAAGGGCCTGACTGCAGCCCCAGCATGCGTCGAGCCTCGAGGCTCCCATCTTTGTGGGAGACGTCGATATCCGATCGCCGAACAGGGCTAGGGCGAGTAACCCAATTCACCCAGCCAGCCAGCGCCATCCGCCTCTTCAGACGGTGACAGGACCGTTGGCGGGAGAAGGAGGCCGAGAGGTTTCGAGAAGAGAGGCCGCGGCTACATCTACTAGCCCGTTGCGTGATAGTTGGCCCAACCTCAGCCCAGAAGCAGTTGCACCCCTGACATTCCGGCACAGTGGTAGCCGTGGGAAGACGTGAGGTGCGTATCTGAAGGCAGAGATGACGGCCAGTGGTCGTTTTTGCTGGCACGCAGCCTGCCGGCATGACACAGAGGCATTTGTGGACATGAATCCAGAGTGGCATGTCACGGGGAGTTTTACTCCATCCAATCCGCTCGCAGCTGCAAATTGATGGGTGTGCGATGCATCAAAGTTCGGTGCTCGCATTGAAACCTTACTGAAGACTCTTGACAGGGAAGCCGTCCCTCGGTGTGAATGGTCTGCCATGGGGAAGCGCGAGTAACAGAGGGATGCCATTTGCCGCAGTGCGCAGCCCATCGACGACATGCCTGGCGGACGCCGGATCCGTGTGGTGTCGACGTCGTCTTTTTCCATTTGATAGAGGCCCGCCGTGCTTGTCCATGCTGCGTCACTGCAATGCTGCACACCTTCCAGACTGTACCCTTTCCCCCAATAATGCTCCGACTGGGGCAGTAATGAACCGACTTCCAGCGGCTGCTCAATGGACATTGATTAGCGCAGATGCTGTACGTCATGTGCTGTGCTCCCTGATTCACGATCCATCAGTCCCAGACCGCTTCGGCCAGGATCGCATTCGCGGCGTGCGGAAGGATGGAGGATGAGGGATCCATCCGGATTCCTGCCGTACTCCGTAATACTTCCTCTTCCTTCAAAGCCTTCTTCTCTCGGATCCTCACCGCGCAGCTCAAGTGCTCACGGCATTTGAGCTGACGCCCCGATGGCGGGCCGCGCAACCCATGTGTGATGGCCGGACTGCATTGCATGAAGTGAGCAAGAGCAGCGACCGTCTTTCGTCGCCGCCCGCCAGCTAGCGCTCAGTGTCGTGGAGCGACGGCGGGTGTGGGGTTGGCTCGACAGTCGAGGGCACTTCCTGCAGCGACGGCCAGCGGTCAACAAGCGCACTACCGTTGCCCTGGATGCGTCCACGTGCCAAACAAGCTTCAACCCTGCTGGAGCTGCTTTCTGTAAGACCCATCGATCGGAATGCATCTCCTTTGAAACACACAGACTGAGGTTGAAACTCCCCGCTGCTGCGCCCGCCCTTCCCTGTGCAGTGGAACTGTCTGCTGCGCGCCATTTGTGCGCTGGTTGCCTTGATTGCGGGGCTGGAAAGACTGGTACAACCACCGCCCACACTGCTGATGGCAGCCAGATACTGGAGTTTGTGACGACGAAGCAATACGCTGGATACGGGTGCCTCGGGGCCGCCGACGCCGGAGCATCTGCAGTCTCCATCTGCGTATCTGCCTGCGTATCCGCCGCCCAGGTTGGTCCGCTCTGGGCGACTATCCGCGTTGCTAAGTGGTGAGATTCGAGAGTCAGGAGCAGGCTCACTAGAGGCCGAACGTTCTTTGACCAAAGCATGGAAGTAAAAGTAAAATCTGCCGCCGGGTCGGGAACGTTTCCATTTTTAAATTTAAACGTAGCCAATGGCGACGGCAGAGGAGCGAATCCTGCGCTCTTTTCGGCCACTGGTGAAAGAAGTCGACGTCCAAGCATTCTTCTGACTTCATACATATTGGCCGACAGGGTCTGTCTGTCCTGATCCCCAGCACCCATATGCCGCGCTCTCGGGATTCGTCAAATCTGTCCCACAGCATTGTGTTTCCTTTGCTTTTGTGTTCCCAAAACTAAACGCACTACGAACGGCACAATTATTACAGAAAGCAGTCAAAATGATAGTGCGCTCTCCACACCATCAGACCTGCATTCCTGTTGCGCATGAATGCAGTAAAGTGCAGCAATCAAACCCTATCCACCGCCCGTATCCATAAGATATCGCATTTCGGTCACAACCTGATTGAGGAGATGGGCGGTTGTCACGCACTAGCCGCGCTCGCCGTGCTATTGGATTCATGAGGTCAACCAATAGACGCTCGGACGACGAATTCAAGGACAGGCCATGTTCGAGATGTTGTACCAGCGCGATCCCTTTCAGGACCAATTATGCTAATGCCGAGATCAAATTGCTTGTCGGGGCGCAAGAGCCTTACGGTGGTATAGGAATGGCAGCTTCGAGCAACGTCTAGGGATAGCGAAATATCTACCAATATTCAACACACGAAAAGGCCATGGAACTTCATACGGGCAAGCATCCGTATTCTACAGGCGCAAAGACTATCACATCACCACTATATCCCAGGAAATTTAAATGATTAGCATATCCGGCCGCATCCGTGACCCGGAAGGCTCTCCAGTGTCTTTCGCAGCAGTCCCCTTGCAACAAGGTGTGCTCCGACCACCACGGAATATTTCTCAAGATAGGAAGAATGAACGAACTTGTGGCCCTACGGCGAAGCAATCTCTGGGCGAATTATGGCCCTTGCCTGATATCGAGGTCGCCATTTCATCGAAATTCTGATTCAGAGCGTCCTGCGAGCCATCATCCCGCGCTTTCAATAAACCTTGACTACTGCAAAATGACTCTGCTGTGTCCCATCTCCCGCGCTCGGATACCAATCGTGTACGCATTAAAATTCTGTTCCTGTTCCATGTCTGAGAAACCATGTACATGCAGCCAAAATGTAAGAAGAAAATAGTCGTCAGTCATCCACTTTCACATGCACCCAAAATATCGCCGTGTTGAGGTCGTTCCTCGCCCGTCATGTCCCTTAACGACGCCCTGATATGACCCATCCTCAAACCCGATAGTGCCATTTCCCAGCCTTCCCCTAATACCATTGCAAATTCCTTGCCTCGACGGGCATCCAGTCCAGGGCACCCACCAACGCCGTACGCTTCAGATCAAAATGAGGGATAGAGGCCAACGTCATGTCTGAGTCTCTCGAGAGATGCCTTCCGAATTGAATCCGTAGGTGAGGAATGAGTAGGTGAAAATCCAATTAAACAGAGTAGAGTCTCGAACCCAAAGTTGAAAGAGAAGAAGTGCGCGCGCTTGAAAATCTCTAGGTTGAAGAAAATATCTGAGCACATTGTCCGTAGGGTGAACCAATGAAGAATGACTTGCTGACGCAGCGGACAGGTTGCTATGCAAGTGTCTGTGAATTGGCTAAATCAGCGATATCTGGGGTTGTTGGCTGAGAACCATTTGTTGTCTTCTCATCCACTCCTTGGCTTCTACAAAGTGGGCAAGAATTGCGCCCGGTAGTGAGCCACTGCTACAGACATCAGCATACTGAGCCACATGGTGAAGTAGCAGTCAACTTACCTGATCGATGCAAATTTTATGGAACAAGTGTCCGCATTTAATCAGTTTCCGTGCTGCCTCGTCCGCCTCAAAGTCGCACAGACAGACTAGACAACGTTGGTCAGCTGCAAGACGGAATGTCTCGCCGCCCTCAACAGCCTCCGCCACCAGAGTTCCACATTGCTCATGAATTAAGTACAGACCAGGGGCCGCAGCAACATCTTCTTCTGTGGCAACGGGGGGTTTGGCTGGCCCAAGCAAAGTAGAGAGAAGAAGCATATCCTCGTACGTCGGCGAATCAGTGAAAAGACTAGGGGTCGTAAGGATAGGATGATTCTCAGGGTAGCTGCCTCCTAACACATAGATGATCCAGCTTCTTGAACCCTCCCCTGGATTATGATCAGGTTCAACAACGCCATTCCTGCGAGAAGCACCAGAACCAAACCTGGTGAAGTCAGATTCGCTTAATCGTCGTTGGCGGGGAGTCCGCTGTGGACGTTGAGGCTCCTCTGCGGTGGGTTCCAAGCTCGAGCCTGTAGCCCTTCGGATGAAGCGCCTGCGGCGCGAGGGGGCAGTTGATTGAACGGTTGGTGAGGGAGGGGTAGTTGAAAGGGTTGGCGTGGTTGTTCCAGACGACACAGCAGAGAGTCTTGAGCTGGCAGGAGTAGTCGGAGGGGGAAGAGGTCCAGAAGGAGAGTCAGCGAGCGTAGACCACGGACGAGGGCGATCCGGAGAACGGTAATGCCGCTGGCTATCATAATTAGATGGGAAGGTGTTCATGCCACCCATCGACGCACGTCGGCGATGGCTAAACCTTGTGGCGTTTGGCGGCTGTCGTAACATTCCATCCATGGTGTTTTCGCCAGGAGAAGCTAGAGGAGTCGGAAAGCTGGATAGGGCGTCCAGGAAAGGAGGAATATTGCTGTCATCATTGGCTGGGTTGTTGGCTGGGTTGATGGTCCTGATGCCGACGATGATGATAGGCACCATCCTATCATCGCCATCTTCCTCGTCTCCGTTTCGATGCTCAGATGCGGGGCCACTCCCCTGACTGACTGAGCGTGAAGAAGATTCATTTCTCTGACTCCCTGCAGAAGAGCCAAATCGGAACATCCTGAAGAAGTTCAGCGGTATAGGACTACCACCCGGAGTCTCTGGCCCTTCTTCGTTGTCATTCCCGCTTTGCCTCAACGCCGACGCTAGCCTCCCATTCTGGAGGGCTTGAAGGAAGCTATCGAACGTTCCATCTTCACTATCGCCCGCTACGCTTCGGGCCTCAGATACCGCTCTGTGGTCGTTGCCCATGAGTGAAGCCGCCGTTATCGCTGCCGCTGCAGAGAGCAGCCGTGACAGCACGGCAGCCTGATCATCTTCCTGCCGCAAAGGTGATCGTCTCCTACGTAATGAGCTTGCCATGCTTCGGATACCTCTGTCAGGCCTAAGGGATGATATCATCGACGGCCTGCCAGCCCTTCGTGAGGAACTTAGCCGTGGTATGTGGGTATGCGAGTGTTCGGCGTGGGTGTTGCTCGGAAGATCGTCAGAGTTGAGGTCGAGATCGGGCACTTGGACTCGTGGCCGGAAAGCGCTACGTTCATATCCAGTGCTAGCCGTGTGCCGAAGAGTGGAACGTGACGCAGAGGGAAGGGACGACAGGGACGAGGAAGCATAGGGTGACTCAGCATCTCGAGATCTGCTTGACGTGCCGCGAGAGAACAGGCTCGGGAAGGTGGGGAGAGATGAGCGAACCCTGGTGATCCGGGAGCGGCGCCGTGCGAGGTTGCCCGCACTGGAAGCCGGCCCAGACGAACCCGCATCTGAGCGATCGCTGTGAGTAGAGAGGAGATTGAGTGGGTTGAAGCGCTGAGACGCTGTCCTGGAGGACCACGATGGCGGGGGCTGCAGCAACTCTGGAATAGAACCATCATCTTGCGGCGGGCTCCGCGAGGGCACCCATGATGTCGGGCGGGCTCTAAGGCGGGGGCGCGAGTCCTGAGTGCCTCTTGAGCTGGCTTGACCCATCGTGAAAGGCCGTCCCGGCTGGGGAGGGAGGCCGTCGAAGAATACAGTGAAGTTGAGGGTGTGGTGATGTGTGAATTAGCCTTGGGACCCGGCTGTGATGTCGATAGCAGATGCAATGTGCCTAGCGCGCCGAGCCTTCCTTATTTGGCGCAGGGTGGAGCAGGGGTGCGGTAACGTGACCAGGTACGAGCAGCCACTCACACCGCCATCTCTCACCCGCAATGGTTGGTCTTTTCAGCTCACGCCGTGGCCTGCTCCTCTCGTTTTTCATTTTGCGCGCATCATGAGACACACTCGTCATCGCTGCCGCTGACGGCCCTCCCATCATCTGCACGCCGTGCTGGCCGTGCTTGATTGCCTAGTCCTTAAAAAAACACAAACATGCACTACTTTGCAGGTCACCACCAGCCTGGCCAGCAAACGACTCAGTCGTTGCGGGCCAGCCAATATAAGCCCTCGAGGAAACGGAAACGCGACGAGGATGTCGAAGAGCCTCCAATTACCTCCGGCCAAGACCCGATAGGCTCACAGGCAACCCCAAACGCGCAATCACAGGCCTCATTTGCCCCCCAGGAAGCCGCCCAGCTGCGTGTCGCAGGTCTATTGCCTGGAAATGCATTTGAGATTCCACCACCGCCTTTCCCCCATGCCTCTGTACGGATATCAAGAGACCACTTTAACTACACAAACGTCCAGAAGGAACTCGCTGGCCTGCATCCTTCTGTTTTCGCTGTAAATGCAACCTCGAAGAGCCAGCCCCTGTGTCGGAAGAGTGAGAAGCCTGCATTGAGACAGACGCACCTCGGTGTTTTAACCACAGTCCTGCATCACTGTTTACTCGAGGGAGATTATCAGCGCGCAGGAAGAGCATGGGGCATGATTCTAAGGTCCCAGATCGCTGGACGGCCCATAGATGTACGAAACCATGACCGCTGGGGCATTGGCGCAGAAATATTGCTTCGTCGGAGCCCCCTAAACCAATTCACTCACGGCGAAAATGACCAGGAGAGCGCCCAAATCCCCGGTAATAAGCAATCTTCGACTGATAAAGACTTTTATACAGAGCGAGGATTTGAACTCGCAAGAGAGTATTATGAGCGTCTAATAGTCCAATTTCCCAACCGGAAACTGCACCCTCACAGAGTGGATGAGCTGACATTTTACCCGGCTATGTTCTCCCTTTGGATATATGAGGTCTGCGAAAAAAGCAAGCGTGCACACACGCGGGCTGAAGAAAAAATACACAACTCGGCGAATAGCAGTACTTCTTTTGGCGAAGACACCACCATGGCTTCGTCTGTGGAAGTTCGTGCTCAGGACTCTATTGTTAAGATGGAAGAGCTTCGCCAAGCAAGGGAGATCAAGGATAGGCTCGATCAACTCGTCATCTCGCCACCTTTTGACAAAAGGGGTGATCTGCTGGAGTTACGAGGCATGGTTGGGCTCTGGATTGGCGACCTGATTCTTGGAGAGAGTTTCATGACATACGGTGAGACCGATTGGGGCTCGGACTCGGGCGAAAACAAACCGACCTCACAATCAATAGCAGAAAGGTTTACAAGGTGTATAGAGAATCGAAAGGAGCTCGAACAGGCCCAGGAATTCCTGTATCGTGCCCAGCAAGGCGGGCGACGAGTGGAGCATAGCATACGAGGCGCCGAGAGAAGGGTTAAAGCCATCACAGACCAGATCGCTGAGTGTGGCTTATGAGGAACAAAAAACCTACGCGAGGTGAAAATTTGGACCAACCTAGTCCCTACCATGCGATGTACCGAAGATGTCTCTGGCTACTACCTCCGATATTGCTATGAGTTAGAGTGCTGGTGACAGCTGTTGGTTGTTATGGTACCTTGATGCCAGCTTGTCTCTGCCGCTGTGCTGGCTGACATGATACACACGCACACTTCTGTCGAGAATAGGTCTTACTGAGTGAAGATGTAGGAACCCTCGTCACCAAAGGCTTCGGGTCCTTTACAGAAGCTCTAGACAAGTACAACATGATACTGCATAATGCAGAACATGACGGAGTAAGTGTCCACCTGCTAACCCCTATTAGATTCAAGGAGAACACCAAAGGGATCTAAATTTTTGTTCTAGAGTACCCCTCTATCATGTCCTATGTCAGGTAATCGGACTTAATGTAATAGAACCACTATGCATATCTTTCACAAAGAAGAAACCGCCACTGCTCCCCCTCCCCTTCATCAGGCTCCGACCCCCTCAACCTCCACGCCTCCAATCCACACCTTCTTCACATTCCGACTCTCCCTCACGTCCCTCACAGGATCACCCTTTACTAACACTAGATCCGCCCTCATCCCCACCTTAACAACCCCTCTATCCTCTAATCCCCAGACCCTTGCAGGCTCCACAGTCGCCGCTCTCAACGCCTCGACACTACTCAATCCCGCCTCCACCAACAATTCCAACTCCTCATGAAGACTAGTTCCAAACGGCACTGTCGCAACAATCCCCGGCTGCAAATTCGCATCGGTGCCGGCTAGAATCGGAACCCTCTTCCTCCGCAACTCCGCGGCCGTCGCTAACGACGCGTTAAACGAAGATGTCGAAGATTGAGTATCCGCAATCGCCTTCATGATCGCCAAAGTGGGCACGACAGCCCTTCCGTTCTTCTTGATCTCCTCGGCGATGGTGCAGGTAATCGGCTTGTCCAAGGGCGAATGATGGATCTGATCAACGCCCGCTGTGACCGCTTGACTATACGCCGAGAAAGTCGCGGCATGGCAGACGACTTTCTTACCGAAACTATGAGACTCAATGACTAACGCGTTCAGCGTATCCTGCGAAAGCCCGGGCGCTTCAGCAATAAGCTTGATATAGTCCGGACGACTCTGCATCTGCAACTGGGTCCAACGCACAGCATCACTAGAATTATGCACAAGCAGCACGCCGGTATGGTCCACGAACGACGTCAGGTTCCCATGCGCACTCCCCGGTGCGGCTGCGGGTGCAGAACTGCGAAACACGTTTGTCAATCCCGTGTGATTCTGTAAACTCGCGCACTGTGCGGCAGAGAAACACGCCATTGTCATACCCGTCGTGACCCCCCAGCGAGCCAACTGTTGCAGGTGTGTGATATTTGTGGGATGGACATGCGAGTCTATAAGACCGGGTAGGAGAACGTGGCCGCTCGCGTTAAAGTGTTCTGCATCTTTGATGTTGTCGGTAATGTGGGAGCCGGAGATGACAATGGTGGTTGGGGCGCTGAGACCGTGGCCGTTGAAGATGCGTACATCTGTGAGGGCGAGTTTGCGGGGTGGGGAAGCCGTCCTACGGAAAGCGTTGTTTTGCGCAGCGATGATGGAAGGGTCTTCTAACTGGATATTTGCATGGCCGTGTCCGATATGGCCAGGGCAGGAGAGGACGAAGGTGGAGAGTGAAATAAGAGAGCACAAGGAGAGGATGGGAAGCATCTTGAACAGAATAAAAACTAGATTACTGCCTTGTTAATAGGTTGAACGTGCAATCAGCACATGCATCCTCTTTTATACCTCCTGCCGCCATCTTTCTCACGGACTTCAATCCTTGATACTCATAACTGAACGAGTTAGCCACGCGATTGAGAATGGGGCTGAAGGCTTCACAAACCCCTTCTCTTCGTCTTCTAAATACACTCTGAGGGTCCAATGGGGCTATAAAATTATGTCTGGATTCAATTGGACGAAAGGAAGTGCACAGGCCAACAAGCAGACGCTCACAGAGCCGCAAACGGCCCCCAGAGTCTCCTGAACCGGTTAGCACTGCGACCACGTGATTAGAAATGAGCTGATGGATACGCAAAGGTAGATCCATTTGTGGGGAGATTTTCAATCAAGGACGGACTTTGGCAAAGCTAGCCTGTGGTATGTTTGAATATGGAGCATCGAGGAGGGATTTGAAACAGGATATCATTTCCACGCTCCCACAGCCCCCAGACCATACTCAGGGGCCCTGTCCCTTTGCTATTCCACCTATTCCATCTATCATCATAAAAATTCCCCTCCAAGCACCTCCCCTGCTAACCTTGGGTTCCCGTCAATCCACCTCTTCCGACTCCTCAGCGCTAATCGAATCCCTTTAGCATACCCAATCTTCAACAGAGCATCCAAAATCCATTTTCTCCTCCGATTATCCAATTCCACGCCTTCTGCGAAATTGCAGACATGCAGCGCGCGCATGAGGAAGAATGCGGAGAGTCCGGAGTTATTGGTGTGGGGTGCGATAGGGGGAAAGGCGTTGAGAGTGCCGCGGGGGGAGATAGTGCCGAGCATGTAGGGAGTGGCGGCGCTGACGTCGTCGATGGTGGAGAGGAGGGAGGCACGGAGGAGGGAGAGGGAAGCAGAAGGGGAATGTGAGGAGCTTTGGTGGAATGGAAGAACTTTGATGAGCGTTTGTAGGAGAGCTATCAGTGAGCACCAGTATGCTATCCAGAGCGCACTTTGATGAATATCTCTAAAGATGATGAATTTTGGCGGAAACGGGCGGTCGGAGTCTGTTTCAGTAGGTGATAAGGAGGGTGCGGGAAGTGTTTCGTACTTCCAATCCGCGGGTAGGGACTCTGGCCATGAGAGTAGTTGATCTTTAATCAGCAGCGCGGATTCGATAGCTTTGTTCAACTCAACTCCAGATGTTGATGTCGTCCCCGCCCGCAACTCCTGTAAACCAGCGCGTATCCTTCCAGAAATTAGGGAGACGCTTCTTAGCAGCAAGAAGATGTGCGCTCGCACTGGAATTGGGCCAAAGACTTGAATTTCCGCACTCGAGCTCTTTGCAGACGTCGTCTCTGCATCTAAAGACTCAATCTGTCGTCTCGCTTGAATTAGTCTCGATAAGCTCTGTCCGATTGGCGAGTCCAGATGTTGCCCTTTCCGCATCTCGATTATGGCGTTTAGTCCGCCTTCATGTGGACCCCAGGGGTCTTTTGTAGCGCCGGTGTACACCTGGTATATTCTCAGCTATCCCATTCCGGAAGTACTACCACTGTTCCCAAATGATAGCAGAGCAGATTAGCTCATAGCACCAAAAACCTCTACCTACCTCATAGTTCTGCAACAACACTCCCGCTGTCAACGTCCCCACACTCCTCTTCTCTCTCTCCTCCCCCAACGCCCTCGCCAAGCTCTTCAAAGCCATCCCATACCTCTTCCTACTCTCAAACCTCAAGTGCTCTAAATTCGATATATTCGCCATATACACCATAGCAGTAGCGGAAAGCGCGTCTAGCAAACATCCCTCTCGTGGAGCCTTCGCCGCCATCTCGGGGAGAAACTCAAGATAGAGTGTGCGATCGCGAAGAGGGATGGAGCAGAAATTGAAGAAATAGAATGCGATGGATTGTTGGTCCCAGTCTGTGCGTAGAAGGGGTAACATCACGGGTTGGATGATACCTGTCCTGGTGCTAGCTACAGGTGTAGAGCTGGAAGCAACTGCAGTCGTTGCGGATTGCTGAGATGCACCTGCATCTGTCGTCCTAACCGCAACCGTCGTCATCGTCATATTGCGAAATAACATATCGCTATCATCGCGATATCCAGGGCACATTCTTCCTCCTCTTCGACAGCGCTCGCAGCCTGGTTTGGCTTCATCGCACTAGATGGATGGACGTTACCTCTGTCTAGCTTAAGGATATATTTCGAGACGGAGAGGAATACTTTGACTTTTGATTTTCGGCACGCATGGCAGCCTGTGCTCCATTGTCGGCGCTGAGCCATGGTTCCAGGTATTCGACGACTGGAATCATGGTAGGTGGGTTCGTGAGGTTTCCGGCCCCTGGATAAGATACGACAGTCATGTCAGGCCTCGGATGACAATGACGTCGAGACATCTCCGGAATTCTAAAGTCATCTTCAATTAATCCAACTATCGACTAGAAATTTGATCTTAACAGACTTCTTTTGCTTTCCTGTGAGGGGAATTCGGAGGTTGATCTCCTAAAATTGAGCAAACATTCAACGTCACGTCCAACAAGAATGTATTAACATATTTCCTCTCTCGATTACGCGGCTACCTATATGCGCCTTTTGCAACTACCGCTAGCTTACAGAACTGCACCGGCGCATGGAAAGCTCGCTCTAAAATCCATTCCGATCCAAGACCACGCGTCTTCTTCTGCATCTCGCAGCCTTTCTCACACTTATGGTCAGACCTCCCTAGTCCGATGTACAAAGGAGATTCGTGAGCAGTGCTATTAATTACAGTCATGTCTGCCGTCCCTGTATCCCGCGGGTTGTCCTGAAGAAAAGAATCGACCTAAGCCGCCAAAATGAATTTGACCCGCACCGACGAATGACGAAGAACATGCAAGAAAGAAATAGACGGTAGAATTTTGTAAGGAGAAGTGAATATTCGCGGGGGGTGGGGAGTTTGATGAAAGCCGTCGATAAGTGTTGAGAAGACCTAGAAGGAAAACGATGCTCGGTGTGTATGTAATACGGTTCCATACCATAATTCACACCGAAGATCGTCATCCATCACATGCTTACATATCGAAAAAATGCCGACAATTCATTCATCCTCAGCCGCGACGAGCAAGTGCGTCAAGCGCATTAATGATACCGAGGCGGTGTTCCCTGCCCATTTGGTACGTTGGCGTTTTGCGGGGGGATTCCAGCGCCGGAACCCCCCCGGCCCTGAAACTCCATTTCCCTCCTCATGAGGTCCAGAGTTGCAGGGAAGTAGGGCTCGACGCCAAACGTCCGCAGATAAGATGCCGTCTTCTCAATGCGCTTGATCTCCCTCTGCACGTTCCACTCCTCGCCCTCGCCGAAGCGGCCCCGCACGACCTCGACCATGGCATTGTCTAGCCTGCCATAGAAGTCTCGACGGGCTCCGATGTCTGCTGCGTCGCCGCTGTCGAGGCCGCCGTGCGAGTTGAGGTTGCCGCCGAGCTTGAGTACAAGATCGAAGGCGTGACGCGGGCCGGCGGGGAGCAGCGACAGACGCTGGATGTCGGGGATGAACTTGAGCATGGCGGAGGCGAAGTGGGCCGAGGAAATGGAGTCATTGAGGTCGTCCTGGAGACGGTGGAGGTCGAAATTCACGATAGTGATCTTGCGATCGAGCTGTGCGTTGAGCGTGGCGGCGGCGTCCGGGGTAGTAGTGTCCATGACTTTAGCAATCGAGGGCGGGACGTCTGGGGGATAATTGTTAGCTCATGGGATGACACCCAAGGGGGGGGGTGCAATGGTGCATACCGGGTCTCAGGCCTCGCTTGTCGATCCAGCCGTGGACCTCTGCGCGCTGCTGCTCCAACTGCTCGACCCACGCCTGCATGTCGGCCAGCTGGCTCTCCAATTGCTCGATCTTCTCCGTGTACGGCCGCACTGCCTGGTTGAAAGCCTGTGCAAGCAGATCCGGCATGGGCTCGGTCTTGCCTCCCGACATGGGCGGGGTCGGGTTGTTCATGATGGGCATGGCATTGTGGCCACCATTCTGCATGCTCGGTCGTGGATAAGCTTCTTGCGGGGCCTGCGGGCGTGGATACATGTCCTTGTCCTTGTCCTTGTCCTTGTCGTCAGTGGGCGAGGTGAGGGGCTGCGAGTTGCGCGAAGACTCGGGCTGCTTCTCGTAGTCGTCGTATGATTGGGAGCGGGGCGGGGGGTCGTTGTCAACGTAGCTGTTGGCACGGGAGCGACGCTTGAAGAACATTTCGGAAGGGAAGAAGGGGCGAGGATGGTGGCAGGAGCGTTGCTGGGTTATATGCCCTTCTGCAATGGAGCGGAGATTAGGGCTCAGACGACAGCGGTGGGCTGGGCGGCTGGAACTGCGCTTTAGTGGTGAGAAATTGGGATGGCTATCGTGGATGCGATGGGATATTTGAAGAGGTTGGGAGCGACCGTCTGGCGAAAAAGTGTCGTGACACTGGTCGTGCCGCGGTCACACGCACCGCTCCGTGCGGATGCAGGAGTGGATAATAAGATGAAGATAGGCCGGTCGCTACAATTGCCCACAGTGCACAACTAAGAGTTCCCCCTCGTGCCCGTCACCACATGATGGCCACCTACGAGTTCGACCAGGGAAGCTGCGCCGCGGTTGGTCCGGGCGTCTCCGGCGTCAGCCACACCAACCTTCTCCTTGGCCTTCGCTGCTGCCCCCCCCCACCCCCTACAAGCAGGTGTCGAAACTCCTTCATCCTCTCCCGCACCCTCCGAAACATTCATCATTCATCCCATGTCTCTTCTATCATCATTGTTCCAACAAGACATCCATTTCTGTCCTCCAAAACACATTGCTGCCCAAGCACCATCCTCTCTGATCCCTCTGTGCGACCAAGAGTCTCACTATCTGCAAGCGGCTGCATCTTCGAAAGTCTATTATGTCATTGTTGTCTCTCTCTAAGAAGACATCTGGTATTTTAGTGGATCCGCCCATTACTGTTCCCAGTGACCGTCCCATTTTGCTGTGCGCCTGTCTGCCGTTCGCTTTTCCTACTACCTTCAATTTTAATCTCCACCCCTCCAATGAAGAGCTCACTCGTAAGCTCCAAGCCAGCAACAAATACGCCTAGCAAGCTGGCAATGACAAAGTGACTAATCGTCGTGCCGATGTCAAGCCAGCTGCCCTCATCCTTCACCATGTAGAAGAAATTCAGCGTCATGACATCGCCAATCGCCATGACTACCATGAAAAGCGCGCTCGGCGCAACCCCTAGCCTACGGTTCAAGATGCCGAAGTTCGCGCTCATGACAGCGAACGGCACCATGATCTTGAGGATAAGCAGTGCTCCCTGGGAGAAAGGGTCGAAGACGGGAATGAGTCTAGAGACGGCGTCGAGAGAGAACGACGACACGGATGCGATGTTGCCGGTGCTGAAGAAGGCCGACTGGAGGAAAAAGAAGAAGAAGAGGGCTATGCGGCCATCCGCAAGAGTTAGGGCCCGATACTCGCCTTCTTTTAGCGAGGCGCGACGTTCTGTCGCAGATGCTATTGTCGGTCTTAGCGGGATGCTCGATCTGGAAGACGGTCTCGATGCCTGTGATGTGTGCTTGTGGACGTGGTGCTCTAGTTGGATCCAACTGAATAGGCAAAGACAGAAAGCAAAATAGAACAACCCCTCATACGAGATAGTGAGGATGATGAACGAGGGGGCAAATTGGAGGAATATGATCACGAGTCGGTGGAGGTAGTGGCCGTTTGGTCGGAGGCTATGGAGGAAGGGTACAAGAAGGGACGCAACTAAATGAAGTTAGTCTACCGACAGATGGGTGACAGTGGAAATGTACCTACCGAGAGTGAACCATCCGACCAACTGCGTGCCGCGAGGTAGACCCGTTCGAGTCTGGAGATGCCAGATGCTAGACTTGGTGACTATCATGGCGAGAGCAATTAGCCCGACCTAGGATACGTTAGAAACATTTTATAACACAGGGACAGGGTATCACTAACCTGGGTGCCCAAGATGATGCGAGACAAGCCGTCAGCTGAAGGACAGGAGAGTTCGTCTTCAGATGCATCAGCATCAACAAGAATTCTCTTCTCGAAGAGCAGATATAGTACTCCGACGGCAAACATCAGAACACCTCCAGATAAGCTAATGGAGTGGTTAGTGTGGCCCCCCTAGTAGTATTGGGGAATTTACATCAAGCTGAGGTCCTCGATCTTATTTGCAGGCAGCAAGGTGAAGGTACTCATTAGCATGCAAGACAAGACCCATGTGAAGACCAGCACCAGATTCTTCTCAACGAATTCCTTGCCGTAGAATGCGGGCCAAGTAGTTGCGAGCAGGTAACATATTGTAAAGATCTCCCTCTGAAAGTAGCTTTGCACCTACGACAAATTAGCTAGGACCAGTAATCTTTAACCCGTAGCCTACTTACTAAAGCCTCTAGGAGTCCGAAGCAGCCAGCTACCGAAAGTACAAGCTTGATGACGTCTGCTTTTGATGACACGTCCCTAAGCAAGACTTTGCAACCCTTGAAAAGGGCAGGCCGTCGAGCCCAAATTTCTTCCCAAAACATAACGGGGAATAGAGCATATGCATAGTAGATCAAAGGTGATTGCTGCATGAAAAGGACAGAATACACCCCGACGAGGACAGAGGAGAACACAACCATGCTTGAGACTGTGCGAAGAGTTTGCGATTCTTCCTTAAGAACGTGAAGGTCGATAACTGTGGTGATCGCGAATACAATCCAGCCAATGTAGCCGGCTGTCACGAGAGTTCTGAGGAATAGCCAGTCATAGGTTTGCAGATATCTGAGTCCCTGAAGCCCGATCTGGATTAGCGTATTCGATTGTTTGATGGCGTCCTCCACCCTGCCTTGATCAATTGCCTCTTGAATTCGGGCAATTCGGTATTCAACGGAGTGTGTTTCATCGCCTAATCCAGGGAATGGTTTGTAATATAGCTCCGTGGATTTCTTCATATCTTCTTTGACGTGATACATTTCCAGAATTTCCTTGGCGTTTTCCAGTAGTGCTTCCGCCTTAGATTTGGTATCCGTCGCGAGATACGAGAGAGGGAGCTCCCCAACCGAGTTGGTTGGAAAGTCGAGCCCAGCAAGATAGGCCATGAGAGCCGCGACATCGGCTTGGGAGACATCATGCCGTTGGATGTGGTCCAGACCCCAATCCGAGGAGAAGCCATCCTCATGTCCATTCGCTGTTCCCGAGTTGTTGACGATGGGTGGGGCGACCCCGGAGCCCCATGCAATCAGCGGTGTCCGGGTGTTGTCTGGGTGGCCGTCACCGTGACTTCCCCAATCACTCATGCCGTGGTCCGCGGTGAAAATGAAAGCGGTCTTTCCATCACTATAGAAGTCCTCAATCAGTCCGGTGATCTCCTGCACGCCCTGGTCGACGACCTTGATATTGTGCAGATACTGTTTCGAGTATGGCCGGTGAGCATGTCCTGTAGTATCCAGACCTAGTAGATGCAGGAAGAATACATTCTTGTCCTTGCGCAATTCCGAATCTAGCGTCACATTTGTTTTTGCGTCCTTGAATAGTTTCTTGACCCTATCGAACACCCATGTGTCCAGATGGAACCCATCTTTGGAGAAATCTTCGAACTCCGGATCGTAGGTATCAGCATCCACCCGCCCGGGAACTGCCCCCTGTTCAAACATGGGCAGAATGTCTGGACTTCCCCAACTCCATGTGTGCCTGCTTCGGTTGAAGACGCTGTCAAAATTCACCGGATTTAGCTTCCATCCCGTCATGACTGCAGACACATCCTCATATAATCCTGCAATGAGGGCGACATGACCGGGCCGCGATTCAGTTGGCACTCGTGTGTGGGAGACGCCGAAGGTGCCGTGCGACAGGACACGAGATCGGAGGAATGGCGCCAACGGACGCGGCGACTTTGCGTCTTCAGAAGTTTCGTCCAAGGGAGTAGGGTCGGGGAAGGACTGGAAGGCTTTGTCCGCGCGAAGGCCGTCTCCTGTAGTCACTGTGAGATACTTCAACTTGGTCAGGGTTCCAAGTTGCTGACCAACAAAGAGTACCAATCTTTGGGCAGGAGCTTCTTGTGTGTCGACACCGTGCTCGCGCATGCCATGGACAATAGGGCTCACGAAGTAAATGGAGAAAATGCTAAGTGCGGTGAGTTTCTGCTGGCGTTTCTCGGAATTGAGGACTACCTGTAGATGTAAATAAAGTGGAACACCACCGCAATGGAAAGGAACCAAAAGCGCCCAATTTGCGCCATGATTGCCGTTGGAAAGGAGTGGATGTCTCTGGGAGACAGTGAACAGGAGGTTGGCGTAGTGAAGGACGCACTTTGACCGCCAAACTAACACGCGGCCCACTTGGGTGTTCGCTCCTGCCAAGCCTTCTCGAACATTTCCTGAAGAGGCGAGTTCAGACGAGAGTGAGTTTCCCTCCAAGGCTCCTCCAAAAGAAAAGCCCCACGCTCACTAGCAAGCTTCAAACCTTGACCAAAGTACGGCGGATAGAGGATTTGTCTAATTTATGCATGTGTCCTTACTATAAACCAGAGGCCTCCAGTCTTTGCTCAGTAATGTACCAAATTGACACCAAGCCATCGCAAATATCTTCCACCTTGCTGATATCTATTCATCCGCAACCAAATTTTGGCCATCCCTCAACCCCTCAACTACTAGTTCATGGCCCTCTGCGCGTCGGTAGATGTCCTTGATGTCATCTAATCTCTGTTAGCACACTGCTCCGCGAATGGTAATCGAAAACAGCTCTTACCAGTAGTAGTTTCAAAGTGGCTTGTGGCGTCGTAGCTCTTGGAAAGGAAGATGTTGTCATTCACTCCACTCTCCAGAGGCTCGTAGAGAGGGATGGCTTGGCCCATAAATTGCTCCTCGATTCGTCCTAGCCTGTCAAGACCGGGCTGTAGCTCTAGATGGTGGTTACTATCGCCTTCTGCGATGGTCGAAACGATAGCGATGTAGTACCCCTTGGGGCAGACGTTGTGGGCAGATGAAACCACGGCAATATAGATGTCTACAATTATAAGCATGCTTCGAGGGATAAATAGCAACTTGGGTATTTACCATGTTTCCGGCCGACTTGAGACTGCGGGATGATGAGTTGGAACGAATCGCTATTGTCAGTACTGGCGACGGGATGGTTCAGGATGCAAATTGCCTTCAGAAGGTGTCCGGTGACCCGAACTTTGCCGGGGAAATAGGAGGGGTCTGCGAGAATCTTCTTGCACTTGGTTTCGAATTTCATGACAGCCCCCTCCTCGCCTTTCTCCTTCATGGTGGCCTTAATGCCCGACACCTTACCTCCATCATAGAGGAACTCATCCACATCGGTGTTGAGCATATAAGTCCCACCATATATAGCGGAAAGGCGTGCAAACCCTTGTGGTAGCTCTCCAAGGCCGTAAAGAGGGTAGATGTAAGGAGACTTGCCATATCTAGCCATGGAATTTACATAAAGCCTGATGCGATTGATGGCATCATTGGCGGCGCCTTTCTGACTGATATAGTCATCGGTCTGGAAAAGCGCCATGGAGTGGCCGATGAAGTCTTTCGTTGTCGCCTCCAGGCCGAATTTGTCATACACTTCTCTCATGGTGCAGTTGGCCACGTCAAGGCCTAGAAGGTGTGCTCAGCGAACTTGATGATGAGCAAAGTCGAGAGTTGGCCCTACCTTTGTGCGTTGCCGGATCATCCTCCTTGTATGCGCCAACCCATTCCAGGAAATTCCTCGCCCTCCGCTTCTCGAATAGACCCATCAAGGGGGAGCGAAGGGCCTCTCCTGCATCTGAAGGTACCTTGGCCACGGTTGCCTTGGGGCCGCTGCCCTGCTGCACGTAGCTTCCGGCTATCTGCTTGAATTCCAGGTATCGCGTGACATCGGTGGAGACGAGGATATTTGTCAATTCGCCATTTGACATGAGGAGCTTCGGGACAAGGTCAATGTTCCAGTCATTGACGCGACCATATTTCTTCCACGGCTCTTCTCCCTTTGCGTAATGGCCATATTTTTTGAAGAGCTGTGAGAGTGAGTCTCCGAACCGCACCGAGTCGGGAAGAACGTACTGCTTCGATGTTGATGGACGCTGCCTCGCTGCGGCGGATGAGCTCGTGTGTTTCAGTATGGATTCGGATCAGCCTCCTTACCCTCCATAGTGATCATTGCGATCGATGTGGAGAACCTTCTTGCCTTTAACACTCAGAACACTAGAAGCCCTTTTAGCAAAGCCCGTTACCTAGTTATGCTAGGATTGTTACCCAGAAAGCACGCATTCCGTGAGGCCTGTGAACTCGCGTTAGCTTCTGACGTCTTGTCTAGCGGGGTAGACACGCACCTGTTCCCAAGACCACGACGTCGTATTCAGGTGCAATCTCGTCCATGGTGGCTGGCGAAGAGGAGGTCAAAGAGAGGCTCGGGCAGAAGTCAGGCGTGCAGATGGCGGGGTGTACGTGCGTGTTGGGGAAAGATGCTTGGAAGTATTGCGGTGAGCAGTCGCAGATGTGGGGGTAGCTCCTTTCAACTCGGCTACGCCATAATTGTGGCGCATGCCTGCTTGAACCATGCAGGCGCCGTCTCGACATGTCTCGTTTCGGAGTCACAACCTAGCCTTTGGCTTAAACAGGAATCTGCCAGCTCCAAAATATATGTATGTTGCTTGGCTCAGTCTGCTGTATATCTTACATTCGTCCTCGACACTATCCTCCTCCCACAACCCTCCTAGCTTTCTAAAGTTCAGCCCCCTCTTGCCTGAGTCTACTTTTTGTTGAACAGCTTCTGTTTGATCCTTTCCTTGAGGTCCGGAGGAGTGTCTGTTGTGTTGTAGAACGTCGATGGTAACTGCTTGTTGTCTTGCTTCTCCGTTCCGTCGCGAACTTCCTCCTCAAACTCGCTAGTCTCATAGAGGGAAGCGGTGTAGACTTGCTCGCCTTTGGCTGTATCCGCCTCGAGATTGATCTCAGGGTCGTCCTCGGCGAGCTTTCTTGCATCTTCCCATGCATTCCACCTTTCAATCAGAGCTTCTCGAATAGCTTTCATCGTTTTGACTACCTTCAAAGCAATCGTCAGCGGATGTCCATCCCATACTTGAGCCAGAGCAACACGCACCACCTTATCCCGGCCCTCGATTTCCCACTCGCCATAGCCGACGTCCTGACGCTTGAGCGTAGCATTCTCCGTCGTTAAGCGGTTGCGCTCCTTCACGCACACCCACCACAGCGCGTGCAGATCGTCCCAGGACTTCGCATGCAACTCCTGTGCTGTCCAGGCTCTGCCTAAATGTCGAATGAGCATTTGCCCGGCCCTGCAAAAGTAAAAAGACCATACCGTGAGCCCAGTTCTCGTTCGGAGTCATCAGCAGCTTCTTATCCTTAAAGAACCCCCAAAGGCCGTGGTTTTCGTCGCCAATGATGGCGTTTTTGTTGCTTGGGTCTAAGACTGGCTTTGGCAAGGGCACGTTCCTCACGGACAATGTCTGCCGCGGTCGTAGACCCGTATGCCTCTTCACAGACACTCCGCGATTCCGGTTGTTGTCTCTTTTCTGTAGTGCCAGTGATGTCGAGAATCCGGCAATATGGGCGTAGGGCAGGCATTTTGGTGGTTGGATAGACGGTGCAAGGAAGGGAAAGACTACATCGGATGGTATCGAAGTCAATTTGCGTGAAACTGCTCGGCATGGAGCCATTTTAGCCATTGCCAGAGGTGATTCCCAGTGCTTGGGCAATGGCACTGTTCAATGGTTATCTAAAGGATCGGCCCCCTCCGAAGCTGCAGGAAATCTCACCAGCCAAAAAAATATCCGCGTCTTGGCAATCATGTGATTGCTCAGCCGCTTTCTGACCGTACTTAAACCCCACCTTGCCCGTGTCCCAGTCGTGACTCCAACAAACCGACCGCCCTCGTCACAGCCGTGCAGGGGGCCTTTTTTCTACACCAATTTTTTTTGAAGAGTTCTTAGTTTTCACCAGCGGGTTCCAGGGCCCGCGTAGTACCATACCATCATGCAGCGAACAATCATCGGATTTATGCCTGTCCCAAGTCAACTCGTGCGACTCTTCTTTTCACCGCGAAAGAACGGAGTCGCACTCGAACCACCATGGCAGCGAAAGTACTAGTGGTCTCATAGACCAAGCATTGTCGTATTCAGATCCTCTTTCAAACATTGAACCGTCCCTTGATCCAAGTTCTGTTTCGTTTTCGACTTCATCGCTTTCTATGACGGACACTTTGCTTGATACTTCTCCCGAATCTTTTTTTCAAACTACAGACTGGAGCGCCCCTTCTTGTTCGCAATCTGTTGGCTTAACCTCATTTCCCATTCACGATGAAGCCGGACCGGGAGTTATTGGCGGTGTGCAATCTTCGCACCCTTTTGTCCCGTCGTATGCGGCCCCAAACCATCTCTCCACTACTCCTATTGGGGTAGGAAATCTTTACAACCCAGGTTCGATCCAATTCACTGGAAAAGGTACGACAGCCATGTTCCTCATATGTGTAATTTCTAAGTAGTGCTAGACGATCCCCACAATTCTGGTCCTTCACCGGCAAGCCCAGAGACCCGGAATTCGTCTTCCTCGGAGGGATCCTCTTCTACCCCTAAATTGTCTACCCGTCCAAGGGTCACCCAGCCAATTGACTCTGCTCGTGTCGAGAAACGCAGGCAAAATACGCTTGCCGCTCGTCGATACCGACAGAAGCGCGTCGATCAAATGACCAGTCTTGAATCTGCCTTAAAGGAGACCCAATCTGAAAGGGATGCTTTGAAGGTTCGGGTTGCCCGACTTGAGGGCGAAGTAGAGACGCTTCGGCACCTGCTCCGCTCGTAGAGTTCCTGTTCATGTATGATTGTCAGCGCTCTTTACGGCTGTAACGTTCGTTTTATTTTCTCGTAGAGGGTGTTGGTTCAGACGATGTCGGAAGGTCGATCAGCTGCCTCTCTTCAGCGTTGTCAAAGATGTAGCAGTGTCAGATCGGCAAGTAATTCTCAATCATGTCGACTTTCTGGGTTCCGTGTTCTCTAGGATCACTCACTTCTTTGAGAGTTTGGTAGTTTAATTGATTTTCAGTACATGCTTCATGGAGTGCACATTCCTATTAATACAGCCCTGACCACAACGAGACATTATCTATCATCTATAGTCAGGATGAGTCGAAGCTTGTCAAGCGTTACTCTTTCCACAACCCTACCTCGACTACTGATCACTACCATAAACATGCTCACTAGCTACAGAACCAATTTGATTCTAGGTGGACTGAACTAATCACCGAATCACAATGAGTCACTATGGTTCACGTTGCATACTTTTGGTAATGTCGGTCGACTTCCCAAGGCATAGTGAACCCCTGTTCGTGGAAACCCCGCTAGTCGAAAGAGGCATGGCTGTGCCAAGAGAAGTTCAGCACCAAGTGACCGCGTGAAAGCACGACTTGCCATAGTTCGGCCACAAGACCCCCAAAGATTCGTGCTTCACACCTGAAGCTAACATCGCATTCTTCGATACAGGTCTGTACGCGAATTTGCCATGAATCGTGCAGGTTTGTTTCTCCACCACACCCTTTGAGCCTTCCATCACTCCTGCACCAGCGCAAACTCGACACCGCCCTGCTTCGCGCGGTCTCGCGAAACACCACTTCAACGTCGTGGCTGTAAGCCGAATCATTCGAGACCTTCCCATCCAGCCCTTATCCTCCGGCCAGGAACGGCCGTTCCGCCCGCTTTGTATCCGTTCGCTTATTACATCCTGGATACGTTCACTTCCCTAGACAATCACACGTCTCCGCCGCCTCAACTCACTGCGAAATTTCCAAGTGCTAACTTATCTTCATCATGATAGGGCCTGGTACCCAGCCTCTGAGAAATCTCCCCTCCGGAATGTTCCAAAGCCAACAGAATAGCGCCGCTCGCGGTGCGCCGCTCGGATCAAGTCGATTACAGAATGGAAAGCTGGGTGAGGAAATCACCAGCGATGTCTGAGTGGAAAGTCTGGCTGACACTGGCGTCCGCTTTAGGCAGTGGCTCTCAATGGGGCTTCGGGGGACCAATGGGCGGCGCACCCGGCCTTTCGACCACACAAACACGAGCAAACGGAACTGGACTATCAAGCTTTGCGCAGACAATCGGAAGCTCACAGCCTCATACTCCTCTCAATCTTGAGTAAGTCTTCAACGATAGCATGGGAAGGCGCAAAAGAAAGGCCCAGTTAGCCGCAGAGCCTGCGCTAGTCGATGAAGCCGGGAAATTCAAGCTAAACATATATAATCGCAGAGAATTTCCATCTTTATCTGGGGCGCCTCAAGCGCAGCAGAATACGACGGCACAGCAAATGTGGTCAAATCCAAGCCTACGAACGGCACAACACTCGACAATTCAACGACCGCAGGGACAATCACAACAGGCCGGACAGGCGTCGAATGCCCAGCATCAACAAATACAAAATCAGCCCCATGAAGATGCGACTGTAGCAGCACAAGGTCGGTTCCCAGCGATCGGTGATGATTATCGCTTCGGAGGACAATCAGGCGTAGGGCAATTGTCTGGCACTTCGCAGCCGCAGACGGGCAATATAGAGGAATTCCCGCCTTTAGGGGGAGGCAATGATGTTGGGCCAGACCAAAGGAGTGGTATGATTCAGAACGCAGCATTTGGGGCCGGTGCAACGACAAATGCTTTTCCAGGTCTGGGCCAAACACGCAACGGTCTTTCAAGTCCGACAGACGGCCCCCAAGATCGATCAATAAATTCGACTGTTGGCGACAGACCAATGCACGGCGGTGGAGGTGAGTCGCCCACACACCAACCACGCCATTTGACTAACTCTCGTAGTGACTCGAACGCAATTCGAGAGCCTACGAGCGAACCCACCAGGCGTACAAGATCTTGACAGGAACGTAAGTGAATATTCAGTCACAGCGCTTGGAGAACTGCTAATGATCTAGTAGGGTAACCCAAGAACCGGCCAAGCATTAGGCAACTTATCTTTCATCGGTTCTCAGCTACCACTTCGGAGCGGAGCTAGCGCTGTTCCACCTATAGGACAGCGACCGCAAGTAGGACAATATGATCAGAATTTCGCCGCTGAAAATGTCGGCTCACCAAACACACAACTACCACAACACAAGAAATTAGCGGACATGACCGAAACGGAACGATATGGCCTTCCCGGTTTATTGTCCATGATACCGTTGGATAGCCCAGATTACTCTGCTCTTGCGGTTGGTCAGGATCTTACAGTTCTAGGACTTGATCTGAGCCGACCAGAGTAAGGAACCCTCTCTCCACGAAGGACATTCGAAATACCGACTAATGATACCAGTAATTCTCCCTTGCACCCTACCTTTGGATCGCCGTTTGTGGACTCCAACGTCAAACCGGCCATTCCTCCAGATTTCACGCTCCCAGCCGCCTACACAGTGACAAACGTTCCGCCTTTGCACACCAAAATGACCAGTTTCGCCACGGAGACTCTGCTCGCAATCTTCTACCAGTATCCACGTGACATCATGCAGGAGATAGCTGCGAACGAGTTGTAAGTTTCTGTAAGGCAGCTAAGTCACTGCAGAGATTCTTACGAAATTAGGTACAATCGAGACTGGCGATGGCATACTAAGCTGCAACAATGGATGATGAAGGATCCCGATCTACCGCAGCCAATGCGCATCTCACCAAAAGAAGAGCGTGGCTGGTACCTATTCTTCGACGTAACAAATTGGAGGAGAGAGAGGGCATGTAGCTGCTAATCTTACGTCCATTTTCATTGCTAACCGTCGTTTAGAGGGAATTCGAACTCAACTACGATCACCTAGATCAGCGTCACGGACCCGTGATGGCACCAGCACAACAGATGTAATGGTGTTGGGCGTTCTGGGCGGAAGAGAGCCTGGGACATGTCAAGGTGTAGCACAATGGGATTGGAGTTCTGGCTCACTGGGTCCAGAGTCCAGATGGACTTTGATGTGGACCATGGACTGACTGACATTTACTGCAATGCAACAAACTGCTGCCGAGAAGGCTGCCGACTGCGAAAGAGCTTTGACACGATGTTGAAGTGAAGATGGGTTGCTGTGATTTGGGACCTAGTGAATGAAAGAAGTCGCAGAAGGTGCCTAGCCCATAGGTAAAGGTCAGGCGGCAAGTAGTCCCTCACCGCACCTTCCACGCGCAGCCCACGCTTTCTTTCTTACACTGCCTCGTGATCGGAACTTTCCTCATCCAGCGTTTCCTCCTCCCCCTCTACAATAACCTCCATCACTCTCCAACTGACACAAGACACCCGTGGACGTTTCTTCGACATTTCTATTGTCCAACATTTGCTTTCATCACGTGCTAACCCTGTGTAGTCCTCTCGATCCTTGGATGCTTCACTAGGTAGCCCCTTCACCCGCTGGTTCTTCCCACACACCAAAACCATCATGGCCGATTCGTCGCCAAATAGTAGTATAGCTCCGTCCAATGATCCACATTCAAACGAAGTCTTGGCTGCATTGGGCGCTCTCTTGAAAGCTGTTCAAGAGATGAATCCCGCGCATGCTCGCCCAATTCCCCCTCACCCCGTTCGCTTCAATCTACTTTCCCGTCCCAGTCGATCTGCACAAACGTGTCGAATCTGCAACTTTCCAGGTCACCACGGCGACAGCATCCATTACGCAGGTGCTTGCAAAGCTGCTATGGTCAGTATGGTTGGCTTTTGGGAAGATATTGCCGCTCACCTTGCCCTGCTCTACCGAGAACACCAACTTTTCCAAACGGCCATCAAGAACAACAAACCTACGTATGATATGCGCCTCGACAATGCTCCCGCAATTGCTGGAAACATGGAGACAGTGCTAGTCGGTCGGCTTACGAGGAGCTATCTCAAATTCCAGAGTCACTGCTCGGGATTGCGCCCGAAGTTGCTGCATATTTTGTCTGAGGGTGACAAACACCGCTACTGCGCGATAACCAACACCCTCAACGACTTCTTGCTGAATGGATCAACTTGTAGGTTGGCCCATCAATATTTTAGCGCCTGTGCCATCCCTAACTCGTGCTACCAGTGACCGAACTCTTCGAGCGCAGCCTTGCTGAGCGTCAATAGGCCGCTTATCTCCAGCCCTCCTCATCCAACTCCTTTACTATGCAATGGAGAACACGCGCTAGGCTTCGCGCTTGGCCTTGACATGCAGGACTCTAACGGCCTGCGTGGATCGCGTTAGTTGGGCGAGTGGGCTCAAAAAGTATGCTAAGGGCAAGGTTTCTCATCTGATCTCTAGCATCTCTCCGATTTATCACAAGCGCGCATGTACTCCATTGCAATCCCATTCGCTTCCCTCCAATTCAGACTCTTAAAATGTTTCATCAGTGTGTATATGGATTCGGCAAGTACCCTAGTGCCTGACCTACAATCTTCATGGAAAGCGTGGTAGTTATCCATGGGGTCTCATATTCTCTCTGCTCTAGACTCTCCTTTTGCTATAGTTTTCCAATGTCTACTCCCATTCTCCCTAACATAAACCATACCAGTACTAAAGATCTAACTTACCACCAACGGTAAAGCATCAGCTATCAAAGAGAAATCAGCGCTAGATTAACAGGATATCAAGACAAATTAGGGAGGAGTGATGAAGAAGAGGCAGCTTGCAACTCCCTGCCATGCAATCACGTGTTCCACGGCATAAATCAAGTGTAGCAAGCGTACATCAATCGTTTGCTGCATGAGCAAAGTTGCAAATATCAACAGGGACATGTAAATCGTTTGTGCATTAGGGTCCAGCATACGACTGCTGTCTTACTCTGATCTTCAGGCATGGTTCAACATGTTTGAGTGCATTCTGAGTTCGTCTGTTATGCTTAAGAAAACACGAAAGAGGGGAGGTTTAGTTATAGATAAGGCAGAGTCAATCTGTTAATGCCGTTGCTGGAATTAGGGGATATACTGAATTTCCCGCGCCGCTGAATGTGGCCTACTGGAAAGACGCCGAAGATACGGTACTTATGAGGAATTCGCCCGAAAGATGCTTCTGCAAAAGCCCTTTTGGAATTTATATCCATTCATACTGCCAGCTCCCACACCTCGCCTCCTAAACCTCGCCTCCCAAACCCCTGAGAGGCGTTTTTGGGCGCCTGACCGGCACATGCCGATTCGCGAACCCTGTGAGAACGATCCATGGTTCCACTTCACCGCAAGCAGTTATACTCTTTCCGGCCAAGAGGTCGGCATTCCTGGTACGAGAAGCCATTCGCTAAAGGGCACCATAGCCGACAAAATCGATGTCGTCGGCGGCTAATGGGTTCCAAATTACCTGAGCCCTTTAAGTCCCCAGGTAAGCCTAAACGAATACACGGGGAAAGTCCGCACTTTCTGTGCAGCTCCACCTCGCTTCAGGGTCACCGATGAAGAACGACCTAGCGTGGACTGTAATAGCACATCGCCTGCAAGTCGTGCCGCTAGATGAGCAAGCCTATGTTCTCAGTCAATACCACGCCGTGCAGAAGCGACCACTGAGAACCTGTTGAAGCCTACCTCATGCAGTGAAGAACCCCACAACCACGTTAGCGATACCGTCCCCTATTCTTTTATATTTCAGATAGAGCTTCTTCACTTCTGTCTGCGATTTGGCGCACCGAGTGCGTAGGTCTAGCTTGCTCCTGCTAATATAAGTCATGACACTAGATGGCCTAGCCAAGTCCTCGACTAATATCACCTTGTTCAGAAACGGTTTCCGAAAGTTTATTGAAGTCTTACTTCAGAGGTGGTATCATCTAAGTTCTCCTCGGGGCAAAAACCCCTTACGTGCTTCGTGCGGGGAAGGGAGACAGTATTTTATAGGCGAGACTCATCCAGGCAATGTGTCTGAGGAGCGGTCAAAGGTGACGTAAAAGTTGAGAGATTATGCTGCAATAGCAAGGGTTTGAGAATAAATGTTGAAGGTCTTCACACGACGCAAGAAAGAGCGCTCTTTCGAACTTCTTAGAAAATCAATGGAGAACAATTTCGGGCAATGGAAGCTTTGAGGTCAATAAATTAAGCCTTCAGTCATGAATTCGGTCCGTTTTAGGTTTCTGAATTTCTAATTTTTGGTGAAGATGCTTACCACTACAATTCATTGATCTGACACTCTTAGTAGTATCATCATTCTGGTTGTCTATTTACCCAATCCTAGGTAAGCTTCAAGTAGCAGTTGAAAATCATGGCCTAAAATCATTCGTGTATGCTCTAGGGGTTTTTTTTCAAACGGCGATAGAATGACGGAAAGGGAAAACAATTCACACTAAGCAGGACAGAAGTATTAGAGGGGTCGAATAGCAATTGAAAATGGCGTAGACGGCCTACTACCAACCGGGTATGCGGAGAGAACTCCTTTCTTTGCTCGTAACAGCCATCTCCCAAATCCAACTCCCCAAACGCTAACACAACCCACAAAATCGTTCCCTCATCCCAATCTCTGTAACCCGTTCTTTCAAATCAATCCCAATTCGCATCTCCCCGGACATTCCTTGATAACGACCTATCGAAAATTGCAGCTTATGAAGAGCCTTGAAGCCGCTTGTCTCCCTACAATTCCGAATGATATCCAATAAAGAACTGTCATAAACTAAGGTCATAGCATTTGCGGGATATGATATGTCCAGCGGCATGCGGCGTTTTCGGCGAGGCCATATGAAAATTATGGCAGAGCAGTAGAATCCGAGGATACCAGTTGCGAAGTAAAGAGGTACGAGAGCCACAGTTGCCATGTCGGCAAATGGTGAGACAGGGATGAGAGGCGGTTTTGTAGCACTGGTTGGTATGGCCTGGAGCAGAACGGTAGAGCCTTCTCCGGTTTCGTTGCTGGCTATGTTTTGGCTGATGAGGGCTGAAAATACCCTTGAGTATGTATCAGAGACAGCGTTAGCCATTGCGGTGGCGTTGTTGAAAAGCATATCGGTGCCACCGATCGATCCCATGACTGTGATGATACTGAAGTAATCGAACCAGGCCTCATCGGTTGCGGGATAGAGTTCTCCTGCAAAGGTATCGTTGAGCAGACGTGAGGAGTATGTGATGAGGTCGAGCGAAGGATCTGTGTCCGCCATCCAGGTACTGTTCGCTGCAACCTCTTTAATGCTAGAGACAAATTCATTGATCCACACCTCCCCATTGCCATTCCTTACTACTGACATAGCCGTGTTGCCTTTATAGATTACCGGTCGACAGACCAATGATATGTATCGAGTATCCGAGAGAAAGGTAAGGTCTTGAGAGTGCGGGTCTAGGGTGCCGTTAATACTCATGATCCACCACCGACCGCCACTACCAGGCGATAGTTTAGAGCAGTTGGCTTCATCGATATATCGCCAGCTCATGCATGCCTCCGCTAAGTTCTGAGGACGATCTTGACCGCTAAACCCGGCCGCTGGCAGGCAAATATTGTTCCATGTATTCCCAAGACAGTCTCCCTCCTTCAAGGATGCAGTGTAATTGCTCGGCCCAACCTTCAAAAAGCTCGTATCTGCAGTACTGCATTCGAGAAAGCTCGCGAGACCCGTAAGATTCAGTTGGAACTGCGGACCGTCTAGCCTCACCGAGGGAAACACCCACGGTTCAAATTTCCAACCAGGAGTATGTGGATTGCCGAAGACTGCGCGGGATAGGGCGTAGTGTTTTAAATTGGTCCGGAGATTATCGTCAGCGATATTGACAAAAGTTCCGTCCCTCCAATTCCTGGACAAGGGGAGGTCGCGGCCCGGGTTGTGGCCAATCTCGTTCATGGAGAAGATGCCAGAGGTGAGCACGACTCCCAATTTGACCGCAAAACTGGTAAAAGTCACATATGCGAGGAGGAAGTGTCCATTCCGCAAGGCCTTGATTGACGCTGTTATGTGGAACGAATGGATATAGTCCAAACAAACAGACATCCTCCCGTTGGCGCCATTTGCCAGTGAGGCATAAGGCTGGGTTGCTCGATAAAACCGTTCGACGGACTCCCACCAGAACCCAATGCTGACTAGAACTAATGTGGGTAATCCCTTGAATAGCGCCTTCTGTACATAGCGCAATACTTCATCTCTCGAACGCTGAGACAAAGCATAGGTGGGTTGGAACCACATTTGGAAACCAGAGCTATGGGAACGGACAATGAACTTGTACACCACACCAATGATTGCCATGGTGCCCAAGAAGATGAACATTAAGAGTAGAGGGTGAAGGATAGGCGGTACTCGTCCATATCTTAGTCTGCGTGCACTCCGGTCCGCTTCGTAGTATTAGCGATGACATGGGAAAATTTGGTCGGATTAGCACAACTCACAGGATTCCCAGAATTTGATCTTCCGCAGCACATGCTTCATTCGAGTTCCTTTGTCGGCGAGAAAGAGCGCAAGGCCGCTTGCTGCAAGCCTGTTCTCATTGCGAAGCTCCAACCTGCCGTTCCTTGGTCTGATCATTGCATAGGAGACGTCCGAATTTTTCGGATCTTCGTCTGAGGCTACCCTCCATTTACGCAGAAGAAGTTCGGACTCATCGAACCTCTTCCGGCTTTTCTTGACAGCAAGAGAAGGTTTCATGGTGTCTAGGCGTTCAAACAGTGGTTGTAGGGACCTGTCTTGAAAAACGAATGCAAGTCCCGCGATGGATGACGGCGTCCCATACAGTCCTGTCTTATATTTCGACTGCCCCCACCTTGAGGTACACAATATGTGCCTAAACCAACTTGGTAAGTGGAGTACACGCTCTTTTGTGATGAGCCATAAGAGCACAAAGTGCAATATTGTGGTGTATGTGAGTTCCCAGCCAGTGAGATACCATCCAAATCGATAAGTATGGACTAAACCAGATTTTGTGACTTGATCTTCGAGAGGGACGTATAGAGCCGAAAGGGATACCATCCCAGCTACGAGGAGCGGCCATAGCGTCGCGACGTTGAGATACATCTGGCAAGCGTTGTCATTGTCCCATTTGTTCCACTCAGTTGTCACATCCTTGCACCCTTCCCGATCAGTGTCGCCGTATAGCTCCGAAAAGTTCGTTTGAAAACTCCCGAAAGCGTTCGGCATAGGAGCATTCCAGAATGTACGGCGGAACACAGGGCTGGAGAGATTGTAGACTAGGCTACTGTCGAGGAAGTTGCGTTTCATAGGATAATCGAGTCGCTCATCATCAGGGCGCATCTCCCCATCACCAAACTTAATACTGGCATGACCCCCGAATGTTTGATCATCTGCGTCGACTTCATAAATGATGCCGTCTCGGATGATATTGTATCGCGGTTGACATGACATTGCTGCCCAATGGGATCCTTCTCGAGTATGCGCGATTTTTGACTCGTTTTTGGGATCGATTGTATAAGGGACAGTAAGAGGTCCCGTTGCGATGAAATGTTTGTACCGCGGGCAGGGGGAAGATTTCGTATGGTTGCCTTGATGGCCGTCTAGGGTCTGCCAAAGTGCAAAATTTCCATCCCAAGTAATGGGATTCTCTACGCTAGGTCCAGAAGCGGAAGAAACGTTCGCCCATGTTTGCTCGAAGGTACATCCCTCTTTATCAACAAGACGAACCGACATTCGATCCGTTTTGAGTCCAGAAGTGCCTATCCAAATATGCGCTACGGACAATTGTATTTCATCTATTTGTGTGCAGTTCATGTAGCCATAGATCGCAGAGGTTTGGACCTTCCAAGTTGTGAACTGGTCTGGATCTGAGAAGGAATTACTGTTATCAAGCACGAATGGCATTACCCCCACATAATCCGGTTGTACAGTGACCTCATGATGATAGGGGTTCTCGTTCATGAAGCTGAGCCATTTGAAAGGTGCGACCGGCTCTCCGTGCCAGATGGAATCTAGCGCAAGCCCAGGAATGCGAGTATGATTTAGGGAGGAAACTAACTTGTCCGCATCTACAACCTGGAATGATCGAGAGTGAGTGCTGTAGTGCCTGCTCCCCATGCTCAACAAGGATGATTGTAATGGGACCAGGATGAAGGTGCAGTACCGGACCAGGAAAGTCGTGGCCTGGAACAAATGATCTATATGGAAGCCATCATACCATTTCCGTTCGGTGAAACGAGCGAGGGGTCTCCGGCGAATGTGATCAACGGGCCGTGAGGCAGCAGCAATGAAGGGTAGGACTGACTTCAGATCTGTGGCCATACGTAGTACAATCTCCTGTATTAATACGGCAAGAAAGGCGGGACCGAACCTGAATATCCAGTCATATTTGCTGTGAACAGGGGTAATAATGCCATGAACCTTTGAGCGCCAGTACAGACAGGAGTAGGTAATGAGGATCAGGAGGATCAGAAACGCAACGTAAGGTGTCCAGCTGAGGGAGTTTGGTCTCCAGTCTGGGAGCTCTTTCTCGGAAACAGGGACGAGTCTCAATTCGTCTTTAGAACCGTCTTCGGACATGGCTTTTTCAATCGTGTCCGTCGACGTTTCTGGACATTTCTCATCACTTTCGATCCCTTTAATATGATGAGGATGAGGTAAATCCGGTTGAATATCGTTTGCGGGATCAATACCCTCCCTTAGGTTGACCGTTTCATACACACCCTCTCTAGTCTCGTTCAGTAAGGGCAAAGCTGGCGGGCTATCGAAATCAGGTATGAGTTTATCAGCGAGTTCCTGATCATTGTCGATGAGTGCGTTAGAGGGGCGATCTTCTTTCGCTGAAGAGAAGTCCTCGTAATACGGGGATATAATAGAGTATATCTGCCTGTCTTGTGTTGGATGACTGCTGGTTGAGATAGAGTCTAAGCCTACATATGGGTTCGTTACTATGTTTGGGAAATGCCAGAACACTTGATCTGTTTGGGACGTACAAGAGCTTGTAGCAGAGACAGTTCGGAGCGGTTTGCGTGGTATAGAGTAGGTCGATGAGCGCCTGTTATGTTGAAACTCCCCGTTGCGAGACATCGCAGCTGTATGCCCCAGCTAGCCATGGGCGTTAAGTGCAGTGGAAGATCAGAGTCGACTGAAGAAATTCTGAACCAGTCCACAAGGCTGATGTTCAAGATAAGAACCCCTCCTTGTCCTTACAAGCCACGCGAGATGGAAGGGGAACTATGCCCCGAGCTCTTACTTCATCCGCACTAGTTCTATGTCTCTGCTGGCAGGGAAAGCCTTTTTTCGTGTTCAATTAGACCTGGAGTTTTTAGCGTTGCATAAGGCACACCTGTAGATTGGTGGCTACGATCATCGGACGTAGAACTATGTCCCCAGACGTGACGTCTTCGTAAGCTCGTTGCCATTATCGAAAACGCATCGAAAATGGCGCAAGAGTCTTAGATCGTCTCGCAGCGGATTTAAGGAAGTTAAACAACACTTCAAGAATGCATTTCAAAGTGCACGGCGGTCTGTGCCTGCGGCCCTCAATAAGCTGGTATTTGAAATATATCTTTCACTAGGGAAAATGGAGGAGATACGGGACGCTAGGAAGGCTTCAGTGATTCAGGGGACCTTCCGCTCAGCCTTGTGTTAGGAAGAATTGCTGCGTAGCAGCCCCCAAACGTATATCCCCGCAGTGGCGGCTTAGGGACACCCTTTCTCACTACGTGCTATTGGCCCCCCTGGTTAAATCCTGATTTACCCATTTCGATTTGTAAAGGAGGAGGAGCAGATACCAAAGATCAAGTTTGTTGCGTCCAGATGTTCGGCCTGTCGATCTGAGGTAAAGTTACAGTTGGTGCTAAAACGCCGCCAGTGAATGCCACTGATAATCCAACCAATCCCAACCTAGCTTCAAAATGCGACTCCACCATTTCCAAGACATGCTACATTCTCCTCCAGTCACATTAAAGTCTCGATAGGTTCAAGTAAACATGGTCTGTATTATAGACTCCAAGCTTGTTTAAATATATGCAGAGAGCAATATACATTATGAAGGACAAGAAAAACTCGTCACCAATTACAAAAAGTAAAGATCTAGCAAAAGAAGACATTTAAAGTGCTAGTTGTGGTGGAAACTTAACTTCGAAGGAAGAATAGAATGCGTGGCGTTCTCGGAAAAGGCCTTTTGGAGGCAACGGGGTTTGAATATGTTTTTCAAAATCAATAAGTTGGGAGTACATATGAAAAGATACCGAAAGAGCTTTAAATAATGAAACGGAATTACCAATCAATAACACAAGAGTGAATCAGAACTTCATCCGGGTTAACCTACGGGAGCTTGGGAGCCGAAGTTGCTGATGAACACGACTAGGACAGCGCAATATGCCGCTGAAGCGGCAAACAGCTCGTGTCGCTTGGCCCTCGTAAGCAATGACATTGCCGCCGAGAACAGAAGCGTGAACACCACTAGGATGCCAATGGCATCGAAGATCGTGTTACGATAGGTAATGCTTGTAAGCCTGTACATAGCGACTACTGGGAGAATGAGAAGGACGAATATGATGAAGGTGATGATGAGTCCAACAAGCTTCTCAATACGTGATGAGGAGTAGTAGTGGATGTACTTGTTGTTCGTTTTGGCGCGGAGTTCAGGTGTGGTAAATATTTTCTAGAACAAGGGTTAATTGCTGTTTCTTATTTCTTGCAATCATGACGGATGTAATTGGTGATTCCATACTTGGGTCAAAGGACAATGCAACTTGCGGATCAACTCCTCAATGAGCCCGTCGAATCCGGCCCACTCTCGTCCATGCCTTAGTGTGACCAAGTCTTCCTTGCGCTTGATGAACTGCTCCTCAAGCTCATAACTTAACGGCTTCTCGTTCCAGAACCAGGTTCGGAAGCTTCCGTAATCCCGCTTAGAGGGCCGCTGGAAGGTATTGAGTTCTCTGGCCTTTACAAGTATCTCATCTACATTCATGTCAGTGGCTGTTTGGGGCTAAAGAATGAGATTATTAGTGACAAACCATAATTAACAAGTTTATCTCGTATTGTGGCTATAAGCCCCGCGCGTTCACTCTCGATCTTTTCCTTTTTAGCTTGTCGGAGATCATATGCACGGGATTTCAATCTCTTCTCTTGGCCATTTTCAAGATCGAGATTGTCTAGGTCCGTAAGGTCGCTTTCCAGAACCCGTAGTTGATCTTGGAGTTCTAGAAGAACACGGGAGTGAAGATAATTAAAGCAGCGGTATATCGAGAAGCTCGGCTCGCTAGATTGAAAGGCAGCTTGACGGGGATAACCGCTTGGGTAATCCTGCACTTTGCCATTGTTAGTGCCGATTTGAGGTTGATATGGCTTCATTGGCTCGACTTACGCGGTACGGTGATTGTTTCTTTGATTTCGCTCTTTGCATGTGACAGAGACACGCTAGAATCTGGAACGAGTCTCAGTGCGAGGCAGACATGAAGGATGTGGCGGAGTATGTACGGTAGGAATTAGTCGTATTAACAGCAGTCGTGGCACGGCTGTCAATGTTAATGATAGCGTCACCCGACCCTTGAGAACTTTTGGACTGTGGCTTCTCCGGAATCGCCGACAGTTGGCATTCAGGAGGAGAACAGGGACTCGTCATTATGAGATTGGATTGACTTAAAAAAAAAAAGCACTGCAGTAGTGATTACAGAAGGGTTAGATGCGGGATATCGGTCCTTTAAGCCATCAGTTTGGTATCTACTGTGAGGCTTCCGGGCCACTAGGGCGGGGAGTGGAAGGCTAAAAGACCTAAGGCACACTCCCCAGCGCATAGAATCCGATCATTTCAATTCCGTCTCGGAAAACCATTTGCCTCCTTCGTGCGCCTTTCCGGTGAGATCATCTAGCTGGTAATGCCAGTGGCCGCGAATGGTCTGGCAAGCTCGAACAGTAAACTTCTTGTAAAATTTTCGGGTCTTGCCATCACTGGTTGCTTCTACCACCATCACCATGACTTCATCGCCCTCCTCAAAACTGGGTGTTCTCTACAGAAAGCAATTAGTCTTGCTCGCTTTGGAGTCATTCCCTAGGACAAGGCTGGAGTACCGCATTTGCAAAGGGATTTACAACAACCCCCGACTTATTTCGTTCGATGAATCCCTACAGAATATGCCAAGACACCGGTCAGTGTGAAGCTTTATTGTGGAGTTGTGAGGCTTTCCTTGATTGGTGTCGCCTTACCTGATCTGACATGGTGAGAACTTTCGCAAAGGAAGGCTTAATTCGGTTCTGATCTGCTGCTACGCAAATAATCGTCGCTTCTCGTTTAAACGAAGAATGTCAATCGGAGTGGTAAGGCAGAGCGTGTGAGCCTGAGCCTGAGGCTAGGATTCACTAGGGAGGGCTAAATTAAATGGTGTAGTGAGAGACAATTTCCAAGAGCGCCTTGGGACGGGCATGACCAGTCACCCAGAGCTTCAATTTTGAGCCGCTCATTGCTATCAGCAGGGAAGACCGCCAGTAAGTTGAGTAGGAGGGTCGAAACGAAATTTGGTTGGAAGCCATCCAGCAGGCGTTTCGCCAAGAACACCTCATCGGTCCACCGCAGGTAAGTGCGATGAACCGACAACTAGGTAGTAAGGCAAGCAATAAGCCGTTCACCTTTCTTCAACTCGAGGAACATAGTGTAACTCTGCCTTGTCGACACAGCCTCTATGTGGTCCTTCAGTTCCACAGTTTGTGGTTGCGCAGACATTGTGATGGGAGTTGATAAAGCAAGCATAGAGGCCGTTGTGGACCGCCCTTGAAAACCTCAGCCTTGTCCAAATTTCACAGCATGGCAGCACAACGACAGCCAACTGGGCGCCCCACCACTCCCACCTCGGCACATTCTCATCCAAACCCTACTCCGACTGGTTCGCCCAGGCAAAATGCAGCTGTCGAGCTCCAGGATAAGCCCATGTTTCAGCCCGAGGACGAAGAGGCAAAGAGGTCACTGCAGCGTGAATCAGAAAGACAAACTTGGTTCCAGAGCAAAGCGAATGAATATCTGAATATCCCCAATGGGTATCTCAAAGTGGCAGTTTTGATAATTCGCTGGCATGAAGGCATAGATGAATTCAAGGAGGGTCATGATCAGGAAGTAAGTGATTAAGAAATGAATGAAATGTGGGCCTGACTTACATGGCTTTTTTAGATCGCAAGATTGCAAGGGATACTGGAAACAAAATTCAATTATCAATGTGACATTGCTCGGCTAGAGAATTCCAGGAACCCCCAAGTCGATTTGAAATTGGAGATTCTGCAACACATTCGCAAACATGACGGACCCAACAATCTTTTGATCATCTACTATACTGGTCATGGACAGGTGATAGTGGATCATGACGAATCTCGATTGGAACTGTCAGCGTGAGTCACACGAAGGAGACCTTTAGCGACTTGACTTGGGAAAGTCTGAAACTAACAATGTCATAGAACACATAATGCCGAGCAAAGAAAGGGTGCCTACATTCCAACAGCATTCTGGGACAAGGCTGAGGCTCCGCTCAAGGAGGACGCTGTCGGTGATGTGCTTTCGATCCTGGACTGCTGCTTTGCCAGTAGCGCTGCGCTTAAGAATAGAGCTGAAGAGTTCAGAACCTACCAGCTGTTAGCTGCTTCTGCCGTAGAAAGCCCAACGAATGAACCTGGAAAGAATTCATTCACCACCGCATTGATCGACTCATTGGAAGAGTTACTAGACGAGTATAAGAAGGAATGCTTTCCAGTGACAAAGCTAGTGGAAAAGATAAATATGAAAAGAACGAGGTCGCCTGCCTTAATCTGGGACCGTCTTCGCCGGTACAAACGCAACGTCAACCTAGCTCCTTTAGATCCTAAGCCAACGCAAGAAAGGGAAAGATCATTCCAGGGTGGCGACCCCGAGCGATCCTCTCTATCGCTCCGGCTCTCTCTCACAGCGAACGACCTGACTAAAAAGCAGATCGAAAGTCTTGCTGAACATCTTCCCCACGCTTGCAGAAAATCGAAAGTCCCTATTCGCCAAATTGATTGGGTCAAGATGGAGACTACGAGACGACCTTCCCGTAGCTTTCGTGGTGTTGTGGCGGCTATCAGTGCTGGGTACAGGTTTCAGCGTATGAGCGGTATGGGCAACATTGGGAAAGAGCAGCCAGATGGTTCATTGATGTCACCGGTGTCACTGAGGAGAAAGCGTGAACGGGGAAGCGGATCCTCACTAAGCCGCTCAAAACGACATGCATCGAGCTCAGATGGGACCCTTCTTTCAACTCCCCCAACTCCTATCTCACCAAGGAGTAGTGGCACTGTGGGTGATGGGCGATCTTCATCCGAATGAAGTTGCCTGAATGGGAGGCAGCTAGCCGGGAATTTAGACGCGGCGAGAGGTCTGGGGGGCTTGTGTAAATACGTGTAAAGGGAGGGATACATTGCGTTCACTAGAAATCCATAGCAGCTAGAATTTGAGTACGGTTGTGAATGTATCCTGAGAGCCTGACTTTCAATCTTGGAGGTGGGTTTATCTCAGGTGCTCAGCCGACTGTGCAGAGAAGCTCGGATCCCCTGAGGACCCTGCAACTAGGAGGGGACCCCTACTAGCTTCTTTAACGATAAGGCCAGCCAATCAGGGGCTTAAAAACGCATTCTCTGTCCAGCTGTCTAAGAGACTTTTGTGAACTTTTAGGTAATATAGTTATTACAAACCTCCTCCACCATGCACTAGCTTAAATAAGGATTATTATAGCTCTACTACTATACCTCTAAACTGTAACGGCACAGGCAAGATACTATTTTATAGCTACAGCTTATCTTTACATTATGTTAAATTCTAAGCCTATTTAGATATATAGTAGTAAAGATATTGTAAATCTAATTCTGTTATTCTACTCTTAAAATAGGCTAATTTATAGAGAAAATCACAAAAGTCCCTTAGACAGCTAATAAGAGAAACGCTTGCTCCAGTGGTAAGAAACTGCTTGACCCTAGGCTATACTCTGTTTGGAGTAGCACGATGCATGGTGGTTTGTGCGTTTCTCATCACCCCGGCTGAGCTAGCTGATAAAGGTGGGTACAATCAAGGAGAGACGCTCTTCCTAATTTGGCCTAGCATCTACTTATCGATATGATCACCAAGCCAACCCGCCAGCCTCGAACACAGCCAGCCAACGTTCCTCACAGCTTCCCTAGGCAAAAAAAATACTATTGAAAATGAAATCTTCTTTGCTACTTTCGCTATGTGCTGCAGCGCTCGCAGGAGCTGTTACCCACCCTAAAGACCCTCAAATCGTCCTACAGGACCAGCAACCAAACGTCGGCATCATTCCGCAGGATGAGTACCTGATTGAGCTGTCTCCCGGAGAGACACGGTACGTTACCGAAGATCAGAAATGGGAGTTGCGTCGGGTACGTCCATATATATTCGAGCTCCGGAAGCTCTAATTACCTCCCAAATCAGTCCTTACGGTCGAGCCTGCTGCTAACGTCACCCAGAAAGGCATCAACTTCTTCGACGTTACAGATACTCCCCATCTAGGCGCACTAAACCGCGGGCTCGGAATTAAAAGCGTCGCCTTCCCTTCCAAAACCGCGCATAATGAGGCTGTTGCGCCGATGCTCAAGAAGCTTCAGAAAAAGAACATGCGGAAACACTTGGAGAAGTTCACTTCCTTCCACACCCGATACTACAAATCGCAATACGGGGCTCAGTCTTCTGCATGGTTACTTGGCCAAGTCAACAACACGCTGGAAGAGGCTGGGGCCCTGGAACATGGCGCATATGTGAAACCCTTTACCCACCCGTGGGGTCAGAGCTCGATCATCGCCACCATACCAGGGAAGAGCAAGAAGACGGTTGTGATTGGTGCACATCAGGACAGCATCAATCTCTTCCTGCCGTCAATACTTGCCGCCCCGGGTGCGGACGATGATGGTAGTGGGACTGTTACGATCTTGGAAGCTCTGAGGGTTCTTCTCACGTCCGAGGACATCATCAAGGGCAGGGCAGAAAACACGGTGGAATTCCACTGGTATTCCGCGGAAGAAGGTGGCTTGCTCGGCTCACAGGCCATTTTCCAGTCATACGAGAGGGATGGCAGGGATGTCAAAGCTATGCTGCAGCAGGACATGACAGGTTACGTCCAGAAGACCATTGATGCGGGAGAACCCGAATCTGTCGGAGTCATCACCGACTACGTCGATCCTAACCTGACCGAGTTCATCAAGGAGGTTATTACGGAGTACTGCGAGATCCCATATATTCTGACCAAGTGTGGATATGCGTGCTCCGATCACGCCAGTGCTTCCAAAGCTGGATACCCGTCTGCGTTTGTTATTGAGAGTGACTTCAAGTATTCCGACAACAAGATCCATACTACAGAGGACAAAATTGAGTATCTTAGTTTCGACCACATGCTGCAGCATGCTCGGTTGACCTTGGGATTAGCTTACGAACTAGCATTCGCGAAGTTCAAGTAGGCAGAAGCATGCAGAGTTGAATGAAAGTTTTTTTTGGCTTGGGTCGGACTGGAGTTAGATCGGGCAGGATATATACGAGATGTATGGTATATAGGATACGCGCGTTTGATGGAACCTTGTTGAATGAGCCTGCATCGGACGCATTGTGTAGCAATATAAGTCACAAGCAATCGCTGCGAACATCCATCGTCGTTAAGCTGTTCTCAGGGCTAGGACCTCCTCCACGACGACACTGCCTTCACCTGCAGCATCTCATGATATGACGCTCAGCTTGCTCTTCTGTAATTTCAACAACACGAGATGGCAGGGCAAATATCGCGAACGGCCGAAGTATGACTCTCACTGTATTATATCATTGTGCACATGTTGCGCCTGTGATTGGCTGGAAGCTCAAAGGTGATGACTGGCTCATTGCTATCGCCATTTTATCAGTGCTCCTTCATCCATCAACAAACTCAACAATCAGGTGCACTTGTTCTCCCCTCTTGATTCTGTTTGATTCTATTTGCATAGTATCACGAGTAAACAGCACTTGCTGAATAGGACCTCTCTCTTCTCATCCTTCCAGTCCTTCATCCCTGGACATGGCTATCCACCCCGCCCTGAGCGGGGCTCTGCAGAGTTCCCAGCCCGCTTCTAATCCACAGCCCATCGACATCGAAGTCTGGACCGAGCAAGCGACGGCTGCTCTGAGCTCTGTGACCATCTCGTCCCCGGGCGAGGTCCAAGGGGCGACCGTCTCGCTTCAGATTCCCCTTGATGAGCGTCCTGCCCCGCGTCCAACCTCCGTGACCACAGCCACGAAAGAGGGCGTAAGCTCGAGCTACTATCGCCGCAAGGAGCCGGTGCGACGGGACAGCTTGAAGAGGCGTGAAGCTTTGTTGAGAGGTAAGGAGGGCAGCAGGCGCAGGCAGAGGTGGGAGAATGGTATGTGATCCCGGCGTTATCTTTAACCGTCATCTGCGATCGCAGTACTGACGCATCGAGAGTGTAATATTTCGCCTTCGTTGACAGTTTTGTCCTGCAGATCGCCTCCTCAGCAACCCCTACGTTGAGCCCCCTTCGCCGAAGGACTGGGAGATCCACCCCACGCATCCCGTGCACCATGTCCCTTATTACCTCGCTCCCCTCTGGGACGCCGGTCTCGCTGCCCGCAACCTTGAACGCAAGACCGCCGCAGCCGCCAAAGCCAAGTCCGCGGCCCATCCGGTCGCCACCAACCCGACTACTCCAGGCGTCGTCCCTCGAGAGCTCCGTGAGAAGCTCAAGCGCTCCCGCGGCGCCAAAGGCCTGCTAATGGATCTCGAATCCGAAGTCCGAGCCTTCGTATCGCGCTGGGAGGAGAATGAACGGAAGGCCAAAGACGAGGGATTGCCTGTTGATCCAGATTCTTCGGACGATGAGATTGTCTTCGTGGGACGGAATGGCCAGATGAACGATCAGAGGTCGCCGAGGTCGAGTGACGAGGCCAGACGCGAGATAATGCTCTTTGACACACCAGAAGGTGACCAAGGAGGTAGCTTTGGTAGGTGGTTGGTACATCACATTGGGATGTACTACGGACTCCACACGTGGTCTGTTACAGTGGGTAATCCGGCGAGGCGTGAAGCATACATTGGGCTCAAGGACACGAAGATGAGGTCCGGTCGCCGTCGTTCGAGCATCTGCAGTCCGATGCCGATGCCGCTTTGGGTTATGGTTTAAGTTCTGACCTTCCCGGGACTCGCTAGGAGTGTGGTTTTAGTTTTCGAGCTGAAACCTACTATTTTCGAGTAAAGAGGGAGAGGTTTGTGCTTGGTGGTACTGCTTTGACTATTTATGTGTTTTGATACATGTGCGCAAATGGACAGTATTCGTATATTCACAAGTCTTTCCCTACTGGCATCTGCATCTCCATGGCTAGACTAGCATAGGAAATGGCAATATACATGATTTGCGTTCAAATATTCATTCTGCTCCAACAGCAGACGAGTCTCAATTATGCCACCAAGCTCTTTTTTCTCTAGAGAAGACCTAGCATACACAGGCACAGAATCCCAAAATGAGCTAAGGTCCAGAAATCAACAACACAGTCTCCCTACCATTTGTACCTCTATACATCCCTCCACCTTGACTTCCAACCTTCTACGCCAACATCCTCGTAAATTCACTCCCCTCCCTCAACATATCACTAGCCCGCCCACTCTTAACCACTTTCCCCTTTCCCAAAACAACACAAAAGTCCGCATTCTTAACCGCCTCAATCCGATGCGCAATCGTGATCACTGTACTTTCCCTCATCTCCTCTCTCAAAATCCCTTGAATCTTCTGTGCCGTTTCAAAATCAATACTCGCTGTCGCCTCATCCATAATCAAGACAGGAGAGCGCCGTAGCATGGCTCGCGCGAGACCAACTAGCTGTCGTTGACCTTGGGACAAGCCTTTTCCACCTCCTTCAACGTTCGTGGACAGCGTCCACGAGTGGTTGCCCGCGATCTTGTGGAGCACGGATTCGCACGCGGCATCGGAGTATTCGTCAAGCGGGTCGAGGTTCTTGCGCATGCTGCCAGGGAAGAGCACAGGTTCCTGCGCTAGAAACGTTACGCGGCTACGTAGAGCTTGGCGGTTTACTGTTGCAATATCTACACCGTCGATGAGGATTCTGCCGGATTCCGCGACAATGGTGGCAAGCAGCGAGAGCGCAAGCGTAGATTTCCCGGACCCGGTGCGTCCGATCACAGCCGTGTTGCTGCCAGCGGGGATGCGCAGGGAGATGTTTTGCAGCGCTGGGTCGTGGGTAGGAGCGTATCGGACTGTGACGTCTTCGAAGACGATATCGCCTGTGAACGATGGCCACCAGGCTGGTGGGTCAACGACACCAGGGGTTTCGGTTTCGAGGTCGAGGAGTTCGACGACTCGCTCTACGGACGTGAAATCCATTTCGAGTACACCATAGACTCGACACATAGTGTCTGTGTACTGGACGAATCGCGAAGCAGTGATGAGCACGAAGGCGGTCAGGCCTGGGGATATGTCCATGTAGACTGCGATCAGTGTCATCACGAGTGTCGAGCTAGCAGACATGGCACCGAAGCGATATGTGAGCCAGGCTTGCAGTGACCAGTAGAAGTGATCATTTTTCTGAAAATTGTCGACGACTTTTATGACGTTGGCTTGGAAGCGGGTTTGCGCGCAGAAGGCACGGACGGTTGTCAGACCTTCGACCAAGGCGCCGAAATTGGACATCAGCGGGCTCAGCGAGACCATTTCGAGACGCCGCAGGCTTTGTGACGTTGGAAGGAAGTGGTAGAATGTGTAGACGAAGCCCATCATTAGTAATGTTCCAAAAGCTAGGAATGCTGGCGTAGCGGATAGGATGACGATTACACATGAAGCCCATCCGATTATGTGCCACGCGAAAATGGTGAACATTGTACTCAACCCTCCGTCGATGGTGTTCATGTCCGATGTCAGCCTATTCATCAACCGGCCAACAGGGGTCGTATCATAGTAGCGGAAAGTTGCGTGAGCAACACGCCCAATAGCCTCTTTAAAGATTGATTTAGCAGCATGGTACCCAACTCCAAACATGATGAGGTTAGTCCACCAGAGCAGAATTGCGGTGCCCACAGCAAACATGAAGAAACCTAACAGCCAAGGGTGGACATTATCAGCCGGGGGGGGAAGAAAGTCGAATATGCCTTTGGTGTTGCCATTGTCGTAACCCTCGCCCCAGGCTTTGATGAACCAGGTCTGGAGGACGTCGAGGAAGCGAAAGAATGCCATGACAAAGATCGAGATGAACCACCATCGGAGAGTACCGGCTTTTATGTACCGCCAGTAGACTCGGAGCTTGACACCTCCTTCTGCTCGGTGCTCATCTTCAATGAACTTATCTGGAATTGCTGCAGCTTGTTCTTCCTCCTGTTTCCTCACCTCTTCGGGGTCGATTGATTCGTTGGTGTGCACTTTCTTAAGACCGTTGCTATCCCCTTCGGCCGGCTCATGGATCGTCGCTCTCCCGTTGTCTAGTTCCACCCACTGCTTTGCAAGCCCATGACATAGCTCGGTACGATGCGTAACAAGTACGACAGTTCTTCCTTCTACTAGTGGTCCGGTAAAGAGCTTGTGGACAATATATTCTGCGGTCTGGTGATCAAGAGCCGACAAAGGATCGTCAAGGAAAAGTACCATGGCGTTGCTATAAACAGCCCGTGCCAAGGCTACTCGCGCTTTCTGGCCACCAGATAGCCCAATACCATTTTCGCCTATATTGGAGAGGTCTCCATGTTTGAAATTCGCCATATCGGGGACCAAGGCACAAGCGTCAAGTACTTGCTTGTATCGTACCTCCTCGTAGGGGTAAGAGAACAAGATGTTGTCACGAATGCTCATGCTCTGGAGCCACGGAGTTTGAGCACAGTATCCGATCAATTCGTCAGGACGGATGAGCTCCCCTTTAGTCTTATCCATCTCTCCGAGGAAAGCCTGTAGCAAGGCAGTTTTACCAGCAGCAACTTCCCCGTAGATAACCGTCAATCCGCTTGGAAAAGACAGCGTGATGTTCTCGAGAACATTTTTCGGGACGCCGGGCCAAGCGAAAGAGGCTTTCTCTAGATGAAGATTTTCGGTGCCCGCTGGGACTACCTCAGTTTGTTCCTTATCTGGTTCATTCATGAAATCTTCGATTCTACCCATCGCAACATATGCATTGAGCATTACAGTGATGAGTTGCGGCAGAGCCCGCAAATAGGATTCCAGCAAGTTGAAAAGATCGATGGCCGGGAAGATGAGATCTACGTGCAGTTGCTTTCCAGCAAGCTCGGTGAATGCATAAAACGCAACAGCAGGAAATAGAACAGCGCCAAACCGGATTATAAAAGCAAGGGTTGTCGAGAAGAATATTTGGATGATTCGAAAATTGAGTTCTGTTTGTCGGGCTTCCAGAATGCCCTTCAGCCATGATTCTTGCCAACCATACCAGCGGAGATGGCGAATAGATTCGATGAATTGGGTGGTTCTTTGAAGCTTCGTGTCGGTTGCAGTCCTGCGTTTCTTCTCGAAGTAAACCTGATACCGCGCAATTACAATGTTGAGGGTTTGAGTAACAACGAGTGCAAGTACACCTAGCAGACACGCCCAGCCGAGCATTCTCCAGATGAGGAGAGTAGCAAGTATTGCTCCACCCGGCTTAGTAATAATATCTGGAAAGTCCCAAAATCTCTGCGAAACTTCGTAGACATCGTTCCTGGAAAGGAATATTTTAGTTCGATTTTAAATGTTGGAAACTGGTAAGACATACCGCATTAAATTAAGAATTTTCCCCATCGATGCGCCTTCTTTTGTTTCTTCTGATTGTGTCTTCGGTTTCTTCGAGAACGGTAAACGTATGAGCCCGTACACCTTCAGAGCAAAAGCGCGAGGGAAGCTCTGCCATCCTTTGCTTTGCTTTACGGACCCGTTAGCGTTTATGTCCCCATTAGAATCTCCGTTAGCATCTCCGTTAGCATCTTCGTTGGAGTTCCCGTTCATAGTTCCATTGGAGGGATCCTTGCTCTTTGGATTCTGTTTAGCACCAAGAATTTTTCTATTCAAGGTTTTCTCGTAGAGCATTGTAATCATCTCCCCCCTGGATCGTTCGTATGCTCTCCTACTATACCAAAGCTTAAATACTCCACACTGGGTTGAAGTGAGACGAAGGGTTAGAGAGATGCATGCATATGTGATTGTAGCACTGCGGGGGGATTCAGGGTCCTTCATTGATGCAAGGAGACGTTGAAGTAATACCGGTGTTAACAGGGCTGATATTTATTAGCATAATTTCCCAGTCAGCAAAATAAGTGTTACTTACTTGCGGATAGTTCAATCAGCGCTAGCGACGTCGAGCGTATCAGATCTATTCCGTTGGCTTGAAGAAGACGGTTGGTGACTGAACCTCGAAGTTCCCGAAAGGCGTTGTGAAGCCTTCCATGCTTATAGTCATATCCAAGATCCCATACATCTTCGTCATCAAGCTTCCTCTTAACCCCGTTATGGATCAGCGGAACCATCCAGGAAACACTCATATACTGCCAAGGTGTCAAGTTATCTTCAGGAGTTCGCAGCTTCGATGTTGGGGTGCTATATGGCGGACTGATTTCATCATGTGACAAGATTGGGTCTCGCAGAGGCATATTCAGAATGATGAACACACCGCAAAGAGCTGCAACTGGTGCCAGGATCAGTGGAATGTCCTCGGCGGTGAGAGACTTATTGGTATGTGAAAGTACAATCAACTGTGTTAGCAAGAGTCCAATAAATATTATCAAAAGTGATAATGGAGCGGTCCTCGGACGTTCCACTAGTAGCATAGCAATGATGACACCCTAACAGATCCGTTAGAGAGTGAGGATTGAGTCGTAAGACAACGCCACATACCCAAGCGATTGAGGGATAAACGGCTATGAGCTGCTGAGTCGGGAGGAAAATAGTGATAGCCTGCAATGACAATCCAACCAATGCGACGAAAAGCAGGCCATAAGTTGCACATAACGAGCGCTGAATTGAGACTGGAGGAAGGTCATCCAAGCTCTCTTTCGTCTCTGTAATGAAAGGTTTGGTCCATTGAGGTCGATAGGTGTCGAATAATCGTAAGATATACGTCAAGAGAACAAGCCCTGCTAAGGAAGCTGGTATTGCTGATATCACTGGAAGAAAACATGGTGAGAAGCGAGCCGTTGTGATATCCTATGCAATGTGTTAGCTGCCACATCTGCCTAGCTGTAGCATGAGATTAAATACCCAGATTGGGTGGCACTGAGACCCCGAAAGTATCGTTTGAGAACCTCCCCACGAACTTGAGGACAGTGGAATTTGAGTTGACGCCATGAAGTGGCTTCGCGATCGAGAGTGGCGTCCAATCAAGTTATTTTGACAGCACTTCTTTCCACCAGAACCCCAAGCGCTGGACTTCTTGTTCAGAACTAACGATCATTAAGAAGCGCAAAATCGGGTTCTTGTAAGTATCAGCCCTCAACGAGCAGAATGTGACTGCCTGGGCTGTGCCAGTGTCGGTGTGTTTCCGGGTGGGAACTGCCGGGGAACTGCGCCAAGCCCTTTTGGTAGCGACCCGTAGATGCAAAACCCACGTCCTTGCAACACATAGACAATATATACAAACATCATGTCGATTGTATCTCCACGCCCACCATCTCTTCTTGTTCAGGATTATTCCCTTCTCTCTTTTGCTTTCCCTATTCCCATCAAGTTTTCTGTACCATGTCGCCCACCTAGAAGCGAATCTGAGAATGCGTATCACTCAAAACATGGGCCTCAACAAGGAGTCAACTCAGGCCATGATTTCGTCCAAAGAGATGCAAATCCGTATTCTCGGAATCGAGGCATGAGCCTTGCTTAAGATCCCCCCTTTTCCTTTTATAAGGAACCAAGTCGTGAGGCTCATTGAAAATTGCTAGAATATTTGCACAGCAATCATGAATATACCCACCGGACGAATAAAATCTCCTAGGCTTTGGGACCCAGTCCTCTTCTCTTCACACTGCGCGGCGCGAATCTGCACGCTGCGTCACACTTCATATGAAACTGGGAATCCATGTCATGAATGAAGGGCGCTTCTCGCATCCGCGTGATCAAATTGTTCTTATGCTCTAGTCTATTCACGATAGCCTGTGAAATAAGTAACTTAGCTGATTCCATACCATCTATCATCTAAGTTGCAAGTGGTCGCCGAAGAAGTTCAGTGTCGGTAGACTCCTCAAGACCGTGTCTATATTTCAGTGGTTTTAGTGACAGTTATGCTTCGCCCCCAAATTCTGCTCGGGGGTTGAAAACGCATGAATGTGCTATGCAGTCTTTACTAAGAAAAGAAACCCGAATGGTTTGCGTTGACGACCGAGTTTCTGATTTCCATCATCAGCCAGTCAGGTTCTTCACTCTCAGGGCGCTAACTATTTCGCGCGTTTGACATTGCTCAATTTGTGAGATTAAATGGGGCTAAGCTGGTTGATAAAGAGGGTGAGCGGACTGTTGCGTGCGGCGTAGGACCTCCCCCTGCAGCACCGCCTTATGTTCCTCAGCCTCACTTGGCACACCCATCTAGCATTTAAATAAAAGCACTATTCCATAATAGTAGGATTTTCTATCGCGCTATGGGCCATTGTGGATTTTTTTATCATGATTGAGCACATTTATATCAAGAACGGTAGTCGAGTCTTGAGGACAATTCGACAATATGTCAACAATCCCTCCAGTCACTTTGCGAGACCAGAGAGCACTTCCAGGTCGATTCCCATCTCCAACACCTTCAGTTATATCAGACCCCGCTGAGATACTAGGTGGTGTCTCCCTATTCCCGATGACCTCACATGTACATACGAGAAGTGCGGGAATGCCTCTGCGAGATTTCTCCAGGAACCATACTGCTCCGCCTTTTGCTCGTCAGAGACCACGATTCTCAAGCGCTCAAAGCGAAAGACAGTTACTCCCAGAAAATCGGAGAGATTCACACGCTCAGAATACTAGTCTTGCCAGTCATTCTTCCCTGACCCCTTTAGGCTCCAGACCCCAAACGCAGAGACGGGGGATATCTGATCCGCGCTACGATCGGACTAGGAGTAGGATAAGCCTAAGTTACGGAAGCCCCGCCCGAAGAGCCAGGCAAAGGCCTCAGCAGACGTCCCGAGTTCAGACCAGCCATACTTCGGAAACTGAGACACCAGTACTCAATGAGTTCGGCACAATGCAGACTGGAACCTCCCAGGCCAACGCCGGAGCAATAAATGCCAATAACACGAGAACATTAAACGCCATAACACAAGCCGCAATATCAACTCCAAATCAGCGAACAAGCTTTACTCCCCAGCATGTCCACGATGAACTTCGAAACAGAATAACTAAAGATCTCAATTATAACCAAAGCATGGGCACGGTGTACATCGCCCGCGACCCCAATCGACCCCATCTCCTTAAAATCGGGGCAACGGATAACTTCACTAACCGCCGAAGAACGCTTGAACAGAGATGCAGACTCAGTGTAGAGCTTGTACACAGTTCCAGCCGTTTAGTGAACTATTTTAGAGCTGAGCAGCTTGCTCAAGGAGATCTGATACACCTGCGCCGACGATATGAATGCAATGTCTGCAATACAGAGCACAGAGAATGGTTTGAAGTATCTGAAGAGTTGGCAAAGCAGACTGTGGAAAGATGGGTCGGGTTCATGAAACAATATCCATATACTCGAACCGGGAAACTGAAAGCTATTTGGCAGTACCGCCTTGGCCAAAGGACACTACCTAGCTCAGAAGTGGATCATAGCCGTCGGTGGAAACACTGGAGTTTGATCCTTCTTCCACCTTCGAGACTCGATCATTGTCTTTTTTGGCTAGAAGTGGTGCATAACCATCCGATATGGCAGTTTTCGTGGGATTTTTCGTGGCAAATATCTTGCGTAGTCTCATGGTTAGTCACATTCTTGGTTCTAAGGAATAGCTATGTATTTTTCATTCTTCTTTCACACATCGCATGCGGCTGGGTGAGCATGTCTTCGCGATTTTCCAAGAGAGTTAGAGGGTAGAGGGTAAGGGAACGAGGTAGTGCCTGGCTTTTTCCCAGTGTTGCATTTGAATTGTGCGCCATATTTACGTCTAACAATGTTCCTTTTCTTCAAGGATGAGAATTAGCCTTGCATCACCTTTTCACCTAGAAGTGGTTTGTGAATCATCTATGTGGTAGCAACAAGATATACGATGGCTCGAAATGTAGGGAAGATAGCCATCTCCCTGTCACCTACTAGAAATTGGCAACAATAGCTACCTAGATGGAGTTAAAAAGCAGTTTGTTCAAATTCGGCGTTGAAGAAACTGTTAGTGACGAAGTGTGTCGTGGTAGGAAATGTATGGAACAAACACTCTTGGTCACAAAGACAGAGTGTAACTCTAGGAGCAAATGGAGAAAGCAAGCAGATGTTTCTGGGACGTTGGTTACTGACCCGGCACTAATAGGCCGTATATTAACGTAGTAATCTACTATGTCCTAATTCGATGTACTTGCGAGTGATACTATGACAAGCTAAACAGCCTCAACCTGTTCCCGTGTTCTTGCTGATGCTTAAATGCTTCGCTATCCATCATACTATGAGTGTAGCATTCGCCTATTAACTTGCACTGATATTGACTCTCGAGTGACATAGTCAAGTTCGGCGGTTTTATTTCGGGATTCTCTCTATTGGTGGCTCGTCGAACACGTGCAGATGCGTGCTTCAGACTGGGTAGCTCTTCGGGTACTGCCAGACCTTCTTTTGATTCCAATCCTAACTGCTCCGGCTGTTTCATTTGAGATTGGTCAGGGTGCTCAGTCGTGTGTGGTCGGGCTTCTCCTGTGAATTTAGGTGGTGCCATGGGGCGGCGCAGCATTAGGGATATGAATCAATGAGTCACCATCAAGTGGTGTTGTAGCGATCCCTATGCGGGGTTTTATGGGAGAAGTCTTTATCGGGCGAAGTACAACAGGGACACTACATCCGTACAGAATACAGGTCAAGTCCCCTTCTCCTGCATCTTCTGGGACAAAGCCTAGTAGTTTCTTCGAGACCCTTCTTCCTTCTATCAGCATTATCTGACGGCCCCAAATTACGGACTACACTCGTCGAATGAACTCTGTCGCGATAGAAGGACAAGGACCAGATGTGAAGATCTCTTTGATATTCAGACCACCACGTTTACTGCGATGCTCAAACATCTACTTGCATGCTAATAGAAAATAAGCTGGTGGATAGCTTTTCCCATGGGGCCCACGATCCGCAACAAGCGTTCGCCAGAGTTGCTCTGGGACAGGCGTGGGTGGACCAGGCTAATCAGCAAGGTCGAGCCATGTAGAGGGAATAACTCCTTCATACGCAAGACCCTTTCTAACACCAATAGCATCTAGTACAAATCTAGTCAAGGCCAGGGCTCGGCCATTGGTAAATACACTAATTGGGTAAGTTTTAGTCTTTCCACTGGCGTTGTAATTGCGGGATCCAAAGCCAGGGCGACTCAGTCCGCCATACACTACTTCTCTCATAACTCATTATCGTGAAAGGGTAAATTAGGTCTTTTAACATAAAAGTATGATTCAACGCAGCTGCACCAGTATGTGAATGGTATATACAGGCAGGATCTCCATATGCAAGATGCAATAAATTCATATGCTAGAGCAAGCAGCTTTATTTATTTACTTCCTGTACTACTCGGTGAAACTGTTTGGTAGAGAAGGAGTAATCAGCTAACAAGGAAGTTTCTACGCCGACATTTTGTACCTTTCACTTCATGCTGCACTAGTCTTAACTTCCACTAGCATAGAAAGTCCAGGTATAGTTACACACAAAGTTAAGAAGGGTATTACTTTCTCTTCGTACCTACATCGATCTAGGTTTTAGATATTAGGTGTCAAGAAGCAAGACAAATTCCTTCCGGAGAATTTTTGCTCCGAATAGAACGACGCTAGGTGGTACTCAACTGCAAACTGCCAAGAAGAGAGCAGAGTATAGGATAGACTCAGAATGCAAAGAAGCGTAACGGACCTAGAACACCTATAGCATACTCTCGCATCAGGTAGTAATGCCCGACCTTCCCTTCGTGCCTTCGTACGTGCGGGCAACGCTGAAGGTAGAGCATATAAAAGAAAATACAAGACCCGCCAAAGTAAAATAGTGATAGGATACCGCATAGTTTAGAAACCACGTGAAGACAAGAGCAGCTTGCCAGGAAAATTTCCACAAAAATACACAGATTTCAAGGGTCTCTATCCATTCACAAAAGTGTTCTAGAGGCGGGAGGGGCTTCGGAGGGTCGTCGATAAACGATGTCCAACGTTTCGATCGCGCGCCATGGTCTTGGACATCCTCGCCCTGGAGATTTAGTTCCGTGTTAGTGACATGGCGTTTCCAGATGGATTTCAGTTGTCCATTTTTGTGGTACGGATGTAACTTCATAAAATTCACCCATCGTTCGACCGTCTGTTTCGCCCGATCTTCCGGAATCTCAAACAATTCCTCATGTGTTTGTGGGTCTATTTTGTTCTGCTTCTTACACGCCCTACACTCGTATGGCCGACATTGATTGTAGAGGTCAGCGTGAATGATCTGCTCAAGCCGGGAATGGTTCGCAGAACGTCCGACTTGTCCGGAATCCCAGACATATTCGAGATGGATTCCGCACTTTTTTTCGATCGCCATCTTCCGAGCGCTACTGGACGTTGTCGTCCGCCCAATCTTCAAGAGTGCGGGGTGTTTGTTGCTTTTAAATCTGAAGAGATAGATGACTCCTTCTTTATTACTGTTGCATTTTTCCCGAATTTTATAACGTAAACTGTCATCAATTTGGCGTGCAGTTTTCGAGCTTCGTGGTACCCAGTTGAGCTCGTCTTTATCTCCACTTTCACTATCTTTCTCTTGACCTTTCTCTTGATCTTGATCTTGATCTTGATCCTCTTCTTGATCCTCCTCTTGATCCTCCCCTTGATCTTCCTCTTGATCTTCCTCTTGATCTTCCTCTTGATCTTCCTCTTGATCTTCCTCTTGATCTTCCTCTTGATCTTCCTCTTCATATATATCTCCATCTCCATCTTGATAGACACCGTCATGGGTGACTTCCCCACGACGGTCATACTGCGTATCAGAAACCGACCGCTTATGGCGACCGACGGAATTGAATAGGGACAGACTGGCCCCAGTGTCTAAGCTCTGGCGGGGCTTACGCGGTAGGGAGGGTGTCTGAGATACAGTTGGTGCGCTCTGAATCTTGAAAGGGATAATTCGAGTAGCATCCGATATGAACACGGTTTTGGAGCCTGTACTGAGTTCTGCTATTCTTGCCGAGCGCCGTGATGGAGGTCTGGAGGATGTTTCACTCAACTCTGACCGGACCGAAGATGGGGTAGACAGGGACGCGCAGGTAACCTTGTTACGAGGTGTTGAAATCGCTCTAGACTTAGATGCCGATTGAGTTTGCGGGGCTCTAGAATCAAGAGGTAGACGAGATCTGATCGATGCTTCGCTACGTCCTGATTGATTCGAGGGCGTAGGAGAGGGCAACCTGCTAGTTCTATCCCGTTCGGCCGGTGATTGCGGTAAGGGCATTGCGTCCCGGTTGAGTTTGGGTGGCATGAGGCTCTGTGGGTTGAGAATATTACTGTGGGTGTTGAATGGTGAAGGATAATGTTAGGCCAATTCTAATGTACGGGGCCTCGAGGTTAGCTCTTCTACGTACTTATGCAAGAGGAGCCTTTTATATATTTCCTGACCAACTCATTCCACGCTATGAGGCCTGGAGACAGTACTTTGCAAAGCTTGGTGGCGCGGGCGGTGCAACATGCAGCGGTTTACTACCTTCCCGTTTCAATTCATGCGCAAAGCCTTGAGGTTAGTGCTCTACATACTTGTGCAAGAGGTTTCTTTTGCATATTTTCCGGCCGGTTCATCCCCCGTTATGAGGTCTGAAAACCGTACCTTGCAAGGCTTGGTGGCGCAGGCGGTGCAACATGCAGCGGTTTGCCACCTTCCTGTTTCAATTCATGCGCAAGCCTTCCAGCTGTGCTGTTCTTAGCTCTAAACGTAGTATAGAATGGCTTTTTTTAATACACACCCAGGCACCTGAGCTATAGCGAGAAGAGGGGCTCGTAATGCCGTCTACAAAAAAAGGCAATTAGGATGCACCATGCCTTCGGATGGGTTCGAGTGACATGTTCATTCGAGAAAAATGGTGCACAAGCCTTGGAGATCAAGCACCTGACAAGGAGAGGCGGTTAAAGTTGCGGAATAGAGTCCTTTCAGCCCAATCCTAGGGTGCTGTTCTCGAGGCAGCTACACTTGGATCCAATGTGCAGCCTCGCGTGCGACCAGCCCAAAATTTGGCGAAGTAGTAGTCGATCTAGGAATCCCAAACTAACTGTGTCTTCGAACTGTGGAACCACATTGCATGATAAAAACTACTCTCGATGTCGACTTCTAGGGATCCAGTACCTTGTACCAATACAGTTTCGAAGTGCTGTCTCTCTCCTGCAGGGCGGGTGAAAGGATGATCCCATTCTGCCGCCACGGAAGCACTGCTCACCATCCCAGCCCTCTCAAGTCCGTCTCTTTGCGGATGAGGCTGTTGTTCGGGTTTCGACTGGAAAAGGTCAACGCTGTGTCCTCTTGCATAGATTTGACAGGGGCTGTGCCGCAAAAGGGTGAAGGGACATCGTACTCGAAGAAGACGAGCGCTGCAGGATGATAGAGAAAAGACATTTAGACAATAGGAGCGAGTCTGACAGCACGATAGATGCAAATTCATCAGGCGTAACTTGAGCGAACCAGCGTTCTGTTCATCCTACTGAAGTGGAGGTAAGAATGCTAGACTAGGCGCTAGCGTCAGAAAAGGATTAGGGGCTTCTGTGTTCTCATGTGCGATTTCCTCTCTGCCCCAGTATGTCTCACAAAATCCCTGAGGCTTCACGTGGTCGAGAACCTTTTGCGAAGAGATTAGTAAATGAATAATCCTGTCAAACCTCATATACCCCCTAAATCCGCAATAATAAGAGTATATTCTGCGGTAGAATACATGCGCTTTATCAACTTCTGGTTGATACTTCACCTAAGAGCGTAGTCAACCTTGTAGATGTGGCACGGGAGCACTTCTTCACCCTTTCGACCCTCCTAACGCTAACACTCTTGATCACTCGCGGAGAACGTGCGATTCTAAGACTCTTGATTCCCCTAACCTGAACCTAGGTGCACTAATTAATATCCCTCAATCCACAGTTCAAAGCCAATTGAGGAGATAATAGCAAAAACACTAGACATGGAGAGACTTTTGGCAAGATTACTCTGAAGAGGCATGGATGATTTACTTACCCTTTCCCAAAGAAGGGTTTCGTATTACCCTCTAAGACGACAAGACTTCACCAAGCAACTGAGTCCACATCACCCAATAATCCCATTCTTCAAGGTGTAATATACTCTCAAAATATCTTCTAGCGACATAACTGTGCACTAGACGTGCAGCCATCGAGCATCGGATGGTTGCAACATGGTCAGACCTCATTCCGGGGCCAAAACTCGTGATATTGAAACACGCTTCGGAGTATCCCGGATAAGTAGGGCTGAAAGCCAAGTCCGCTACCAAGGTGTGAGCCCACAAAAGCGTGACTGGTATCAATGAAATGTGGGGAGTGGATAATGGTTCAAAAGGGGAAGATTCCTGGAAAATACTACACGAGAGAGAGGTGGGCCATGGCCTGTGGATCGCTCGTGTGAGAGAGAGCTGAGCGAAGCTACTGCATGTTCGCACATGGCTTGGAATGCAGCTAGGGTCTCTGAATAGGAATGAAAAGGGTATCGCGATGACTGATGCCTTCGATTTGGCAACGGGCTGAGGAGGCTCCGATTACACTCATCATGTTGCAGGATATGCACTAGTATATAGTAAAGCGTCCAGATTTTGCAAACAAGTAGGCGATCGTCCAACTTATCTGGCACAGAGGACGGCAGTTCATGTGACGGGTGAAGAGCATATCATGAAAGGCGCGAGGGCTTACCTGAACGCTTACATGCTTTCGCGACTCTAGACCTATGAGTTTCCAATGTCATGTCTCTTGAAAACTAACAAATAGACAGCTACCAGAAGCAAGCTGTATCGTCATTCCATGTTGCCTCGGGACAGCCCGTGGAACATTGCACCATCGCACATAACCCGGCATCGATAGTTCCCGTCCGCTCCCAAAATACAAGCCAGCACATAATAGCCCTCTCCAAACTCTACAAGCCCCACGCTTCGCGCCCAGCCTACTTCACCGGTAATGAGAAACGGCTCAGCAGGATCCTTACGCCACATGCAGCCCTCCAGGTAACCCTATGGCACCAAAATAAGATTCGGAAGGATCGAAGCCATTTCTGTGCCACACGCGACGTAGGAGGTGCAGGATTGCTTGCGAAGTAAATTATCATATCAACGTTATGACTGTGACTGAGAAGGAAGGTCTTCGCCTTTTCGGCTAGCTTATAGGATGCCGTGCTCTAAAACGTACCGCAGAATTCACCGGAGGACAACAGCCGTTGTCTTGTCGGATTTGGAAGAGTGCGAATGAGAATTCCGATACCTTTGTACTGGATAGATGTTTGAGATTGCGTATGCGTCGCGAGCGAAGGCGTGTTGTTGTGTTGATGCTGCTGCTGCTGCTGCTGCTGCTGATGATGATGATGATGTGATCTGAGGATTACTGTATTGAGCGGCTTGCTACTGGTGGGCTCCTGCAAGAATCCTGTGATGATAGTCAGCTAATCTCATCGAAGCACAAATCATCAGCATGATTCCCAAAAATATAAAAATGCCGTGGAAATAATACAGTGGTTTGATGGTTTACCTGATACTGTTCTTCCATGCCTCGCACAACCTCACCATGCAGAGGTGAGGCTCGAGAATGCTGTCGGCGGACTTTGTGCGGCTCCGTGTTTCATATTCACTAGGACCATGTCCTTAATAGCTGCCATGGCCTTCCTTCTAGAAAGCCTGCACTCGACGATCGGGAAAGTACCGCATAAACTATGTGTGGAGCGATGACGATGGCCGCTCATGCGGCTGTAGATCCCTTAAGCCACTCAGACAAAGCGCATAATGTTTCGGTGCCTCGCCATAATCGTCGGCGACATCATCCTGCACCAGGAAGCAGAGGACATGCCTACTATTACGCTGATTTAACCTTGCGAGTGGTTGGGTATGCGATGGGAGAGATGCTAACTTTCTAGAGGAATGTGAATGAATTCGGGGGGCAACTTGGGCACTGCGGCAATTGGCAACCTCCAGCGCAGGCCCAAGCAAGGGGAACTAGTTTTCGCTAGATTAATAGTGTTTCAAAACATTCATGCAGACCCGATGTTTCGTTTGAAGATGGATGATACTCGTGGCCTTATCCTCAGGTAGACTTGTGCGGAGTAGGATTTGCCTAGCTGCAATGGACATGCCTTAGCTGAAAGGCCGCATGTACGCAAGCCTGCGAGATGATTTGCTTCTAGGGTGTTCGGGATTGTGGGCCCAAGAACAAGAGCTCTGGTAAGAAGTTGTGTCTGCTTAGTACACGTGGACGCGGTACGTGGTCTCATGTGCGAGAGATCGTGCCATTCCCTTGCAGGTTCCTTTGTAGAAACCATTTTGCGACAAGGCTCCTAAAGAGAACAACACCAGTTCTCGGTGTCGTATTTTACATACGGAATTGCCAGCTTGTCGGTCCATGATAGGTGCGAGTTCACTTGAAGAGACGTGGACTGCATCCGGGATGCTTACTGATAGAAAGCGGTGAACAGTTCGTCTGCATATGCTGGTGCGCGGAGTCCGCCAGATAACGGACGTGATAGCTGTCACACGGCACAGGATTACGTACACCTTCTCGATGCCACGAGATATTCTTGACGGACCATTGGTGAAGGCAGACGCTATGTGGTCGATGTGGGGAGGGGCCGATGCCAAGACATCACCTTTCTCTCACAGGACGGCTTAGTTGCAAATGGTTTTCCAATTCAAGAAAGAGCTATTGGATCGACAACTAGTGGGAGAGCCCACCGCAGAGGAAGAGTGAGAATATCCTGCTATGAATACATTTGTTGGTGGAAGACGACATGGGACTCGTCTTTGATAAGAAAATAAGCTGGGGCAATGCACTAGAAGACGTTTGAATGCGTAAGAGAGTGCATACTTAGCTGTACGCCATCTTCGTGGCAGTGAAATTATTTCGTAGCATCCAAGGTTTGTTCTTGAGCGATAATAGTCAAGCATTTCCGCAGCCACTTAACCTTACAGTAGATGAGTCTTCACCTGAGGATCAAGGGGCAGAGGAGTGCGAGAACCTGTAACTGTCAGGAAATTCCGAGTAACCTTAATATCACGGTCACATCCCATTTTGGTCCTCGTGTGCAGGTGAAGACCTCTTCCTGGACCATGCGGCTGAAAGCGGGCGATAAAATTCCTCGAAGCGAAGACTTGAAACATGAGGCGGTCGAGAAACTGAGTTCAAGATGAAAGGGTGAAGCGAGTCGAGGCTCGCTCTTGTTTACGACAAAAGCAACGGATGAAAATGTGGGAGCAAAAGCTCCGACACAAGCACGGAGTAAATGAAAGACAAAGAGGATGGTTCATGGATAGTGTTTGGAGAGGCGTGCCAGCGGCTGATGTTCTGTGGTTGTGGCAGAGTTGGAGTAAGAACCAAAATTCTGACTGCGACACAAGTGTGGAGTGCTCGGCGAAGGTGAGTGACATAACCTAGGACGTAGAGTGGGCGAAGTTGTCTTTAGGCTGTCCCTTCCAATCATAGAAAACGTGTGCTGGGATGAGATGAGGCGCAATAATAAGAGAGGAGTGACAATTGAACTTACATCAGGTGTTGGGAGTCTGGGTTGGTGCATGAGGCAGCAGTTGATGGCATCTGTTGATGGCATCTGTTGGCGTCATCTCTCAATCTGGGTAGGGACTGGCAATGAGCGCAGGCTCCGGGTTTAGATTTTTGAGAGGACTAGTTCAGTGGCTGCATCCTCAATAAAGAGCCATGCAGGAAAAGGGTCGTCAGCCGGCAACTGAGTCGTACTAGGACGCAGCAGGATGGAAGGGCACGAGGACTGGACGCAAGGACCAGTGGCCGTTGCGGTGGTTATTGGATTCCCACGGCTGAAGAGCAGTAACAATCAAAAGCTATATAGACACACATAGAGAAGCCGGGACCAGAGCATGGTGGTGAGGTACAAGGAGCCGATCAGCAGCAATTGGCGTGCAGCGTGATGAGGGTCGGAGGGTAGCGCCTTCCCGAAATGAAGGCGCACAGGCCCTTGCTGTGTAGCAGGGGCGGCAGGCACGCGTCCCGTTGCTGATTGGCGGGGACCCTTTCTCCAACTGCAGGGCTCTTTCTTCACATTGGAATCCAACAGCCGCCTCAACATGGCCAGTGACGGTCGCAGCGCCCCATCACCTCTCTGAGAGCCATCGGCTCTCTGCAAACACCTCTCATAGCCGTTGCGACAGCAGCATTCGTGAAGTGACAGGTCTGGGCGGCTCTCCCGTGGTCGCGAGGCTGTCAATTCGCGGACAGGGGCTTGGGCCGACCCATGCTAGTGCCGTTTGATGAAGAGCAGCTTGCACTGCCTCTGCGAAACAAGGTGGCCCTTGGTGCTCACGGCCAGCAGCAATTAATTCCAGAGACAAGACCGAGTTGCACCCAACAGATGAAAGACACACAAAGCCCTCAGTCTCTGGCCGCATCATCTTGTTGAAGCCGCGCTGCCCTCTCTCTTGCGCTTTTCTTCTACTGCGTGCTTGATGACCACGGCGTGCCAGCCAACACGAACATCGAAGAGAGAAGCGCCTGTCCTATTTTTGCTGCACTATCGAAAAGCGGCCGCAACCCCGAAATTCTCCCCTTTCTTGTGCGTTCCCCGATCGATGGCGCCCGTTTGATGAAAAGGCGAGTCCACTCCGCAAGGCACGGCTTGCTGGGCTGCAGGGAGAATTATTAGCGATCCTTGGGAGCCTTTGCCAATTATTCCCTGCTGGGCCGGCTCGCAAATTGGTCGCCGTCGTTTTGGCCGTGACTCTCCCCCACTGGTCTCTGCCGCTGCCCACCTGGTCCTAGGCGCGCTGGCGTTCTGCGTCTGTCTCTGCCTGACTGCTCCTTCCTCCTCTTCCTTCACCACACCTCTCCGCCACCCTCACCCTCTCCATCTCTCCTCCTCCGCCCCCCCCCTCGACAACTCTCGACCGGATCGTAGCACTGCAACGCCCGCTTAGCAGTGCACATACACCGCCGTCGCAGTCATCTCCGCCTCTCGACTTCCCTTTGACGATCCCGATCAGGGCCACGCTCATTCGACGATTCTCCCAGAATCACGACCTCTCATTAGCATCTTTTCCTTCGTGCATTTAATTCGGCCAGTTGTAATTCGACCGTTGCCTGTCAACGTCGACGTCGCTCGTTTCGTCGCAGAAAGCAAATCCAACGATCTCAGCAGCCTCCCAGCATCTGCTGCCTGACCCTGTCACGACGCTTGCACTGTACCGGCATTAAGGAACAAAGAAAGCTATCTGAGTGCTTGTTAAGGATCGTCTGACTCCTCGACGTGCTTGAGCCTAAGGTCTTTTTCCACGGATGAACGGTGCGACACCCCAGGAACAGTCCCTTTGACCACATCAGCCACTGCGACTCGGCCTTTTGTTGCGCGCGCGGATTCTCGTTGACAGTTGACCGCGTGTTCAGCCGTGGCTGGGAATCGAAGACCTTCCCGCTGTCCTGGTACCGACAGACAAACGTTTTCGCGAAATTAGAAACAACGGCTGTCGACCATGACCGCATAGGTTGAATTGCGGAATCATTCCCCACGACAACATTGTCTCTGTTCTGCCTGGAGCACTGGTTCCTTATTCTAGCTGCACTGACAGCCTAGTGAGTCTCCCTGTTGAATAAAGTTGCCCGGCTGTGAATGACTGCTACTTCGCGAACTCGCCTGAATGTACCTCGGAAGTCCAGCTAACAGAAGCTTGCTCAGGTCCATTCCTTCATCTTGATCCGTCAAGTTCACTCGTTTACATCTTTACCCTGACAGTGCGTTCTGTAACTTGATGTGTGCCTCCAATTTCTAACTGCTTCAGATTCTCGAAACAACCCCAACTTCGATCCTGATACCTTCGAGATTTATTACCGAAAATATTGCTTGAAGATAATACACAACATGCCGAGATCCACGACGATATGGGCTGCGGCCCTGCTGCTTGCCAGCCTGTCTGGTTCGGGTCCGATGTTGACCACCGCAGAGGCCATGCCAGCACCCGGCCCACAGCAAACCGCGGGGAAACCGAAATACTACTTCCCACGGCATGTAAAGCGTCAAATTGTAACCAATACTACCGCGCCAGCTTCGTCAACATCCTCCTCATCCTCCTCAAGCAGCACACCTGATTTGGAAACGCGCAAGTCGTCGGACTTTTTCTCGTTCCTCGAGTCCTCGTTTTTCGGCAACACTCCGTCGTTCTCCTCATCCTCGTCTTCATCCTCATCATCCTTAGCGTCCTCAACCTCTGATGTGGCTACTAGTGCAGCTGTTGGCACAAGCACGACAACAATTATCACGGATATCACTGTAATACCATCGCCCGTGTCCAGCTTGCCTTCGGCTGGGACAGGGAATCTGAACTCAGAACCTTCGTCTTCGACGTCGACGTATACACCACAACCACCGATTCCTATTTCTTCAGTTGTACCTTCGTCACACGACGACCCATCCTCAAGCTCAGGTGTTGGCTCGACCGCTGGCTTGCCATCATCCATCGTTGTGCCAACATCAGCACCTGAATTTAAATCTGCAACTAGCGACGCTGCTCGCCCTCTGCCATCTTCGCCGGTAGATATCGCATCCTCTGGAGGCTTACCATCGACAATTCTTCAACCCACCTCTGCTGTAGCTTCTACTGCAGTGCAATCAAGCCTAGTTGATAGCTCTATTGCAAGCTTGACTGCTGGGGTCCCCGAACCAAGCAGTGATCCATCTTCACCATCGTCTGCAGCTGGCTCCACCGGTGGATTTCCGACTATCATTGTTCAGCCGACAGATTTTTCATCCGTAGGACCAACTGTAGTCTTGCCGTCTTCAATCGCCCAGAAAAGCGATCAACCCTCTTTTGGTTCTACTGGAGGGATTCCATCCTCTATCGTGCAGCCTACCGAAGTCCCGATTATTAGTTCGACCGGTGGTATTCCATCCTCCATTGTGCAGCCAACTGAAAACCCCGTGATTGGCTCTACTGGAGGAATTCCTTCATCCATCGTCCAACCTTCGGGGTCAACTGGGGGTATTCCGTCATCGATTGTACAGCCTACCGATCTTCCGGTTGGATCTACTGGAGCTATTCCATCTTCAATTGTTCTCCCGTCGGATAGTTCTACCCCCGCTGTGTCACTCCCAATTGAGTCTTCGGTCTTAGGCTCTACAGGAAGTATACCAGAATCAATCATTTTGCCAAGCACGCGCGCCAGCCCGGTTTCTGAGCCCTCTTCCACGGGTGGTTCTTCTATTGTTGGACCATTTATCCTTCCCTCTGTAGGTTCCACGGGCGGTCTTCCAACATCCATCGTTGAGCCGTCTAGTTCGCTTGCCCTGCCTTTTGGCTCAACCGGCGAGATACCCTCTGCCACCGGGCTCCTCCCAACAGAGTCTCTTCTGCCCATTGGCTCCACCGGAAGTGTTCCTGGTAGTGTTGTGCTTCCAACGAGCAATATTCTTCCGACCTCAGAAGTTCCCCTACCATCTTTACCGACCTCTGGGATCATTGTTGGCATTACCACCGCTTTCAGCGCAACAGAAGCCCCAACACCCTCAGCTCCAGTTTCTATCCCAACCTCAGAGACCGTTTCCGAGTCCGGTGTTCCTCCGTTGTCTTCCTTCGTTTCTCAGCTGTCATCCCTCCAGCCATCTGAAAGTGCGCCAATTCCTAGCGGTGTTATTCCAAGTTCTGGTGTTGGTCTGACTGACCCAACACCTGGGCCGACAGCACCTTCGAGCGCCCCTGGCGTAACCCCGATTCCGATTCTCCCTTCATCTATTGCCTCGGAGCTCTCTAGTGCACTCTCTGTCATCACGTCCGATGTGAATAGCCTCGTCTCGTCAGCTATCAGCCAAGTTCCAACATCAGTCCCAGATGTCCCTAGCATCGTGTCCAGCATCGTGTCTAGCGTAGTGTCTGAGGTATCGAGTGGAATCGTGATCCCGACAGGTACCGCTCCCACACCGTCAATCCCCATCAGCAGTATAGTTTCTAGTGTCATCTCAAGCATTGAGTCTGGCATCTCGACCCTTATTCCCCCTGTCACATCTTCCGAAATCCTGCCTTCGACTCTTGTCCCTTCAGTCACGTCTTCAGGTATCCTGCCTTCAACCCTTGTTCCCCCTATCACGTCTTCCGGAATCCTGCCTTCAACTAGTTCCGGTGTTGTACCTTCCTCTGGTATTTCCACTGGGACTGGCTTCACCTCTGTTCCCACAGGCACTTCGGTTCCTACAGGCTCTAGCGTCGTACCAAGTTCATCGAGCATTGGCAGCATTCCACCGACTTCAGAGGCTACCTCTAGCCCTACTTCAAGCGGAGTGTCTTCTGCATTGCCTGGCTCTACAAACTCTACCGCAACAGCTTCAGAGGCTCCGATTAGCACCCCAGTGGTTTCATCGACGTCCGAGTCGCCTACGTTGATTTTCCACCCGCCAACGATTACATCTAAGCCTCCTGCTCCTACCACCCCGCCAACGTCCATTCCAGTAACAGGCACTGACAGCGAGACCACCTATCTTATCGGTTCAAGCATCATCCAGGAACCGTCAACAGCACCGTCGCCAAGCGCGACGGTGTCTGGTATTCCGTCAAATCTGCCGAATATGATTGCACCACCGGATGGTGTACCCGTCCGACCGCCAAACACATTCCTGGGCCAGATTGGCTTCAAGTGGCCATTGAATTATCCATTCGTCTGCGCCAATGATGGAGGTAACCAGATATTCGCGTTGCTTCCCATTGCAATCTCTGATGCCTTAAACATCACGGAGGATAAAATGTCGATGGTCGGGATCAAACCGTATGATACCACTACCTACTTAGGATACATCACAACCTTGGCGATATTCTGGATTCCCCAGGATCTCTCTACTACGCTTGCTGCACAGCTCCGCAATCCTCCAGATCCGTTTTGGCACAACAAGAACCAAACTGTCAATTCCTTGACTAGTCTCATCAACACTGCTTTCCCATTACCAGCTGGAAAAACTCCCGGCGATGGTGATTCCACGCAGTCTGGTAACCCAAAATCCACTGCGACTGGAGGTCCCCGAGATGGCGGTGCTATGGGAGGTGACATGGGTGCCAGCCGCAGAGTCAATCCGACAAGCGCTTATGTTGCTACTGGATCTGTCGTCGCTGCTATTGCATATGGTGCGGCGATGTTTTACGTTGCGCGGAGATACAGGAATAAGAAGATGTCGCACCAGCGATCAAGTTCTGTGCCGAGTACTAGTCGCTACACTTATGGCTCTATGACAGGTGGCGGCGCCTTCATGTCAGGTGGACGCGGCCCCGGACGATCTACACCTGGTGGTCGAGACAGCCATGGAAGCAGTAGTAGCAATGGACGGAGCATACGAACGCAGCAAATTTCGGCCCCGGTCATGGCCGAGAATTCACTTGGCTGGAATTAAATATTCTTCTCATGGCGACACAACGGCGCATGAATTTATGTGCCCTGTATCATATTCCTTGTTACTGGCAACTGGAGGGCCGATGCATTTCCATTTCCGAGCGACGCGCAAAGCACGACGGTCGCATTCCCAACGTGTAATTACATCACGGCATCGGGACTTTCCTAGTTCTTTGTATTGAGTTGTTGCTCCGACCAGACTCGTCTAAGCTGGTGTGAAGCACACCTAAGCTCTCTCCTAATGTTCTCACTCTCGCTAAACAAGGACCTATACTCTCGATATCTCTTTTATTATTTTCTTTGGTTTTTGCCATGTTCGATTCTTAGATACCTGTCTATGCTTTCACGGCTAGACCTTTTTCTCGTCGGGAGTTTTTGGAAGAGATGAAGCTGCATTTGTTCAGCATCTATGTACCGCATGAAGAGGATCTTTGGGGAGTGAACAAAGGTGTGGTGAAAGCGCGTAAATAGCAGCCAGTGGTTGAGAAGTAAAGAAAAGTTCATATTAATGCTGAGAGTTGTGAGTCGATGAAGGTGATCAGGAGCATGATACCGTGACGGGTGTATTTAAAGGCTTGTATGAATTAATGTTGGCTTTCAGAAACAGAAAATTGATTGAAATGTGAATTAATTGTGGGAATAATCACAGAATACACCTAAATCATTCCAGCATAAAAGCTAGTAAAAAATATTTTTGTGTCGTGGATGGGGAATGCTCTCGACCTAAGCGGACTTTAGGGAATCACCCCGCCGTAAACCACAGCCGTCGGAACTTGCCTCTTCGGGCGATAATGCCTGAACCCTGTCATTCTTGGCGAAACCACCAAACACCACGCCTGCAACTTTGACCGTGGGTAACGCCTCCAGACCATTGCCTTCGCCTCTAACAGCTTTGTTTGCGTAGTTAAAATTTTAAACTCGTCTTTTTACTATTGTGCCTTTGTTACGACCTCTCGCGACCCCGAACTTGCGCTCGCGGACTGGCTCAAGTAGCCACGTCTCCCCAAAGACGACTTCATAGCCCTCGCATCTAGCTGGAATCATGCGCTTGGACGTGAAGGTACGACAGCGGGGTCTCCTTAATGGTTTGCGGTATACCAGCAATTGCTTACACAATATTTGAATATAGCGGCAGCTCTTCGCGCGATCGGAGAGGGTCAAAGGTACATTCTTACAGCTATATATGCACAACTGAACATACGCTAATTCTCCGCAGGAATTGGTGAGATGAACAACCTAGTTTTGTCTTGAACTGTACTCAATCGCCTTTCAAGACTTTCACCCGACCGAGCCATGGATTCTCACCACCTTGTATAGCGGTAGGCTCCGCCGGAAAATGTGAAAATGCGGGACGATATACTGACAGGCCTAGGACACGTCCATATCTGGTCCTACGTTTCCCAATCTATCGTCAAGACCTTCGAGCTCACCGATGTTCCCGTCCGAGCGGGTCGATTCATTGCGAGGAAGAATTGGATAGTCGCAGGTGGGCTTGGGGACCCTTTGAAAAAAATGCTGTGTTGACATGCTCGTCTCTAGGCTCCGATGACTTCCAGTTGCGCGTCTACAATTACAACACCTCGGAGAAGGTTACGTCATTCGAAGCGCATCCAGACTACATTCGTGCCATTGCTGTGCATCCAACGCAATCTTTTGTGTTGACCGCTAGTGTACATAACATCTTCAAGATATGTAAGGGAGTGGTGCTAATGATTATTAGGACGATATGACAATAAAGCTGTGGGACTGGGACAAATCATGGAAATGTATGTCGTCACATTGCATCCTACCCTTTTCTGGCCTGACCATGATTGACACTCTACAGGCGTCCAAGTCTTTGAAGGCCATGGCCACTATGTCATGGGCATTGCCATAAACCCAAAGGACCCAAACACATTCGCATCAGCATGTCTCGACAGAACTGTGAAGATATGGTCATTAGGCAGCACAACCCCTAATTTTACTCTGGAAGCACATGAAGCCAAGGGCGTAAACTTTATTGATTACTACCCGCAATCTGACAAGCCATATCTGCTCACTACATCTGATGACCGGACTGTCAAGGTCTGGGATTACACAACAAAAGCCCTCATTGCTACGCTAGAAGGCCACACCTCGAATGTTAGCTTTGCCGTATATCATCCGGAACTGCCAGTGATTATTTCTGGGTCTGAAGACGGCACCATCAAGATTTGGCATTCATCAACGTATAGGCTAGAACAGTCATTAAATTACGGTCTTGAACGAGCGTGGTGTGTGGCTTACCAGAAAGGCAAGAATGGCATCGCCCTTGGGTTCGATGACGGCGCCGTAGTCATCTCTATGGGGCGAGAAGAGCCAGCTGTAAGCATGGATGCTGCAGGAAAGGTGCTGTGGGCTAAACACAACGAAATTCTTACCGCTGTGATCAAAGGCAACGAGAAACTGAAGGACTCAGAACGTTTGACCCTGCCAACCAAGGACCTTGGATCGACCGAAATTTACCCTCAATCGCTATTGCACTCCCCAAACGGACGATTTGTCGCAGTCTGCGGTGATGGAGAATACATCATCTACACAGCGCTTGCTCTCCGTAATCAAGCTTTCGGCTCCGCGTTAGATTTCTGCTGGGCTTCGAAAGAGCATGATAAAGACTACGCAATTCGAGAGTCATCCACGAGTGTGAAGATATTCCGAAACTTCAAAGAGCGAAGTGTTTTGAATGTGGGCTTCTCGGCTGATGGTCTTAGTGGAGGCATTCTCCTTGGTGTAAAGGGTCAGGGCGGCATCGGTCTGTTCGACTGGGATACCGGCGCCTTGGTCCGAAGGATAGAGGTCGAACCCAAGAGTGTCTACTGGTCGGAGAGCGGTGAGCTCGTCACGTTGGCAACAGAAGACACTTTCTATGTCCTCCGATACTCTCGCGAGAACTATTTGGAGGCAGTCCAGAATGGAGAGGTTGATGAAGATGGCGCGGAGTCTGCTTTTGAAGTTGTTTGCGATATCAACGAGAGGTAAGATGCTCCCGAGATTTTTGGGAGGATATGAGTAGAAAGTTAACGCACCTGTAGTGTTCGTACAGGCGCCTGGGTTGGCGACTGCTTCATTTATACCAACAGTACAAACCGACTCAACTACCTCGTTGGCGACCAGTCCTACACAATTTCCCACTTTGACGCCCCCCACTACCTTCTCGGCTATCTTCCGCGTGACTCCAGGATCTACGTTGCGGATAAAGACGTCAACGTCGTCTCATTTGCGCTCTCCCTTGCCGTCGTCGAATACCAAACGCTCGTCCTCCGAGGCGATCTCGAGGCCGCAGAAGAGATCCTCCCGAACGTACCCAAAGACCAAAATAACAAGATCGCCCGATTCTTGGAAGGACAGGGATACAAAGAACTCGCGCTCAAAGTCGCCACGGACCCAGAACACCGCTTTGATCTCGCCCTCTCCCTCGGCGATCTTGAGCAAGCCACTGAAATCGCCCGCGAGCAGGACACAGAGCACAAGTGGAAGACAGTCGGCGATGCGGCGCTCACAGGTTGGGACGTCAAGCTCGCGCAGGAATGCTTCGTCAAAGCTAAAGATCTCGGTTCTTTGCTGCTAGTGTACAGCGCCACTTCCGATGCAGACGGTCTGAGAGAATTGGCGAAGCTGGCAGAAAACGCGTCAGCGAATAATGTCGCGTTCTCGGCCCTCTGGCAGATCGGCGATGTCGATGCTTGTATCGAGCTCCTGACCAAGACAAATCGCGTTGCAGAGGCGGTGCTCTTCTCGCAGACGTATAAGCCTAGTGTGACAGCAACACTTGTCAAGAAATGGAAAGCGAGTTTGGAGAAGGAGAGTAAGGGGAAGGTTAGCCGATTGTTGGGGGTTCCGCCGAGCGAGGGTGAGGGTGATGCTGAGATGTTCCCTGACTGGGATGAGTATTTGAGGCTTGAGAGGGAAGGTGGTACGGCGGAGGATTTGCCGACGAAGGGGGAGGTGGAAGTTGAGGATGGGGCGGTTGAGGAAGAGGAGGGTGTGGAGAATGCAGAGGAGGATGAGGCCGAAGAAGACGAAGAAGAGTGAGGGGGTCTAGGTAGGTGGGGTTGTGAGCCAAGGGGAATGACGAGGAGTGTCGGACAGAGGGTGAGAACCAGTCCTAAGGAAACTTGGCATTATGTTTTTTTTTGTGCGCTTTTCGAAGATTAAAGAGGCCCACCGGATAAGGGATATGAAAATGATACAATGATAGGATATATTACCATATACCTTTTTCATGTTTCCCCTTGTGTGAGGACTAGAGAAGAGGAGAAAATTTACAATAGGCCCTGTCTATGGTTATGGTAACGAAGATCTCACATGCCCGCAGTGCCTGTGCTGTCTATACAGCTCTAACCAGCCAGCCGGCTATCCATTAACAACGCCGACACCCGTCCGTGTTTGATATCCGAAAGCTGAGAGAGATTTTCATGATACAGCACCACCCATATATACGTTTCATTCACCATAATCTCCCATGCCCCGATTTTTGTCCACCCATCCTACCGCACAATCTCCACCTCAGCATCTTGATACGCGCTATCCCTAAACCCATCCCTCTCCCCATCCCCATCCCCACTCGCCGTACTCACATTACTACTCGAATCCTCCGACTCTTCAGTGGTATGGATTTTCCTAGGTCCCTCTCGGGCATTAACGACTGTATCACGGACATCATCCAACGAGTCCATTTCCCTCTGCACCCGCCCCCTCCCAAAAAAATCCTCCGTCCGTAAACCCCGCAAATCATGCGGTTGCACGGCTTTCGTAGACCGGTGTAACGACCCATCTGCCTTCTTTCTCCGAATACATTCACGCACTGGGCCCATGGCGGCGTCTCGACATGCTTCTTTGATGTCGGAACCAGACATTCCTGCGGAGACGCGGACTAAATAGTCGAGGTCGAAAGCCGCGTGGTCGATTTTGGTGCCCCGGAGGATGAGGCTGAAAATGTTGTGGCGTTGAGAGGCGTTGGGGAGGGCAACGGGAAATTTTTTGGGCATGCGGCGTAGGATTGCTTCGTCGATGTCTTGGATGCGGTTTGTGGCACCCAGGATGACAATACGTTGAGGGGTAGTGGTGCCAGGGCGTGTGGAAGAGGAGAGGCCATCCCAGTGCGTCATGAATCTGGTCGCGCGTTAGTTCGAATTGTGTAGGGAGGGTTTAAGGGATGCTTAGGGACGATTAGGGATGATTAGAGATGAGAAAGGCGGATCCGGGTTATACGCACTCTGCTTTCACCATGCCGCTCGCTTCATGTTCTCCACTTCTCCTCTGCCCTAATACAGCGTCGATCTCGTCAATGAAGACAATACTCGGTTGCAGCTTCCTCGCTAAACTGAACACGGCGTTTACCAGCTTGTTGCTATCTCCATACCACTTCTCTGTCAGCGTTGATATATGGAGATTGATGAAGCAGGCGCCGGACTCGTGCGCCAGTGCTTTCGCCAGCATAGTTTTTCCGCAACCTGGAGGACCATAGAGAAGGACGCCTGATGGGGCGGACAGGAGGGATGAGGTTGAAGAATAGAGATGTGGGAGGGTGAGCGGGTATATTACGGATTCTTTGAGTTCTTCGATTATGGAATCAAGGCCGCCGATGTCTGTGGAAGATTAGCATTTCTCTCATCCTCGCCAATTCCCCTCCAAGATCGCAGATCTGAATATCCATTAGAATACCCCATGACCCCTCACACCGCCAAGAAAGCACTAAAGAAAACGATCTCACATACCCTCAAAACTGACGGGTATCTCTTCGGGCGCAACAACCTCCATAGCAATCGTCTGCTCATAACTCGTAAGTCTCAGATCCTCTATCTTCGCCCGACTACCCCTCCTCCTCCTGCCATCTCGGTACCCACTCCCGTATTCGTCATCCTCGTCACCCTCAAGGGCTTTATTGGCTAATATTGCGTCGAGTTTGCGAGAGGCGGCAAGGGCTTTTTGTTGGGCTTCTTCTTTGGAGGCGGCGTCTGGGTCGAGACGCGTGAGCAGCGAGCGGATTAGAAAGTATGCGACAAGGGGCTGGGGGCTGTTAGTAGAGGTTATATTCAAAGGGTTGAGAAAGACGGTGTAGGAGATTGGCGGAGGCAAAAGTGCACGTGTGAGAAATGCAGGTGAAGGTGGACCTACAGCGGCAGCCGCCATGAGGATGTCGGGGAGGTACGATAATGTTGATTTCTTATTGCCGCTCATTTTGGCGACTTGCAAACTCGAAGACTAGGGGAACGGTGGGGGGGGACTCGTTATGGTGACGATAGCGGTGAATGATATTGTGTTGTTCATCCTTAAGTTTGGATCCTGGATGTCGTTGTTGCGGCTCAACGCCACATGTGGCGCACGCATAGGCCTCGGCACGAGATGCTGCGAGAAAGACTCCGCATGCAAGTGCTTAGTGCTTGCTTGGACCTCCCCTCGATTGCTCCCGTCGCGGGCCTCCTTTTAGCTATAGCAAGAATGACGTCGATATATCGGCCTACCGAAGCAATCCGCCTTCTCAAACCTAGTCTTCGCCTTCCCTACGTCCGACCGCGTCAGACAGTCTCCAAAGCAGCTGTCTTCTCCACCTCACACCCATCGCACGCAACACACAGCTCCACCTCCAATACCCCCAACTCCCAACCCCGCAAACACATCACCGTTGCGAGCGACGATGGCCGCATACGCTGGGCCGACCTCAGTACCAGTGAAAAAGCCACGCGAACAACCCAGCAAAGCTTCAATTTGGCCATTGTCGCTGTCGGCATCGCATTAACCGTACATCTCCCCTCCCCCTCCCCCTTCCCCCCCCCCTAACTCTACTAACGCATTACTTGATACACAGGGCGCAGTGACCTACCTCCTTTACACCGAAGTCTTCTCTTCGGACTCAAAAACCTCGCACTTCAACCGCGCAACCGACACCATCCGGCTCTCGCCCGCCTGTACGAAGCTCCTCGGCCCCGGACCGCAAATAAAATCCTATGGCGAACCCTCCTGGAGCCGGTGGGCGCGGAACCGAATTGTCGCGTCATCCATCGAGACAGACCGCTGGGGCACCGAGCACCTGCATATGAAGTTTTATGTGGAAGGGCCACTGAATCAGGGTGTGGTGCATGTGCATATGACGAAGAAACCGAGTCAGGATGAGTTTGTGTATAGGACCTTGGCGGTGGACGTGAAGGGGCACCAGAGGATTTATTTGGAGAATGCGGAGGAGGGGGCGGAGAAGAAGAGTGCACCTAAGATTTTTGGGGCGAGGTGGTGGTAGTGAGGAGAGGTGGCCGGTAATTGAATTGTGGTAAAGAGTATTGTTGATGGACCGTTGCGCGGTGCGAGATTCTCCTTGCTCATAGCGAGAGATCCAAGACCGAAATTTCTGTATACCACACGAAGAGCACCATAGAGGGACAGTTCTTTGCATGATGGATGAAGCCTAACATAGCAAATCTAATCTCGACTGAAACGAGTAAGGAAGGATTTTGCGGAGAAAAAGGAGGTATCTATATCATTCTCATCCTAAATGCTCTAAGATGCAAAACAGCCCGCTCAGAGGCAAATCAATGAATCGCGCTGAGCCAACTTTCTAATGAAGAATGAAGAATTAAAAAAAAAAAAAGAAAGGAAAATAATATGTATATATATTTTATGCAAACGCCCCAAATGCCAATCCCCTTAATCCCAACTCCAACTCCAATTCACAATCTCACTTTTCCAACTCACTCAAACTCCAAACTCTTTTGCCAATCTAAAACCAATCTAATGCTCCCCACCAGCCGGTTCACTCGTAACACTAGTACTCCGCCCAAAACTCGGTGTGCTAGGTCTACTCCTCTCAAGCCCAAAAAAAGCCACGTTCTCCCTCAGCGCAACATACTCGCTATCCGCGTACCCTAAAGCATCGTGGATCTGTGTGCTGTGTAGGCCCTTGATACGGCGAATTTCGGCCGCCGAGTAGTTGATAACCGCGCGCCCGATTTCATAGGGGGCGGGGTTGTGGAGTTCGTATGGGGGAGGGTGCTGAGGTGTGAGAGCGGGAGAGTGGGAGTGTGAATGTGCGAGTGTGGCGTGGTTGTGCATGTGAGTGTGGGTGTGAACGTGGTTGTGGTGGTTGCTGTTGCTATGGATGTAGGAGTGGCGAGATGGTGTGGGAGGTGATGATGGCGGCTGAGAGTTAGAGTGTGATGGGGAGGATTGAGGGAGTCTTTTTACAACGACGATGCGTACGGCTTCTTGTTGCGCGAAATTTCCGTCGACGTCGACTACGCCTACGGGGAGAAGTCCGGCCTTGTCATGCAGAGCGCACCGTGCTCCTTCGTCGATGTAGATTGTTCCGTGCGGTGCGAGGCCGTGCAGGATCCAGAACCAGCGGTCTCGGATCGGGTGTGGAATAGGGAGGAAGCGGGTATGTCGTGGAGGGTCTTGGAGCAGGTCGATCTGGGGAGAAGGAGTTCTTGCGGGAGTATCGTGGGGCGTTGATGTCAATGGTGTAGCCAGGGCGTGATTCGCAGAGTGCAGATTGAGTGCTGCCATCTGTGCCAGAGATGCCCCCTCTTCCTGTAGATTGACAACACTGTTCCGACTCGATAGACGCGTAGTCTTCTGCGACTCCGCGTACTTGATGATGGCGGTAATGTTCCCCGGCTTCGAAGATTTCGTAATGACCGTCGTCACACCGGCGGAGGTCGCCAACCTTGCTGCTACAATCTTCGTCGACATGCCTCCAGTCCCTAGAGCCGAACCGGCACTCGACACATCAGCTTCCAGCTCCGCAATATCTTCCACAACAGGAATAGGCTTCGCGTCCGGGTTCGTCCGCGGGTTCTTGTCATACAGGCAGTCGACGTCGGTCATAAGGAACAGATAATCCGCCTGCACCATTCCCGCCGTAATAGCAGACAGAGTATCATTGTCTCCAAACTTTATTTCCGTCACGGCCAATGTATCGTTCTCATTAACAATCGGAATAACCCCCATATTCAGAAGTTCAAAAAAAGTGTTCTGCGCATTCTGGTACTGGGTCCGATCCGCAATGTCGTTCCTCGTCAACAAGATCTGCGCAATTGGCTGTCGTACATGCCCGAACAGTTGATCCCACAGACTCATCAGCCGACACTGCCCAATCGCAGCTAAAGCCTGTATCTTAGGGAGGTGTTTCGGCCGTTTGTCGAGATCCATGCGACGCAGGCCAACGCCAATGGCGCCAGAGGAAACGAGAACAACGCGGTGTCCATCAGCGTGGAGTTTTACGGCTGTTTCGACGATGACAGATAAAATAGAGAGGAGAGGTTGGTGCGTTTTTTCATCCACGATTGAGCTGGTTCCTGGGGAGAAAGTGTTGGTTAGCTGATCCTCCCCTGCAAGGTGGGGTGAATGTACAACTTAGGTTGGGTATTTACCGAGTTTTATGACGACGGTGAGCTGCCCTGGGTGTTTTTTCATTTGCAGTGCCATAATAGCTAGGTATTCGCAATCTAGAAAGAGTACAAATGGGGAGGAATTGAGGAGGGAGGGCTGAGGAAATTCTTTGTCAAGCTCGGATGATGATGACTCTATTTCTACCTCGCAACTTTTTTGACCGGGGTTGCACAGGCTCTCGGACACATTCCTTAGGTATTTTCACCGCCTTTATTAGGTCAGCAACTTGGAACCTGCTGCAAGTAACCGTAACTTCCGGTGGCCACGACTGCTGAAAGTCTCCTTTGCAAGACTGAGATTATTTAGGAAGAAACACACCCCCATTTTTTGCTGGCTTCTCTTTTCTTTATCCCTAAGAAGTTCCAAGAGCGGTCTCTGCGTTACAGCTATATAATTTGGAGCCTGAGTTACCTTCCAATATTGTATCTTCTGTTCATCGCTGATCAAACTGCTTCTGCTGTGCGCAACTTGTTGCTTGAAAACGGTTTGATGCTATTACTTATTGACTATATGAAGTGGACTCGTTGTTCAGTAGTAATGGCAAAAAAGATACTGAAGAGATCACCCGGCAGAATGTGGACAATTAGTCAAAGGCGAATTGCTGTGTCTCCCTGACCTAGGGAATATATTATCCAGTTTAGCTGCCTAAATACGATTATGAATCTGCTCGGTAAAGGTGAATAGTGAAGAAAGAATAGTGAAGAAAGAATAGTGAAGAAAGAATAGTGAAGAAAGAATAGTGAAGAAAGAGGAGTAGAAGGAAATAGAGTTAGTTGTAGCAAACCACGGCCCTCGTGAGAGCGAACATTAGAATGGTCTAGTGTTAGAGTTGATGACAGTTTTCGGAATCAGGAGACATAAGATGCCTGACTCGGGCTATCCCCCACTTTCATCAGACTGTTGATCTCACTCCCAAGGGTGTCTGGGTTGTGGTGGCTATCTAAGTAGTAGCATTACTTTTGGTTTTAGCGAGTGATACAAAAGAACAGGTGACATGGAAGCCATAGTAAAAGTTATCCAATATCGCTTAGATACATTGAAGGCGCTAGAGATACTCTGCGAACACGAGCTCAAGTTCCTAAGGCTCAATGACTTCCTCACACACCATCCAGAATACGCAAGTCTCAGCAAACGCAATACAAAGCTCGTGAAATATGTGATGAACCGAGCCAACAGATTGCCCAAAGGGTAGTGCATACAGAATCACATCCTAGAGCTTGATAATGCGATCGAGGTTAATAGAAATACGTCTAGGACAGCCCGGAAGGGTGACCCTCAACAAGCGGTCACTCTTGAAAGATTTGCAGCCTTATACAGAGATCACTATACCAACACGGGCCAGAAAACCAGGCTAGGGAAAGTATCTCAGTTTGTCAAACAAGAGACAAACATGACAACACAAGAGAGGACCCGACCTGAATTCTCCCAATGTGCAATCTCGCTCGCGTCAATATTAAGATATTTAATAGAACAAGACGGCCCTATTGAACCAGGCTATCGATTGCAGTCAATAGGCATTGGGGATAGTATTAAATGATCATGATCGCGTGATGGAACCTGTAATATACCTTGGACTCATGTTTCAATAACGGTTTAAGAAAACGCAGACCAACGAGGTCCTTTAGAACCGTGGTGTCCGGCCCATTCTACAAAAGCTGAGGCATTTGTCTTCCCGGAAAAATTCGAATCCATTGCCTCGAGTTTCGTGGGTTGATAGCGGGGCTACATCTCTTCTACCCCTCCATCTGCAAGCAAAACACGATTCAGGATCAGTCGAGAATACACTCTTACCACATGATTTCATCCGAAGTACCAAGCTTGAAGCACCTGCTTTCCTCAGATGTAAACCGCACTTTGCCATCCAAGACCGTGCAGCAGAAATTCTTGTTGTTTCAATGCCGGCAAGTCCTTGGCACCCCCCCTCTTCGGGTAGCAGGAGAAGTCGAAGCTTTATAACCCATACAACATCATCGGGACCGACTATATGCCTTGGCCGGCCCACCAAGAGAAGAGTCTTTCATGCCCTCAATTCGTGCACCGTAGCTCATTTTGCTTGTTATAGTGACATGAACCTAGTAGATCCCACACAAAACTCACTGATAAGTGGAAGGGAGGCTGAAGAGAGGTCTTCCGCCAAAGGCATCTTGAAATGTTTCTTCACAATTAGGTCCACCTCCATCTACATATCATTTGAAGCGCTAGAAGCCTGGGATTTCAGTGAAGATGTTGGAAACCAGAGCGCGGGTAGACAGCGATAGGTGTTTGGTTAATTTCCTCCAGGATCGAAGAAATCGGCTGAAGAGGGTAAATATCAGAGAAAGCGATGTATGAACTTATCAGAACACCATCATTCAGACGAGAACTTCTGCTTAGCATTGACATACTGTTGCTTACAAGGGTATAGGAGATATCCAGCCTGAAAAACTAAAATAGTATTGAATTAGTTACCTTATACGAGATAAGAAGGAGACATTCTATGATACGCGAGTATATATTTATGTAAGCCCTGATGGTGGTGCAGCGAAAGAATGTATGGAGCCGCTAGGGGGGGGGGGGCAACCATGGTATTTCGAGAGGTACAGGCACTAGGAGATAGTGGCTTGGCCTAGTTACTATTTACTTCTAAAATGAATGTTGAGTCGGCCATCATACCTACAGTCATATGCGTATACGAGTACGCTTCATGTCTCGGATATCACCGTCAAAGATCCCACACTCGTAGTCCCAACAGATGTTATGAATACACGGCAGAATATTCGGCCAAGCCGCTAGGGTGGACTTGACCTCGATCTCAAAGTGTTGCTCACCGCCTTAAAGGTTCACCAATCAGGATCTCAGATCGATATCCACAAAACAGTCCAGCCGCGGTCGAGAGGTCGAGGAAATCTCCAAACGCGTCTTGCGACCACAATATCCCCACAATCAATCCCAGCTCGACGCCCTTCGTAGTCTTTCATCCTCGCATATCCACAATGTCTTCTCCCGAGGCTCGACCCGGTGGCGAGCCGGTCACAGAAAAGAAGAAGCCCGCAGGACCGCCAGCCCAGAAACTTGATTCTGTATACTACACTTGGAGCAACATGTTTTCGATCCTTGCCGGACGGATGACGCAAGCGCGGGACGTAGAGCTAGAGCGGAAATACTTCGAAGAGCAAGACGAGATAAAAGCGGAATCTCTATGTCGGCGTTGCGAAAAACAGCGAGATTTCCTCCTCCAATATAGTACTTCTCTCCAACCATTTTTCCTCCATCCTCTCTCTCCCCCCTTACCCTACATGTATCTATCTAACCCCTACCAGGCCCGATAGTAAAATTCATGAAAGACGAAGTCTCTAAGCTCGGTGGCGACCTCAATTCCAAAAACATCCAATGCCGCATCTGCACAGCGTCACAATCCGGCGGCTTCCACATCGACCACGGCATCATGCTGTGCGCCAACAATTTCAGAAATCGGGGGCATCAGGAAGATACGATGGCGCATGAGATGGTGCATGCGTGGGATCATTTGAAGTGGAAGGTGGATGAGGGGAATTTGAGACATCAGGCCTGTTTAGAGGTATGTTAGAATGAAATCCAGGGCCCTCTCCCCGGTCTAGTTGTGAGGGTGGATGGAAGGGTTGGTGGAAGATATGGATGCAGATGGCTAACTGTGCGCAGATCCGCGCATCGACATTAAGCGGAGAATGTCGTTTCACGCGCGAGTTCTTCACTCGAGACCAGTGGCGAATAACAGAGCAACTTCAACGTTGTGTCAGGCGGCGAGCAACGATATCCATGCTGGCAAGACCGGGGATCAAGGACGATGTGCATGCTGCCAAGGTCGTGAATGAGGTCTGGGAGAGCTGTTTCAATGATACAAGACCGTTCGATGAGATATATCGGTAAAATTGGTGGCCGTGCGCGAGATTTGCGTTCATGCAGCATGGTGCTAAGGTTGTCGATACCTGAAACGAGATGGAAAGCTTCGGATGGTTAGATGGGAAAAGGAAATGCATGCATAGCGATGGCGTCAGTAGAGTATATTGTTGATCCAATATTCGCTCCTCCTCCTTCACAACACGCAGAGCTAAGCGGATGGTATTCATTATCCGCACGACCTACCCAACCATCTTTATGCCGAAAGCGTAGAACAGTAACAACAAAAAGCCTGTAGCCGGCGAACTCCAAGTCAGCTTATTGCAACATCCAACCCACCCTTTCCAGCCAATAGAACGCCTTTTTGCTCCTGCTAGATCCCTTCTTTCACATCGAACATGCAGACAGGTACTAAACGCCGCGACATCAGGACCCTACTCAAGAAAAATGTCTGTTTCAGCTGTCCCTCTCAGAACTGCTGTGGGGTTCTCCGCCCGAAGCGCGGTTATATGCTCGTTCGCCTTTCTGGCAGTGCTTTACGATCCAGGGGTGTTTCTCTATGTCTTCTAGGGTGATACGCTTCTCGGGGTCTAGGACAAGTAACTAATCAACGTGAGTAAAATCGCTTGAGACTTGTAGGCGGAAGAACTCACCCTCTTGATCAGATCCTTAGCCTCAGCGCTCACAAATTTCGGCACCGTGTATTCTCCCCTTGTAATCTTCCTATACGTTATGACCTGCGTATCCTCGAACGGCGCCTCACCAACCAAGAACTCATACATCAACACGCCCAAACTCCACAAGTCGACTTTCTCAGAGTAGAAGTTCTTGCCGCCGCCACTTAGCATCTCTGGCGGGAGGTAGTCGAGTGTTCCACACATGGTGTTGCGCCTATTGTTTGGCGCGTGGACCGACCAGCCGAAATCTGAGATCTTGATTTCGCCGTGGATGCCGACGAGGATGTTCTCCGGCTTGATGTCTCTGTGCATCACGTGTTTCTTGTGCAAATACTTCAGCGCGGCAGCCATCTGGGCGATGTATTGCGCCGCCTTCCATTCCGGAAATCGCTGCTCCCGTCTCAAATGCTTGTACAGTTCCCCCTTCGCCGCGAACTCCAGGATCAGGAAGATGCGCTTCGCATCGTGGAAATAGCCGAACAGGCGCAGAACGTTGGGGTGGGCGAGATGAGACTGGATTTCGATTTCTCGACGCACTTGCTTTTCAACACCGCCTTGCTGGAGCTCGCTCTTGTGCAGGACCTTGAGGGCACAGACGAAACCTGTGGAGCGCTCTTTGGCGAGATAAACTCGTCCGAATTTACCCTTGCCGAGAGGCTTGCCGATTTCAAACATGCCTAGGTGCCATTGTTTGGGACCTGAAGGCTGGGCGTAGATGGCAGATTCGGTGAGTGTTCGTCGGTGAGAGGGATTCTCATCTGAAGAACAATGCTGAGCGGCCTGGGATGGAAGCGTGACCTTGGTAATGTTTGCACTGACGATCTTGCTAGAGTTGACAGTAGCAAGCTTCTGTAGCGGCAGTTTCATGCGGTTTGCGGCCGAGTTTGACGACGCAAGTCCGGAGATAGATACTGCAGTGGAAAGGGAGGTCTTGGGCAGCGTTAGATGGGCGTTGACTGAAAGAAGGGCAAGAGGGGGATCTCGTACTTTCGATTTATGATAGGTAGTAGTGGTGACAAGCTGGTCGTCGTTTTCGTCTGTGACGGTAATCCGCTCAAAGGCGGCTTCGAGGTTTGAGACATCCATGTTGGGATTGTAGAGGTGAAGATGCCGGAGAAAAAAGAGGGAAGCAAAGCAGAAGAGAAGCAAAGAACAATTAAATGCTGCAATTGACTACAGACTCTGCTCAGCACCTGATCCGGCTTGAATGGTTAAGGTTGGTGAGATGTTCAGCGGAGCGGGATGGGAGTTGGGGTCGCCCTGGCTATACACAAATGGCGTTGCCGGGGCAATTCACGAATCACAGCCACCCGAGGATGATCCGTACGCCCCCATGCCATCCATTGATCCCCGCCGCCATCGCAGCATATAACCCCAACTTTTTCGCAGGGTGCACGAACTGTTAGACCACGTACGCCTCCTCCCATTTACGCGTCAGCAAGGATCATCGCAATGATGCCGTCGCTCAACGGCGCCCTGCTAGATACACATGCACCTGGCCATAATGCAGGCACGTCCATTACCCGCGACGGCTTCAAGATTACGACGCGGAAGCTGCCGATACTGAAGGCTGGGCCAATTGAGGACATGAATAAGAAGCTAGGGATTGCGCCGCCAGAGATGATATTTGGCGACAACCTTGCGCGGGTAGAACACACGGCCACCGGTTGGCGCATCGAGTTCAATGCTTTTGATGCCTTAGACAGAGTAGATAAAACTGGAGACTCGATGCTCAAAGTGTCGTACTCCAAAGAGTGGCAGCAGAACCGGTAGGCCTTCTTTCTAGCCCCAATCTTGCTTCTATGCATGTGTGCCTACAGGGCCGCCTGCTGACACTCCCGCTAGCCAAAAGCAGTTTGAAGACATCAAAGAAGTCATCAAGCCCTTCGACTGGTCCTACAGTACCGACTACAAGGGTTCGACGCCAAACCACCCAGCTTTTCAGCCCACTGACACGCCGATACCACTCGCGTTGCTCAAACTTCCGGATCCGATCTTGTTCTTCGACGACGTCATGCTATATGAAGATGAGCTTGCGGACAACGGTATTGCGATGCTGTCGTGCAAGATTCGGGTCATGCCTGCGCGGCTGTTGCTCTTGTCAAGATTTTTCATGAGGCTGGACGATGTGGTGTTTCGGATACGAGATACCCGGGTGTTTGTCGAGTTTGCCACTGGTGAGGTGATACGAGAGTATACGGCTAGGGAAGAGAAGTATGAAGTCGTGAGGAAGGTTCTAGCGGGGACTAAAGAGGATGTTCTTGCCATAATGAGAGATCCAAATCGCTTGGCGGAATATATCCCCGTAGTGGACAAGAGCCTGGAAAATGTGGTTCTGAAATGATCATGGCATGATGAATCATCCACAGCTGGGTCAATCGTTCATTGTAGAACGATGGCAGCAGAAGAGGTTGCTCCTTCCGTCTGGCACAGGCGTTGATCTCTTCGACGCTATCTCACGTCGTGACAGGACCACGTCCCAAACATGAAAGTTCAATCAATCGCGGTGTAGATGTTCACTTCTGGACAAACCATATCGCACACCTGTACAGTGTGCCGTTAGGATAAACATAAAGGAGAAGCTGCAGATCGCTCTATTTGAGACCTTTTAGGAAGAATGCCAAAGGGACCGGCGAAGGATTGGGAGAGAATGGAATTTTATGATATTTCAAAGGGAAACCGATATGGAGTGCTTTGGAGTGCTTGAGAGTGGACGAGAATCAGAGGGCATCCCCAAAGAGGATCCAGCCCTTGAAAATCGTGGAGGCTGAGAAGGCCGTCGGCTGTTGATGCAGCGATGCAGGTGGGGAGGCCGGAGATCAATGAAAAATGCAAGAAATAGTACTCTATGTTCATTCTCACTACCCTCGTACTTGTTGGCCTAGAAGAATTTCGCATATGAAGGAAAGGCTTTGGAGAAGGTCCCATCCCAAAGACGGCTAGCGTAAGTTCCTTACGACGTCTTGATGCAAGACTTCGACTCCCCCCTTGTCCCCTACCCCTTTCAGCTTGTGTAGCATTTTGATCCTTCTGCCTTCTCTCTACTCGTAAACTTCTATAACTCAACTACTCGTTTTCTCGGAATTAGCGATCCCAGCCCAACCCACAGCCTCAGCAATAGGCCACATAAACGCGACCCTGGCCCGTGACTCACATTTATCTTGCCGTTGTAAGACACGGCCCTGTCAAAGAAAAGGGAGAATTGACTGGGATATGGGATTCAAGGGATTCGGCTACCAGAGAACATTAACGGTCAGGGTGGCGATATCCTCGGGCGTAGATCCTCATAGGCTGAGCCTTAATGATTTATCCCTTGGCCTTGGATCAACAGGCTTCAGTGGACCGTTGTGATCATGTAGATGCCTCATTCTCTTTGCTTGCAAGTCGTCCACCTCAGATATTTGAATCCTATCTTCACCGAACACGATGTCAAGAACAGCAGAGAACCATTACTCTCTTCAGCCGTTCAAGACTCCATACCTGTCAGACAACAGGCGATAAAGCCTACGAATTCACAATGGTTGCCTCGGAATGTCTAGGATTTCTTCCAACAGCCCTGCTCGCTTTGAGTGTGGATCCAATGTGACGAAGCCCTAAGCGCCTGCCTTTCTCTCATGGCTGCCTGTGCCACAGGAGTGCATTGCCACGTCGCCGCCTTCAGAATCCTCAATCCACGCCTCAGCAAGTATTACGAAGCGCTAAGCACACACATCAAGTGGGTGAACGGTGGAGCGGTCCGCCGGGAAGGCTGATACCCGCCAACCATTCTTTCTGGGGGTTAAGTAGGGTTGGGCATGGATCAACATGGCTTCCATGAGTGACGGGGCTGTGTTGAGTCTCGCCTTTTATTTGCTTCTCTCACGTCTTGTTTTGCCGTGACAATGCAGGGAGTAGACAGGGTGTCAGCCGCAATGAAGGTTTGAATCGACAAGGTGTGTCAGGTGGATGGAGTGTCTCATACCTACATTCTATCCTATTAGTACCTTTATCGTCGCGTATTGACGAAGGAACATGCCTTCAGTTTATACCGCACAATCGTTTGGCGCATATTACAAACTGGAACCATTTTCATGTTCAGTTGTTCGCGGCAGCATATTGTATCCCAACGATGGATCCTATCAGCATTGCGGCGTCAGCAGTATCGTTTACCACATTTGCCTTTCAAGTTGCGAAGTGTATTTACTCGGTCCAACGGTGCTTCAAGGAGATTAAATATGCGCCAAAATTGATTAAGAAAATATATCACGAACTCAAACTGTTTGAAAGCATTGCTCGCCAGCTTTCCACGCTCGACGCATCTCGAATCAGCGATGAGGCCGCGCAAGGGTTTACCCATGCCATCAGGCAATGTATCCATATCATGCATAGCCTCTATGAAGTACTAGGAAAGTACGACTTTGAGATGAACGAATGTGGACCAAAGAAGTTGTGGAAGCAAATCGTGGCGGCGGACAAGAAACAGGAATTTGAGGAGTACTTGAGAACGCTTGAGAGGACGAAATCTTCCCTTAACGTTTCTATGGCAGGTATACAATTGCAATTGACAGAGTATGTCCTCAACTGCTTTATCCGTTATTTCGCCTCCTCGGGATTATCAATATAATTCAAGGCTAAGAACACCTTTAGGGTACACTCGAAGCACATTGAAAGGTCTCTGGACCGTATCCAAACCAGTATCTCCTCCTTAAGCTCAATATCGAACTTGACGTACACCAATACCATTTATATCAAACAAGGAATGGAAGATGTCACACAAATAATCAAGAGTGTTGATCAGTCGATTCAAGACCTGCGGTCGGACATGGGTTCGCTGGTAGAAGAAAGCATGCAAAGAGTTTGGGAAACAAAATTCAAGGATTGGATGGAGGGCATCAAATTGCTGAAGGCAGAGGAAGGAGGCGTCATAAACTCTGGGAGAACGGACTCTCTTTTGCAATATACCCAGCTCGACAAGAAAATGCCTCTTAGACCCACTCAATATAGGCAGATCTGCTCGAACAGCAGTAAGTTTGGACTCGCGACAGCCGAGAGCCGATACTCTCCTTTAGAAAAAACGTTCCAGTATTTACCTCAGGGTGTGATTGAGAGGCAGGCAAAAAGCGGCACATGCGTCCGAAGGAAGTTGTATTGTCGAAATTTCACCCTCCCTATCGGATTCATCCAGACGAGAACGATCCAAAAAACATTTCGATACTCAGGTTCGAGTACTAAGGAGGAAAGGGAGATAATCCGTGTGGAAATCTCAGTGGTTCCTTTCCAGTGGCTGTCTAGCCGCGGCCACATATATTCCATCGAGAAGGTCTACGACCAATACAACAGACCTTCCTGGACATACACCCCGCGAATATACAACATTCTTCCTAAGAATGCAACGGTCTTTTCCGCATGCCATAATCGAGATGTCGACATGGTAAGGAGGCTTTTCCAGTATCAAGAAGCCTCTCCATTCGATGTTGATTCCGACGGTAGAAGTCTGATGGCTTTTGCATTAGACGATGCTCTAGACCATGATAGCAGGCCTATAATCAACAGCCTCGAAGTGGTCAAGTTCTTGATAGGACAAGGCGCAGATACCACGCCATTTATATCGGAGTTTCTAGTTGGCTATAAAGAGTTCTCGCACGAATACTTCTCGACTGACAGTTCGGACGAGTTCACATATGAATCGGACGTTACTAAAATCCTACACGAGATCTGGAGACTCTCATTGGAGCATTGCCAGACAGATCCGTTTGCAGACTTCAAGGTGCTTGAAAAACTATGGGATGCATCGCTTGGTGGCACATACATTCCTCCTCTGGACCCAGCTTACTTGTTCCAAGAGAAATATACAGGCTTCGACGACCTTGTGTATGAGAGGCCGGAGCTGGTATTCGCCGATCTCATGTGTGGCAAGAACTGTTGGGGAAGCGGCTCGGACGAAACATGGCGGCGACTCATCGATCAATCGTACGAGACGTTGGTATATGTCTGTAACGGCGGTGAACACAGTATCAAATCCCAGATCTTTGCAAAGTCCTACACGCCAGGAGAAGTCAAGAAGGAGAACAGCTGTTTCTGTCCCACAACCCCAAGCCATCTTCTCTTGAGGCTCCTAGGCGGGACTCGATTCCCTATCCATCAGAAGTCTCGGCGGAAACCTTTGCGTCGGCACATCCACCGTGTCCTAGTACTCCTTCTGCAGAATGGCGAAGACCCAGAAGCAACGTGCTCCTGTAAAGGCTATTGGGAACGTGGTTGGCAATCACCAAGAGAAGATCGTTCTGCGACAGCGCTTGCGGCGAATGCTGGTGTCCTTGATGTCTGGTTGAGTGCATTAGAGGACACTGGCTTCGATGCCACAAGGATATTCGATGAGTGGCGTCTCGAAGGGTTTACGAAGGTTTTCGAGATCCAGGAAGAGAGCGTGGGCATTTTGTCCAAAGGCGTGTGGTGGGTTGGAAATACCCTTTTGGATACGATGAGAAGCGTCGTATAGATATTTCCTTCGTCTTTTTCTACTCCCTTTTAATTCTAGTCCTCTTTTAGGGGTTTAAAGATTTTTTTCTTTTTCTTCCCAGACTTTTCAGACAGGCCCCCACAATTCAGCTTCAGAGATGTTGTCCTCGGCTCTGCACCTGATGCGACCCTAGCCCCGGCTTGGTCCATAGACTAACGAAACCTTGGAACTTCCGGTTGATCATTCGTTCCTCGTGCCTTCCTGCGTCACGCAGAACCCCACTTGCACTCGTCGCACCCTGCGTATGACCAAGACCACCACATCTCAACGAAGCCTTTCCGTCCCAACCGCCGCACACCCCAACACATACAATCGATGTAAGCTCCCTCCTCCTCCTAGTCCCTCACTTCTAACTTGGGAAACCTCTCCAGTGTAGCACCTATCGCACTATACTCACTTCTACACCAATTCTACTAGCCATGGCGAAAGACGACAAAGTCCCCCGCTCTGCTGCCTACAGCAAGGCGCGTGAAGAGAGCGAAGCACTCGCAAAGAAGCTGGCAGCCGAGGGAAAGAAGACTTTTACGGATGATGAGCAGCTCGATGTATGTTCTCCTCTTTCCATCCCGAATCTATCACTGGCTTCCTAGTCAACGCATGGTTGAAGGTATGCATCGAGAAGTGAAGGAAGCAGATCGCAGATGCACTACACAACACATAAGCTGGTTGGAAAATACACTCTGATGTAGACACACAGTTGTACGGCTACGGCAAAGTCGCAGACAAGGCTGATTTCGCCACCGCTCCGAAGCCGGGAATGTTTGATATCAAGGTTTGTCGACCCCTCCGTTCTTGGTTCATCCCATCTTTCTCTCGAATCCTCTTGCAACCTTAGGGATTAGTACTGACGAGATTTTTTGATGATAGAGGAAGGCCATGCACCGCCGATGGAAGGACGTCGCTGCTACAGGAATCAGCCCTCAAGATGCTGAAAAGAAGTATCTTCAGATGGCCGAGGACTTGAAGAATAAATATTCTCCTGTGGATTAGGTCAGCGGATAGTTCTGTCCGATGTGAGGTCAATCGTGTTTTGAATGTACTGTTGTTGGATTGTACCCTTGTTGTATAATAAGGGTTTGGCGAGCAGAACTGTAGATGAACCAGTTCACAAAAGGCAAGAGTGGCACCGCCTATCGCGTTTTGAAATATAGAACTTATTCTTCTTAGATGGATGATTTGGGTATGCTAGTGTTCTATGGTGATCTGTCGTCTCCGTCCTCGAACCTCGAATTAGTGTTCATTTCTTGTGAGGGCCCAGCTGGTGTGACCCATGTCACGCTGAATACAACCCATAGCGCCCATGCACTGCCCTTCAGAGTCGTCCTCGAGGCATACATCTCATTCATGCGGTTAGTAGCCCTTCCATATAGCTCCCTTCCAATCCGGCTCCTCATTATTCAAGCTCGCACACCAAGGCACCTCATCCTTTTCATACTGTTCAAGCGGAAGATCATAAGGCATCCTAAGCCCAATAAACGTCTTCCTAAGTTCTCGACCCCTCCCCTCCTCAACCTCTTCCCCAATCTCACCACCATTCAACTCCCCCTCCCCGGGCAGATCCCTCCTAAAAACCGGCACCATCTCCACAACCTCCTCGTCGCTCACCTTGAACAAATCCGGCCACACCACAACCCCACACTCCCAACTCTGAATCCACACTTCCCCATTCTTATTTTCCATCTCACCCCATGCCTGTTTACTTAAATTCGCACTCGTCACCAGGGCCCAATCAATCCTTCTCTGCTCAGAATCACTGAAACGGATGTAAGTCTTGATATGCGGAGCGGCAGAACCTCTTTCAGCACTTCGTTTCTCCTGCTCTGGGGACCTGCCGGTCGTTTCCCAGTGGCATAGGAGAGGGTGGAGGTACTGGAGTTGTTTTTGTTGAGCCGCAGATTGGAGCTTTGTGTGAATGGAGAAGCCGGAGCCATAGCCATCGAGTGAGGTACGGATTTCGGAAGCAGTGGGGAATATAATGCTGAACTTGGGGTCTAGGGATTTGGATTTGAGGAAAGGTTTGGGGTTGCGCTTAGTGAAGAAGTTCGACGGTTTCGGTTTTGAGGGTGAGGCGGTGTTTGGGCTTGTGGAGTTGTCTGGTAACAATGACGCTGTGCGACTAAGGATCGATTGGAAATTTTGAAGCCAGGTGGGTGTTTGGCCGAGTGTTGCAATTGAGGAAACTTGAATGATGACGTGTGGAGGGGACTTCCTATCTTCTAAGGGAGGGACGGGGATACTAGATAAAAGTTCTCCTAGCCCAGTCCAGCCCCACGCCGTCTGGATATCTGGTCTTGCAGCACTAGGCTTCTGGCGAGAGGGTGTGCTGCCGATGAAAGCGGCGTGGATGAATGAAAAATCATATTTCAAAATCTCGTTTAGCAAATCTCCTAATCGCTTCCCATATGCACGAAGGTATCTCAGGATATCGATTCTAAAGCGTGCCCCACTCCCAATTGGGTGGGCCTCTTTCTCGTCCTGTCTTCCTGGATAATCGCCAGTTTCTGAGGGCTGGAGTGGTAGAAGTGGGGAACTCCATACAGCTTGGGTCATGTTGCACCAGTCCCGAGAGATCATGTTCGCGGTGTGGATGATGATCTGAGCCAGGTCGTCGTGGCGGAAGAGAATTAGCATTTTGGAATGGTGGGTACCGAATGGATCAGGCATATAGGCACTGATAAGCTCAATGTTGGGGTAACGCTCCGCGGTTTCCTGGTAAATGTTAGACCAGTACGAAATTTACGTACACATGGAGAACCTGAAAATGTGGTAGAGGTCAACTTTCGCTCTAGGAACTACTCGAGAGGAATGCTGTATCAATGGTAGATGCAACAGGGGTGAAGCGGGCCTTATAATTAAAAAATCTCACCTGGAGACCCAGCCTTCGTTCGTCCTCTCGCCTCCAAAACCCATGTACAATCTTAACCTTCACGATCTCCCGGACATCAGGATCAAAGTGCTTCCTACAAAAATCCATTAGCATTCTTTTGAAAATCCCAAAGCAACACACACCGCTGCTATAGCGTGTAACAGGACAACTGACATCACAAAATCCAGATCAAACAAGAAATTGAAGTTCCAGCATTCCTTGATCATGGGATCACCCAAGATGTCGTTAAGGTCAACAGTATCTACATTCTGGGTGGGAGCAAGGTCTTTAATACGAGTGAGCTGAATCGGGGAGGGGAGAAAATTCCGGGATTGAGGAGTTGGTTGTAACGACTGCAATTTCGCTGCTCTTGCTGTTGGGATGCCAGTATTCTCTGCACGTGACTTCAGTAATGTTGGAGTTGCAGACCGTTTACGCCTGGAAAGTGGAGGGCTGATGGGTCGGGTCAATGATTTAGACACCGTTTTCTCAAGCTCGACCGGTTGCGAGGTTGTTATGGTAGTGCTGGTACCCGCGTGAGAGCGCGGTGTAAGGTCGAGCTTCAGCCGTTTGCTGGCAGGACTTTGGTCAAGCTCTTGGGCTGCCATGACGACAATTCATATGTAGTCTTGCAAATGTAGGAAGGCTGCTAGATAGGCATCATCGATTCTGGCTGACTGTTTCCATGATGACCGAGGTTGTTGCTTCCTGGTGAAGGCTGAGGAGGTTGGAAAGAAAGTTACACTAAGCGAGGGCCCGAGCAGGCAACAAAGGAACACTCTTACAGAATATGAAGTACCAGGCATTTTCATTACCACTGGTCTACGGAGATGAGAGTGCATGTATGGCCTTCGAACACATTTCTAGTGTGATCTAGGACGGGGGCCCATTGAATTCATGTAGATCAAGCCTAAATTCAATTTACGGGATGATTCATTCATGATGCGCACGAACCACCTTTGAGCATTCAACATTGGATATCATTCATCATTTTATGCGCTGAGGCATGTCTGTACGTGATTATTTTGAGGCCTGAGCCTTTGTAGCACCTTCATACTCGGTATAAGTCGTACTGTAGGGATCCAGTGTGCCCTCAGAATGAATGCGTGAAGGAACACTATGGCTCCACCCAGGTGATAGTAAGCTCAACTCCGAAAATCGCCCCGTAACAGACTCATTTAAAGAAATACAAGGACGTCGTTTATGCCGCGCTAGCGCTGACAATGGGTTGCTCTACCCTGGTGATCTGGTTTCCTGCCCGAATGATGCGGTTACCCGCATCGTCCTTGACATAATGTACGTCCTTGTTCTCCCGCTGAGCGCGCTTCCAGATCTCAACTTCACAGCCACCTCGGATTACACCTACCCTCATGGTTGAAAGAAGGTTGTGAGCAGCGTTTGAATGCATGTATACACCACCATTGAACATGGCAGTAGCATCTTTGCCAAGGCCGCTCTTGATCATAGCTTTGCCGCCAGGGTGCTCGTTGATGAAATCGGTAACATCGTGGACAACACCAGCGACTGCGATTAGGCCACGGCCGTTGTTGGCTTGCTCGACGTAGTCCTCCCACTCGATAACGGGAAGCTGGTCAAGAGGAATACCCCAATCAAGCTTAGCGCGCTTCTGGTCAAGCTTCTTCTGTAGCTGCTGAACGCGGCCCTTCTCGATCTCGTTTGAGCGGAATTGCTTGAGGTTGTAGGCAAGTCCAAGCTTGCTCCAGATCCAAATGCACCACTTAGTGGGGTCGTACTGGTGCCATTGAATAGCATTTCTGTAGTCAGAGGGGAACTCGTGGTGGAAGTTGTGGTATCCTTCGCCGAGCGTGACAATAGCAGTGATGACGTGGTCACGGGGGCTATTACGGTCATCGAAAGGCTGCTCGCCGATCCAATGGGCAAGAGAGTTGACGCAAAATGTGGCCTGCTGGACAAAGAAGATACGGAGAATGCCAGCGTAGATAAAGCCACCCATCCAGTCTCCCCATCCGAGTCCGGCAACTACCGTGGGGAAGATCAGGCCCATGAAGAACACGACCTTCAAGTAGTTCTTGTGCTGCCAGACAACGATAGAGTCTTCGTTCAAGTCGGAGATGTCGGTGCGGCCAATTCGCTTGGGGTTCTGCTTCATAACCATCCAGCCGATGTGGCTATACAAAAGGCCCTTTCGCACACTGTATGGGTCCTTGTTGGTGTCGGTGTAGCGGTGGTGAGCACGGTGGTCCCTGCACCGTAGTCAGTAATGGGATACAAGACAGGGTGTGTATTTGGAGCAGGCTCACCTTGACCACCATCGAATGCTGCCCTCGACCGCTCCTCCGCCGACAAGAGCGAGAAACAGCCTCAACGGGAGACGTGCAGAGTATGACTTGTGGGCCCAGAGCCTGTGGTAGCCCGCAGTAATACCTAAGCCAGTCCAGAAATAGAAAATAACAGCCCAGATGGCGGTAGGAAGACGCAGAGGAGTCCAGAACGCATAAACGCAACCCATCAACGGGATTCCAAGGATAAGGAAGCAATTGAGCCAGTTGACATGCTTGTACCAGTTCGATCGTGTGATGGGAGTATCTGTGATGTGTGGCTTCTTCGAGTCGTACTTGGGGTTGCGGTTTGGCTCAGCGGTTTGGGCCATGGCCGAGGGCTGCGAAGTGTACTGGGGGTCAACGGCAGACATGCCGGCCACGGGTTGGTGGGAAGGCATCTTCCTTTTGGCGGTATAGGGCTCAAGGAATAGCGAAGGGGGGGAGAAGGTGGCGAGGGAGAGACCGGAAGCTCGAAGGTGAAGTTTCTGGTCGGTCTCAGTTACGCACGCAACTCCGGCCGCAAACGAGCTTCACCACGCACAGTACGGACAGTGGAATTGTTTGTGTGGAGGATGGGAGGGCGGTGGATTAAAAGAAGAGGATGAGGGGAAAAGAAAGTATGGGGGAGCGAGATATTATTATTAAAGGCGGTGGAATGAAGCAGGGTAGAAGCGACCGGGGGTCAAATTGTGGGAAGTGTTGAGCGCCCAACAAGCTGTCCCTCAGGATAAGCGAATAAATCGGGACCTTGCATGACCCAATCTAGGCTCCCAAACGTGTATTTTTCGTTCGTATTCAAGCTGGCCGCTCTGCCATTCGCTGTATCAGTGCCTCGCGTGAGCTAGTGCGCGGCGCGGGCGTCTTGACGCAGCAAAAGAGTTTTGGAGCATCAACAACGCTTCACGCTGGGCTACAGCACCGATCGCACTGAGAATGTCAACAGATTGCGGTGTTGTGTCAATTCGCCGAGGGCGTATTCATAGCGAGCACTGCTGCCCTTGTGCCCCTCTGCAAGGTCCCCGAAGCCCAGCATCTTTCTTCAGAACTGCGGTTTCATCGCCATCAGCCCTGCCGATGTGAAAGGGCGGTCACCAAAGTTGCCGATTATCGGCGACACTTCACGGCAGAAACGCAGGCGCCTCGTTGGCAAACCGTTGGATTTCCAGAATCTCACGCGTTGGTGATGCTATCATCATGCCTCTCTAGCACCGCCCTTGAAGCCACTACCCCTCTGACGTCTGCAGAGCGATACCAACAAACCGCGCACCACTGCCATCCACGACGGTTATCTGAAGGGGCCTTCACATGGGGTCTTCGCCCACAGTCTGTTCTTGATATCCTGTCAGCCGAGGCATCTCTTTCCCAACAACAGTCTGTTGCCTTGGCTCGCAGCTTGACCGTATGCCGTCAACCAAGGACAAAGATCTTGCCCAGATTTGCATCACCCCTGCAGTTCAGAATGGAGCATCTTGCGAAGTCTCCGACTGTCCTTACTCGTGAAGCTTAGTAGCATTCCGATGGTTCCCGGGCACTAAGTCTTAGTCTTTCGGCCACATTAACGGTTTTGCCGTCTATGAAGTTTCGTGACAGTATCCCATTCTGGTCGATGCAGGACGATCTTCTCGGTTTGCGTCGTGAGTCGGCTTCACGGAACTTGGCCCGGATCCCGGCCAAACTTGCCGCTGTCGCAAGCTCTTCTCGATTGGGGACAGCGTAGACTCTCAACACCAGCCCTACGGCTCAAGATCGAGTCTGCCTACGTACTTGATAAATCACAGACACCCAAAGAACTTGAGAGTTGTCAATAGTACCAAATTCTGCCGCTCCTCGGGCATCTCCTTCGCCCCTCTTGATTGTGCCTCGGCTTCAGGTGAAGATGTTCTTACCGCTCGATATCCTCTCGCAATCCAACCTTGCTCTGGAGATGCATGCGAAGCACTAATTAGTCTAGAAATCAGAACGCTCACACACATGATTTCGAACATCTACGGAGCTCCACAACCCTTTTATCCTATTTTCTCCCTCGCAATCCATCGCTAGGTTTGCACCGTAGCGTTTCGCAACACTTCACTCTGCCAATAGATTCAACGAATCAGATCTTCCTGCCAACGCTCCATGGTAGTTGCCAGAAATATGTTCCCACGCAGGCGGGCGTGCGAAGAAGTTGACATAGAGGATGTGTTCCGCAAAAGATGTTCTCGCCAAAAGCATCCGGTGGCTTTCAATTTCTGCGAATCCGCGTGGTCAGCAATTGCTTGAAGCAACGAGATATATCATAACCCAAAACTCGGCAGATGAAAAAGGCGCGTCAAGAGAAGAAAGGCCTGGAATACCATCTCGCAGTCCACCGCGCACTGGAAGAACATCGGCATCCGGCGACCAGGACAAGCGATGAGCCTCACTAAGCCTTGATTCCCTTCGGTTTCCAGAAACTCCGCTTCGAGTGCGGGATGGCCCTGCAATGGGCTCATGATGGTTCATCGGAGGCGGCCGGATCACGTGATGTGCTTATTGTCTGAGCCAATCACATGGTCCACTCCGTGCTTATCAGCAACCTCTCATGTTAAGCTTTTAGCAAAGTTGAGTGGGCGCCGCGCAGAGTCCTCAAAGGGTTCAGAGTTTCCCACATCAAATATCCGGCGCCATGAAGACAGATGATACTCGCGGCGGATAACGATGCAGATTACCATGCTGTCGGCGGCCTCCAGGGAAGTGGCTGCCCATGGCCTCTCCCACACTCCCCTAGGCCCTGGGCTAGGTTGATGCTGGTGAGAAATTGTGTATCGTGGGAACTGGCAAAGATAATGTTCGTATTGGTTATACCTATAAAGCTCGATGGAGTCTCAGTCGTTCTTTTTTTTATCATTCTCATCAAGTCCAATCCACTTCCTCTTTTGGTGATCTGCAATCTGCTTGCGTCAGATCGCCAGTCTCAAGACCGCTTCTGAAAGCATTATCTACTAGCGCACGCTACCAATCTCAAATACTGCTTGCGTCTATAAATCTGTATCCCTTCAGCCATCAATTCAACCCTCGACTTCATCCATCGCGAAACTTATCGAGATCGGTGCAAATCGCGCTATCAATTGTCAACAGTTGGACACAGCTTTTCAGGATATCCAAAAACGGATGAAGAGTTGAAGTATTTTAAAGGTTTCACCAAACCCTCAAAAGTGACCTTCAAGGGGTACAATTGCGATGTCTGAATATCCGGATCGCATCGGCCCGGACCACACACCGAAGCGCAACGTTGGAGAGAAAGCTCGACGCTTCTTCAAGGCGTTTACTAGCAAGTAAGAACCCTCTACTTCCATAGAGTCAGCAAGTAGGGGTGCAGCTTTGTGACGATTTGAGACTGATGACATCAGGGAGGGGCTCATTGGAACCTACAACTATGGATTCCTATTCAAGCCAAACCTCCCCTTCTTGAAGAAGGATCGCCGTGCAGCTCCTTTCTTTGGACTCAATGATCGCATGCCTATTCTCCTGGCCACGCTCCTCGGGTTTCAACATGCGCTCTCTATGTTGGCTGGTGTTATCACCCCGCCCATTATCCTAGCCGGTGCTGCCAACCTTACCCCCGATTTACAACGATATCTAGTTTCAACCTCATTAATCGTGTGTGGCATCCTCTCCTCGATCCAGATCACCCGCTTCCACATCTGGCGAACTCCTTATTACATTGGTACTGGGCTCATTTCAGTCGTCGGGACCTCGTTTGCTACTATTCCCGTCGCCACCGGAGCTCTCGCCCAGATGTATTCAACAGGATTCTGCCCCTCAGATGCTGACGGTAACCCCCTCCCCTGTCCTGACGGTTATGGCGCCATCATCGGCACTGCTTGCGTGTGCGCTCTTCTTGAAATTCTCATGGCGTTCACTTCTCCGCGACTCCTGAAGAAGTTCTTCCCGCCGCTCGTCACAGGTCCAACTGTCACACTCATCGGTGTTAATTTGATCCGCTCTGGATTCCAGAATTGGGCCGGTGGCAGCGGAACGTGTAACACACGGCCTACAGAAGGCCTCTTTAGACTTTGCCCTACCATCAATGCCCCGCACGCACTACCTTGGGGGAGCGCTGAGTTCATTGGTCTCGGATTCTCTGTTTTCGTCACCATCATCATCTGTGAGCGGTTTGGAGCTCCTATTATGAAGTCTACAGCTGTCGTAATTGGCCTCCTCGTTGGCTGCATTATTGCTGCTGCAACAGGCTACTTCGACCGCTCAGGAATCGATGCGTCCCCGGCTGCGTCCTTCATCTGGGTCCACACTTTCAAGCTTAGCGTCTATGGGCCCATAGTGTTACCGCTACTAGCTGTATACATGGTCTTAGCCATGGAAGCAATTGGTGATATTACCGCAACTTGCGACGTCTCCCGCCTTGAGGTTGATGGCCCTATGTTCGACTCCCGAATTCAGGGCGGTGTCCTAGCCGATGGTCTAAATGGTATCATAGCTGGTCTTTGCACTATCACACCAATGAGCACATTTGCCCAGAACAACGGGGTCATCGCCTTGACTCGATGTGCGAACAGAAAAGCAGGTTATGCTTGCTGCTTCTGGCTCATTATCATGGGCATTTTCGCCAAATTTGCCGCCGCCCTGGTTGCAATCCCTAGCGCCGTTCTCGGAGGCATGACGACATTCCTCTTCGCAGCCGTCACGGTTTCCGGTATCAGGATTATGTCTACTGCTCCATTCACCCGCCGGAACAGATTCATTTTGACGTGCGGTTTCGCTCTTGGCTTTGGAGCTACTCTTGTTCCGTCGTAAGGCAGTCCCTCTTCTAATACATACAATTTTAGGGGAAGCTGATCTAGTTGCAGATGGTTTGCCTACGTCTTTACCTACGGGGGTGACAACCGCGCTCTAATTGGGTTCTTTAACGCCATCGAGCTTATCATGGAGACCGGTTTCGCAGTGACCGCTTTCTTAAACTTGATCCTCAATCTTATTCTTCCCGAGGAAATCGAGGATGAAGAGACCCCCGAGCTTACCGGCAATGACGCTGATGATGTCGCCAATAAAGAGGAGTGGGATCGTATTCGCGGGAACAAGATGGCAGATGAGGAGGCGGCCCCGAGAGCCAGCAGTGAGATCACAGCTGCAAAGCCGCAGTCGCCGGCGCAATAGCGGAGCCTATTGTTGGCTATCAAGTCAAATGTGAGCACAGGATCCTATAATTTGATGGGTGATGTGTTGTGACAACTTGTATGTAGGTATGAAAAGCCGGCGACTAGGTTGCGGACTGCATAGGTTATCTTGTTAGGTTTTTGACTGTGCTCAATATACCCTCACTTTTATTTTAAGTCGTGTTATTATGCTTCTGTCTTGATGCCCCCTTCTCTGCATCCCCACATGTCTCTCATGCTTATCGTTAACCATTATGCTCAGTACGTCCGGACCTTCCGCTCATCCATTCGCTGTTCATTTCCATATTGTAACCGTGCATATTTGCTAGTCGACCAGGTCTGCCACAAATCCTTCACTACTTCATGTTCAGTGTGGAAATAGTATGGCTCTACGCTGCTGGTCCATCGCCTCTCTTCTTCATAGTCTCTGTACCATGCCGCCCATCTATGCACACCCCTCTTCTTATCATGATCGCCTAAATGCTAATTCTCCCTCCCATCCTATGCTCCTTTGTTTGTATCCCGGTAAGGAACTTGAGACTCTAAGCCCATTTCGTTCGCCTTGCCCGAGCAGCTCTGACTCTGACAAAGAGTTGGGCCAAACCCACGCTTTTTGTCCACAGGTTCAATAGAATGGAAGAGAGTACAGTAGCTTAAAGTCTCAGGAACCAGAGTACCAATTTGTGAATATAGAAAAGCAAACAGCCGCCCACGTAGGACAGACCTCTCGGCTATTTGCCGTTCCCAGTTGCACATTTAAACATTAAGAACCCCGAACCACCGCCCAACTACCCATGTAAAATATTCCCGTTGACCTGTTCGCACCGTCATAAGAAGAAAGAAAAACTCTCTAGAGAGGAAAATGCAAAAAGGAACGCAAGAGAACGCCCAAGGTGTTAATTTGAATCTACCTCTATCCCTACGTTCTCTACTACTGCCTCCGCCGTCACACAATCCTACCCTTCTTTCTGCCCCAACCCCACCGCTTACTACTTCTCCACATCTCCAACATACTCCCCTGTTCTTCACTTCCTTCCTCTACGCAGCTATTAGCCTAATATCCCTTCAAACAGGAGGGAAGCGGTAAGAATAAAGGGAAAACCCAGGGCAGTGAGGAAGAGGGAAGAGATGAAAATAAGATAGAGACATACCATACAGCTCCTTGCTATACCCTATATCCTGCAGCTCACGCCTACTCTTCCTCTCCCGCACTAAATCCCGACGGGCCTCTTCTTCACCACACCCGAGTTTTTGCAGGACATATTAGCAAGCATGGGGAAGGGGGTTCTTACCTTTGGAGAGAAAACAGTCGGTGTGAGGCGGAAATGGGTACCGGTAAATGTGTTGTTAGCTATTCAAGAGATATGGAGGTAAGGGGGAATTTAGCTTGAGTGATAGTGAGTGGAGTTGTCTGACTCTGTTCGGTCACTGTCCCCTGGCAAATGTGGAGACATTAGGACTATCATTATTGTACCCTAGATTCATAACAGACATCACAATCTTATCAACCCATCCAAATACGCCAGCAACAAGTGCAGCGGTCCAACGTCTTCCTGCTAATGCACTACGGTAGGTGTGAAGGCGTTGCCGGAAAACCGATACATCGGAATTTTATGTTCATAGAATTGCATGCCTGACCTTGAAACCGTCTCAAGGCCGCAATGGTAAACTATAGGGGATGGTCATAACAAGATATTACCTCGCCAGCTGTGCAGCATAACCATTCTCTCGTTGTAGTCCCTCTCAGATCGAAATTTTAGGAAAACGATAGGTGCGAGATATCGGAGTTGTCCTAGGGTTCGCGGAGTATGGAGATAGGGGAGAAATTGTGTACGGGCTCGATTGTAGCGGATTGCGAAATATGTCGCTTCACAAAGCAAACCGAGTGAAAAAAGGGCAAAAAAAATCTAGGAGGCAAAGAGCACAGAATGAAATTTGCGAAAGAGACCATGAGCATTTGTCGGGACGAATTGAAAATGATGGGGGCAAACAGCAGGAAGGCAGCAAGTTGAACGAAGAAGAGAACGACATGTCGACTACATTTGACAAGCCAATGCGATACGCAGAAAGATAGATAGGGATTGAAGCACTGACTAAAACTTCAGACAGAGAGAGTCCACGTCATATTCACACTAAACATAGACCATCAACAGTTCACATACAACAATCAAATCTATTGCCAGAATCAGCTAGATTACTAGAGGTTGCACGGGTCTATGCTAAAAAGTGCAGTGGCAACTTGACGTAAGGTAGTAGCATTAACAACACATGCATAAGTAGAAACTGGGGCCTCCGTAAAGTACATGCCGCAACGCACCAACATGTTTTCGAGGCCATGAGAAGAGACACAGGCGGTCGGCGGATGCACACATATTCCAAGAACGCCGGCCTTCACTACCGTTGACCATATCAATTTCCCAGAATGAAAAGCCAAGTCAAAGGGATGTGGCGGAGGGGACTACTAAGAGTCTCCGTAAGCCTTGTTGGCTTCCTTCTGGTACTTTTTCAATATGCCCTTGCGGTTGATCTTCTGGGCTGCCGTTGTGAGACCCTGCCGTGCGTTAGATCTAGATGACTGGTGATAAGAGAAAGGATTGTTTAGTCTTACATTCTGAGGTGTCCATTCCTCATCAGCCAGGACAACACCCTCAATGATCTCGAAAGAGGCTAGTCCGCCCTTCTGTCCTGCAGTTTGCAATTGCTTCAACACTATTCTATTTAACTTGTCATTGTGTACTAGCTCTTCTAGATGATCGCCCTCAATGCTGTTCTCTTCGGCGATCTTCTTTAGCGCGGGCTCGGCAGGAACAATGATGGCAATGGGCTTCATCTTGTCCAAGGCGGCGTGAACGCAGATATTAGCGACGACAGGGGCAGAGCGGTACACCGATTCGAGTTTCTCGAGGGCAATATATTCGCCGGCGAGCGTCTTGACCAAGTTCTTCTTTCGGTCGATGATGCGGATCTGGCCCTTAGCATCGAATTCCCCAATATCTCCTGTCTTGAACCAGCCGTCGCTAGTAAAGGCTTCCTTCGTCTCCTCATCAAGGTCCAGGTATCCGGACGAGACGCCCCCTCCGCGAATCCAGATCTCGCCCTGCGCAGGCTTGTTGGTCGCAAAGTATCCTGCATCGGCGAAGTCAACAAGTTTCATCTCGATGCAGGCTGGCGGTTCGCCAAGGGCAGTGTCAGTCCATGCCAAGGGATCCATAAGAGCCCCCATAGCAGTAGTCTCGGTGAGACCATAACCACTGATCATGGGGGTAATGGCCAAGGAAATGAAGCGCTGGGTCTCCTTCGCGATCGGGCCGCCGCCGTTCATGCAAATTCGCAGCTTGCCTCCTGTAGCATCTTTCACCTTGTTAAAAACGATTGCGTCAAGAATTCCACTTCCAGGAAGGCCAGAGTTGAGCAGGAAGCCCTTGGCGGCCATGGCTCCCCAGAAGAGATTCTTCGTGATGGCACCCCCTGCCTCTACTTTGGAAACAATGCCTTTCTTCACAGTCTCCCATACCTGAGGGACGCCGACTAGAATCGTGGGCTTGAGTTCGCGAATGTCACCCTTGCACTTCCGTACCGAGTTGTCTGAGAGCGTTCGAATTGTTCCGTAGCCCATAGTACCACCCCAGTAGAGGCAGGCGTTTTCGAAAACGAACTCGAGGATATGAGCCGAGGGAAGGTATGTAAGGAGGGAGTCGCCAGGCCCGAGGTAGGGTCCAACGATGACGTCGACACCGGCGACTAAGGAGCATGTCAGCATGGGAGCTAGGATTCGGCATTCTTTTAGGCACAACTTACTAGCTGCAACGACGTTGCGGTGTTTCAGAAGCACACCTTTCGGAGTTCCCGTGGATCCCGACGTGTACATGATACAGGCCAAATCATCGGCTTGTGGAGGGGTGGGCTCCGCGGGGTTCTCCTCACCAAGCTTCACGAGCTCGTCGAAGCTCATGACCTTCAGATGTGGGTGTGCGCTCGTAAGAGCATCAATGTCCTTCTGCTTCGGCTCATGGTGGGTGCTGTAGACGACGGCGGTGACATCCTTCGCCTCTTTGAATGGGTTTACGAGCTTGGGAAGAAGGTGGGGGTCAGTGAACATGACCTTGGCGTGAGTCTGCAGCATCGAGTGCGTGAGACCCTCCTCACCGAGAGTGTCGTAGGCAGTGACGATGGCCATGGATTGCGACAAAGCGCCTGGAAGCAAACATGTCAGCGCTCAGCCTGATGCACAGGACGTGCCCAGGACATCTTACCGTGTGCCATGGTAAGCCATTGCGAGCTGGTGGACGCGAACTGGTGGAGTCGGTCATGCGGATCCATCCCTAGCTTCTTCAGCGCCGCTCCAACCGTGAGGGTAGCCTTCTCGAACTCGACGAAGCTCTGGAACTTGTACGGGCTGAGCTCGAAGTACTGCCACTTCTTTTCCACCTCCTGCTGCTTGCCGTCGATCATCTTCTTGACCTTCTTTGTCTCTTCGTGTATGTTGAGGATCTTGCGAGAGCCCACTGCCTTCGCATTCCCAAACTTAGACGACGAGTAGCGGAGAATGTCATACAGCGTATTGATGCCTTCATGTGGGATGAGTCTTAGCTCGTCCTTTGCCTTCACGTTCCGGCGCGGTATCGTCTCGCCCTCGACTTGCTGAGCTCCGGGAACCTCGACGGTCACGGGGCCTGTCTTGGTTGCCTTCGCCTGCGGCATCAGCTTCTTGAGGTCCTGCACCATGGCGGCGGATATTTGAGTTGAGAGGAGGGACTGGGGGGTCTGGAGGGAGGCAGCGGCGGGTAGTATGGTACTGCAATAAGTGGGAGGAGAGCGTAACTACGGGCCGCCAGCGGGAGCAAGGTGGAGTGAAATGCAGGTGGTCGGGGCAATGGGTTGAGCGGGCTTGGTGCAGGTTGTGGAGAGAGCTTGGGTCGCTGTGTGGCTCGTCTGGGGTTGCCCCCCAGTGGCGGGCGACGTCTGAAGTCGCTAGCAAGAAATGACGAAATGCATCCACCTCGCACAATCGCGCCTAAGGTACGGAGCCACTCCTCCCACTTCTGATATCGATGTCCCTGCCTCACATGAAGCCGAGCCGCAGCTGAGGCCTTCTGCCTTTGGTCAACCTCTCATTCGCAAATATTCGCCATCTTCCTGGCTGAAATACTTCCACAACAGCGTCAGCTCCCATCATGGATGGACAGCTCATCAGCATCCTGGGAGAGCCCGTGACAGACCCTGAAGAAGGTACTGCTTTTTGTCTTCGGCATCGTCTATGCCCCAGCCGAGACACCTAACGTCTTTTGCATCACTGGTCGCTCATTCAATCCATAGAAGCCTTCCTTCTGTTCTCGCAAGATATTCCGTCTCAGTCTCTAGGCTTCATTGACTCCAAGGCACCTGCTCTCAATATCACCGTTGCCGGGCATGATCTTACCATCCATCAGTCACGAGGACTTCTTCACTCAGACAGAAAGCAGGGAACGACGGGTGCAGGTTTGCACTGCCTCAGCCCTCGACTTGGCTTTCTTGGATTCGCTAATATATGCTCCAGTCGTCTGGAAAGTCACTCCCTTGTTTGCCGAGTGGGTAGCTTCACAGAACTTTGTTTTTGAAGCTGGTTACCTAGCAGCGGATTCTATTGCTCTTGAGCTTGGCGCCGGTGTCGCGGGGATTGTAGCCTTGGCCCTTGCCCCTAAGATCAAGAGGTATATTGCCACAGACCAAGGCTATGTGCTCCGCCTTCTCAAACAGAATATTTCTGAGAACTCTGCCACAAATTCTAGAAACGGTAATAAAATAGAGCGCTCCAGACACAAGCGACCTCATGCAGCGAACAACCTACCATCCTCCAATATAGAAACTCTCGAACTGGACTGGGAATCAGACCTTAGGTTAGCGCTGTATTCTGTCCTCGGGCGAGAAGACTCGATTTCTGACGGTGGCCCGAACGGGGTGGACTTGCTCATTGCTTGCGATTGTATTTACAACGACACGCTAATCGAGCCATTGAACGAGGCCTGTGCGCAGATTTGCCATCTGCGTTCTAGCAATCCAGAGGCGAGACCAACACTATGCCTCATCGCCCAACAGCTTAGGTCCTACGAAGTCTTTGAATCCTGGCTAAAGAGTTTCCATCAGAAATTTCATGTCTGGAGAGTCCCTGACCAGCTACTTATAGCGCCCCTAAGAGAGCACTCAGGTTTTGTCATTCACATCGGCCTCCTGCGATGAGTTTTACTACTTGGGACCTTCTCTACCTGTACAGCATGTGGTAGCGGCTAGCATCCTATGTCCGACTTCCTAACAATGCCCTTCCTTAATATCCCACAACCCTTGTATATTACAACGCCAATATCATTGTACGACATCTTCTTCTAGGGATTCACTACAATATGAATGCATTTCCTCCATTCCCTTTTATGTATGTACAGGCAATTCTCTGTCGATATTTATAAGTCTAGTTATTCCCGCTACTCATAGTACTCATAGTACTTTAGCGGATACCCTAGGACAGCACACTGTTCTAGCTCTCTAAACCCCTCTTCTCTTACATTCTTATCCAAAATCCTCACCATTGGCTTCTCTGCTTTTACAGGCTCCCACGAGCCAGATTCGCTTACGGCGGTCGATGTATTAGTGAACCCCCTCGCAGCAAGGAAATCCAAGCTCGGGTTAGGATTATGGTTCCTTGCGAACGCCGTCCAAGTGTCGACAACATATTGTGAGAAAGGAATGTCGCTGTCATCCCGGGGTGGTCGCCCTTGGCGCACAAGCGTTCCAAACACATAATACAACTCCCCACTATGGCATTTGAAGTATTCTTGGGCCGTATCACCATAGGGGCGAGCAGCTGTAATCGGAGCTTCGCAGGTGGGAGGATTAGGACTCCACTCGCTGATTTGATATCCCCGGTGAAATTCATAAGAGTACACTGGGGCAAAGACGTAGTTCTTTACCGCAGCGACAGCTGTTGATTGAGCTAGGCAACGGAAGGCCGCGTCGGTTGTGACTCGAGATGTTAGGTTGAAGATATTATATCTTGTATTATTGCCTTCGGGGACGGCGAATGCATTGGATCCAAGAATGGCCGTGGCATTGAAGCCCTGCTCCGAAAGTGCCTGAGAAGGGGATGAACTTGTTGAGAAGCTCGAAAAGGGATCACCATCGTCTCGCATAACACCAATCATCACGGGGATGTTCTGGAAGGACGCGGATCTATTCAAGAGCAATTCATTACTCGTCAGGTATGTGCCATCAACGACTGGGTAACTAATGAGATGTCAGCACTCTAGAAATCTACGTCTCCGCTTAATGACTAACCGTGCGACGTTTGCCGAAGTTACCAACTTCACGGGATCTTGAGCTCGGAGGCAAGCAAGCTGTACACTCCTATCCGTCTTATTCATCCATTGGCAATCAACCTCGTCTAAGAGCGCCTTCGTCTGTTGCGTGGACTCTTCGATGGTCATGTATCGAGAGAACGTCGAAGCGTACCCTGAGCCGCCTGGATTGCTCATCATAATCGCTCCTGAAAATTTACCTTTGGCCATCGGAGATGCAAGCAGAGCCCTGACCGATGCGGCACCCGCTGACTGGCCAAAGACTGTAATCCTATCACCATCACCACCGAAGTCTGCGATGTGCCCGCGCACCCAGTCAAGCGCGGCTATTTGATCGCTCAGCCCGTAATTTCCCTTGATAGTGGTGTTGCTTAAGGCAAGGAAACCTAGCGTAGACAGACGGTAGTTGATAGTGACGACCACAACATCGCCTCTCGAAGCCAGGCTCCCACCATCAAACGTTGGGTCGGAGCCCGTTCCTGTTGTAAAACCGCCACCATGGATCCAGAGCATGACTGGCTTCTTGTTTGATCCAGAACCGCCATTGGGGAGATATGGGGTCCAGATATTGAGAAAGAGACAATCTTCGGAGCATTTTGGCTCTGTACATGTGGGATAGGGGCACATCGGCGCGTAAGATAGCCCTGACACCTGGGTCGGCTCGCTTTGCGGTTGATATTTAGAGTATCCGAATCTAGCAGGTCGAGGGGTGTAGCGAATACCTAGGAACCGGAAGGAAAACTTGTCTCGGAACCCTGTGATCGTTTGGATTCCGGTGTTGATCGATGTCTGCCATTTTGGGCCAGCATCAGCATCTGCCGGCGAGCTCAAGGGAGCCGACTGCGAACACAGGGCCGGCAGTTGGGTTCCACACGAGATGGTCTGGATCTCTCCCTCCGGAGTTATCGCTCGACATCCAGAACTTCCTCCAATCCAGTGCACCGACCGCTCGTTGGTAGTCTTGTCGTAGTCCAAATATCGTAAAAACCCGAGATCTTTTGTACTATTTCCTAGCGCCCACAACGTCTCTCCAATGGCGGCACAGTTTGACCGAGCTTTGTCTTGCGATTGAGGCGTACTCAGGACTATTACGGCGGCTTGTCTCGAACTCGCATTTCCTAGTTTGCCGGTTGAGGATACGTTTCATCTATACACGAGTCTACTACGAACCATACAAGTCATTATGTGTGAGGATGGTCAGATCAGAGCCAATTGACTGTGGACTGGGCACTGCAGCCCTCACAGTCTTAGAGAGTCCAAAAAACAGTGCCGCAACAGCAAGACCAATGAATGAAGCCATTGCCTAGGTCCAAGGAGGGTGAAGTCAAGGTCGACGAAACAAGAGACATGATGGACGCGCAAATAGAAAAGAACACGCATCAATATATTCTTCTGGACTAGATGGTTCGAGCAAGGGTGTCATTCGCTAGCTATATTGAGGCTCTGTAGAGATAAATGAGTAGAGAAGGCTAGAGTGCTAGACGCGGAGAATCTTGGATCTTGGGACTTGGGATCGCCGCCAGCTCGACTAGCTCGACCAGTTGTAGATGGGTCATTGCGCACTGGATCTGCTCGGAGACTGTTATATGTTTCTTGTCGCTAGTGCGCGGAGTCCATGGTATTTGCTACGGGGTTGGGTTGTGATCAGAGGACACGTCGCGCGCACAGCACAGGACGTAGCGTCCGTAACTACTTATTTACCCAGATCGCGCCGCATTTCCAAGAAGGCATCGCAGCGTTGACGACAAGACGGCGTTGACAGATATATTGCAACAATCACGCGGCGATGCGAGTGTTGGGAAGAGGGTGGCTTTCGTGGTGGAGCTGCGGCACAGGCACAGGTCGACGTGCCGATGCGGTGTTTCAACAGGCGGCGGCGGGCCAGCGAAACCGCCCCGGAGGGCCGTGACCGCCAGATGTGGGAGTTGGGGAAAGAGCAGAGGAGAACAGAGCAGGAGGCCGCCGAACCACTCCTTCCCCCTGCAACGTGGCCGAAGCAGCCGCGATGGCGTTGTCGAGAGCAGTTCGCGACGCGTCTGCTCCGGTGTTGTTTCTGAGTGTTCCTGTCTGCGCGCGGGCTGTTAATAGGACGGGGATCTCTCCAACAACAGCCGCCCGTCACTGGTGAGCACACTGAGGTCATGGACACGCGCCAACATCTTACCACGCTAGCCGATTGATGCGGGCCCAGCAGCGCACGGCCAGGTCGATGCAGCAAATCATGTTTTTAGCCGTTTGGTCAGCTTCAAGGTTCGACGCTGCTCGACCGTCTCATCACGCTTCAGCCCCTCTCCCTTTTGCTATTCCGGCGCCCATCTTTTTTATCCCTCCCTCGACTCCGTCCCTCGTCCTCGCTGCCCGCTCCGTCCCCAAGCCCTCGACTCGAGCAATAATAAACAGCCCACTATCACTGCTGCACTGCAGTTGCACAGCCCACGGCGAAGCTGTCCACCATGGCTGACGGCGCCTTTCTTGATCCGAGCCCTCCCCCTCCACCGCTAATCCGCTGCGTCGGTAGTGGTTCTCTCACAGTGCCCGAAGGTCGCTTTGTACATATGCTTGGCACACCTGGCCCTAGCGTGGCCACACTAGGCCGTCTCTGTTCGCCTTCGTCTTCTTTCTTGCGCTTCTCCTCGTTCACCACCCACACAACCCGCAGCTTCTCACCACCCACCACCGCGACACGGCCTCGAGCCCTGCCAGCCCGCCATATATACTGACCTAGACACGCCGCATTGTCCACCAGTCTTCTCGTCGGCCGCGCGCGCCCTCTCTCTGTCCAACGGCCCAGTGAACGACGCCTCCCAGAGCCGCCTCTTGGGCCATTCCTGCCCTTCTCACCACAACAGCAGCGCGCTGCATGGACTCGGCTCGTCTCGACCCCTTAACCCATTTTCCATGAAAACCTCTCGCTCCGCGTCATCTGTTGAAGCCCTGCTGCCCTTATCGACCCCTCCCTCTCTCGCTGTCCTTGCTGCAACCCGCTACGACAGCCTCTTCTCCTTGGCCACACACCCTCCACACCACCCTCATCCGCATCAGAGTGCAAGTAACTCGTTAATATAGGTCGCTGGACCCGTCTTGTGTAGGCGTCGCCTGCTCTGCTTTCGTCGTTCGCGCATCTGGCGTCATGCGATCCAAAGCACGAAGAGCTTGAGCCAACCCACTACTCGAACTCTACTTCATCTCATTGCGACGGGCGTATTATGACAGACATCTCGTCGGTCAAGGCGCATGCTGATCCTCAGCCGGCTTCCGTCGCCTTCTACGGTGGTCCTCCACCTCCCGCCTTCGCCAACGGCTCTCCTGCTCTCGACGGCACCATCGACGAAGAAGAGTCGTCGACCATTAAGTGCATCTGTGGCTTCTCCGAAGACGATGGTAATACAGTCCTGTGCGAGAAATGCGATACCTGGCAACACATCGTCTGCTACTACGAGTCCACGCACCACGTTCCAGACGTTCACGAATGCAGTGACTGTTACCCGAGGCCCATCGACTCGAAAGGTGCTGCCGAGAAACAGAGACAACGACGGGAGCTACACAACACTGGTGAACGGAAGGGCAAGCCGAAGACAACTACGAAGAGCCACAAGAAGAGGGTGAAGGATCCTCTGGGCTCGGTCCAACCCAACGGTTGGGCCGTTCATTCGAACAATGAACTTCATTACAGCTCTGAACGGAAAAGCGGAAGCCCCCGAGATCAGCCTCCACCATACAAGCGACCGAAGACCAGCCATCGGACCTCTGGATCCGTCAGTACAATCAGCCAGCCTCCCGCGTTGGCTCCAGGATCTCGCAAGCGTGCCAGCTCAACCATGTACAACGGACAAAGCCCAGCTAAATCTCCCTCTAGTCCTGACGGCCCTTCAGCTGACGACTACTCACCGGAGTTTTTAAACCTCTATCGCCAGCCGGAGCCTCCGCCTACCGATTCCAATTCTTTCACCGACATCCGTGTTGCTAATGATATATCGTCTTGGCTCAAAGATCGTAACGCTCTTTCTGAGTCCACAGGGGGAATGGAACCGGCCCAAGTTTTCCAGCGAATCGACAAGACAATAGAAGAATTCGAATCTCTGGCGCCAACTATAGTTAAACAGACAGACGAGGACAACAACATAACTGTAAATGGGCTCCACCCCCAATGGCAATACCTTGTTGTCGAGAACTTTGTACCGAATGGTGGGTACATTGGCGAACTGAAAGGTCGAATTGGAAGAAGAGAAGATTACTTCTCAGACCCCTCGAATCGATGGGATCTCCTACGGCATCCTGAACCATTCGTTTTCTTCCCTCCCCACCTCCCTATATACATCGACACTCGGCGCGAAGGAACAATTCTACGTTATACAAGGAGAAGCTGCAGTCCTAACATGACAATGAAGATTTTGACACAGGGTGCAGAGAGCGGTTTTCATTTCTGCTTCATTGCACAGGATGATATCCAGCCAGGCGATGAGCTTACTGTAGGCTGGGAAATCGACTCTGAGATCCGACAGCGGCTCAACAACGCCGTCACTAACGGTGATATTCGGAAGGAAGGCTTCAAGAAGATTGAGCCCTGGGTGGCAGGCGTTCTTGCCAACTTCGGTATATGCGCTTGCAACCCAGAGCTAAAGGGTCGCGAATGCCTCCTCGACCGTGCTCGACGCCCTAACAGCTTCTATGCAGAGCCCTTACAGCCTCTGAAGTCGACCAAAGCAAAGAGAACGAAGAAATCGCAGATATCTCCACTCAGCACAGGACATGCGACCAACAGCCGCGCCGGCAGCGAAGCCTACAATCGCGACTGTTTGGAGGATGAGAACATGGATAGTCGTTCGACATCTGGCTCGCATAGTAAGCCAGGTAGTCGCGATATTACGCCTATGACTCATTTCTCAGTAGATGGAGACCTAAGGATGTCGGATCGTGAAAGGCGAAAAATACAACAACAGGAGAGATTATTCGAGCAGCTGGAGTACGATGAGCAACATAAAGGCAGAAGGCTAAAGAGGAATAGCGGCGGCTCCACGCTTAATACCCCCGGCTTCTCATCCTCAGTAAGACACTCTTCAAGACCTTCGCTTTTTGAAACTGACTCAGTTGATCAGAAACAGCTCGGCCACTCAGAACACTCCCCGTCTGCCCGGAACCCTCGCGAGCACAGCCACGGGGTGGCACGCAAAACGTCTGGAAATTCGACTAAGATGAATGGCTTTAAGACTCCGAAGTCGAAACCTGTTTATGTCGACACCTGGACGCAAACGGAAGACACGGATAGCACGGACGCACCTACGCCTGTACCGCCTCTGATGCATACTAGGGTGGGACCAAGGTCGCTCGGCTCACTTAGGTGGGGTGTCCTTCAACGAGCTCAAGAAACCAGGCTGCAACGGGAGCGAATTCGATCTGCGTCTGTGAAGTCTGAAGCCAAATCACCCGCTCTCAGGGATGTTTCTCCAAGCCAACCTTCACCTATAGCACCACCGGATTCGCTTGACGACTCTTCTGCAATGGACGTTTCCGCGGACCAGACAGCCGAACAATTAGTAAAGGATCCACCTCCGGCTCCAGCGGATGATGTAGAGATGAAGGACGCCGATGAAGCCACCGCTCTCAGGCCGACATCCCCCAAGGCCGAAGAAATGCCCGACGCCCCGAATCCTGAGCCTTCACTGGGAACCTCCCATCCTCCCATCCAGCCTCCTGCACCACCGTGGGATGCTGCAGCTCCTACCGCACTATCCGCCCAGCTTCCAGCAGTGACAACGACGATATCATCACCTCAAAAACCCGTCGATCTCCATTTACAACTTCCCCAAACGACTGACCTAGCCCATCCACCTTGCAATAATTCTGCGGTTACCCCCGGATCCGTCTCAAGTATCACCGGCGCTGTAGTCGCCCAATCCCCAATCAGCGTCGGCCCACACCCATCACCTTTCTCGCCTTCGGTCACAAACGCGGTGAATCCAGGTCCCGCACGCAAGAAACTCAGTCTCAGTGACTATACAAGTAGGAGAGCAAAGTTGGCGCAGACACAAACACACCCCACTGTTGGAAACAGTACCAGTCCGAATCCTGCTCTCCCACCCACACAGTCAACAAGCTCACCTACACTGTCTAATTCGAGCCTGCCGAATCAAACGAGCCCTCCTGCAAAACTGGCCGAGCCTAGTCCACTACTCGTAGTGACCGAAGAACCAAAGCCAATGCAGCCGATAAATTGAGAGGATCTTCTTTCTCTGCTCCTTCGGACATTCCTCTTTGTTCACGAAACGGGTGCTTTAAGCGCTGGCCGCGGCGACGCGACCTTTTAGATGATGGCCTTTTCCCTGTACATTATATAATTCTATGATGTCCTTCGTTCGATTCTCCTTTCCTCTTCTTGAACTTCTCCTTCTTTTTCGATGGCTTGATGGTTAATGGCTTTATGTCAGTCTTCGTTTCCGAAACTGAAGCGTTTTGGTTGGCGCTATGAAGGAGACATGTTTGGGTCCCTGGATCCGGGTGGGGACCTAGGGTTAGGAGGACTTTTGCCTCGATTTTCAAAGAGCCCCCAGGAAGAAAATCCCGTCTACATCTGTAGGGGTTCCTCTGTCCAAAACATGGTGGCTGGCGGCGTTTGTGAATGGGTATATGAACGGGTGGATAACGAGACAGGCGTTTTGAGCCTCGGAAGACCGTCGGGCTATGGTATTAGTAGCGCGGCGACAAGATTCCCATGTGTTAGTGCTGGTTTGACCTGGGTGTCGCTGCTTTTGGGGTTGCAGGGCTGTTTGTCGTATCTTCCCTGAAGGATGCATGAGTGCATGCATTATGAATGGAGAAAATACGGCCTAGGATAGCGGTGTGTGGTTGAGAATCGAAATGTTAAGGCTCCCAATTTACTTTAACTTATGGTTAGCGACTTTTGGGTGCAGAATTTAAGTGCAGTACGAGCCGATGCAGTGGTCGGCGGATGGGTTCTTCCGTTTCCGGAAGTGTAGACGTCAACAGCACGGATTTAGGCTTGCTGACCACTGTCCTCGTTTTCTTCCATTCGTATCTATAAAAATTAGAAGGAGTTGACCACGTTCTGCCGCTTCTGTTTTCCTGACTGCTCCATATACATCGTCACTATGAACGGTTCGATCCAAATTACCCTAGTGGCTTGCACAAGCCGACTTCTGACCTACAGCATGAAAGGCTGGCGCAAAAAGCATTGGTGCCTAGTCTCTACATAGCTTTAACTGAATATGTGGCAGTGCGAAAACCAGACCAGATCTATCAAAAGAAGTTCTTGGAAGCCTTGGTTCTGGCCTGGTAGAACGACAGACATCTGATCGTTGGTTTGTGCCGTGCGATGAGCACCATGACCATTTCTTCTCTAAACCATTCGATCTTGGCTTTTCGTTTTTCGGTATTCTGCATACAATACAAGAATACTTTCTTGCCGACTTCTATATCTCATAGTAACATATCCCGGTGTTTGGTTCCGTTCAATTTGCCAGAGTACCTTGCATTCTTAGACTAGACAAGCACAAACGAACTTGATACGATACAGCCATCATCATGTCGGGTAAGAATGATTCCAAGAATCAGAGCAGGTAGGAATAGATATTAGTTGGGTAATATACCTGAGCAGGGAAGGAATGGGGTGAGTGATCCACCGAGAAGTAGACTTCATTCAAGTGCAGCGGGCAACTATTGAGGCGGAAACCCTAGAGAGTGAGTGTGCCTGAAGACATGGAAGAATGACAAATCTGGGTTGCTGACTTATAGTTAGGGTCTGGATCTCTTTCGTGGGCAACAGCCACATGTCCATAATTCGTAAACCAGCTAAGTACGAAGGAATGACGTTAAACTCCTTCCTTTGAGACCTACTGGTTTTCTGGTACGGGTTACCTTGAACCGGGAAGTGGAGGTTTCTTCAGAAAATCGTGTCTGTGTATTACCACGTGGTGTGTCTCTTCTCTGTTATTATACTTCCAGTCGACATTCATAAAAACTACGACTGTATGTAGTGTGAATGTAATAACCGCACACTAGATATCTAGAAACTTATTAATTCAGCCGGGACCATGAGGTCGCCGCGCCAAAGCCTAACACAAAGGCCGCTTGCCAGCCACTTTAGATTCTTAATGCGACACCCGCCTAAAGGTGGGAGGTGAGCTAGCCTATTAGACAACATGCCTCAAACAGGCCACTAGCATCGAGGGGTTCTTTCGTCATGGAAGGAATCACTGAAGGGACCAATACCAGTTCACTAACTACCTTCACATTCTCAAGGAAGAACATGTTTGCACATGCTTATATTGTTAAACAGATGACAAGATTTACTAACTACGTCATGGTAACCTGCGGCATCGTGTACTGTGGAATCACCCTTTATATAGGCGCTGTCTTCGGGGTTATGGGTTATGAGTTTCCTAATCTACGCTCGCCTTCACAGTGGCTGTGATTGCCCGCGGGAGAATATTTGGGACTGTACTCTTTAGATTCTTTTGGTGAGAAGGACTTTTAGCGTGAGGAAACATTGGAAAGAAGAGTGCTTCGAGACAAGGGAAATCATCGCAGGCTAAGTTCGTAGAAGTGTGAGAATATAACTACACATAGGGCAGTTAGCCTTCCTAGACTCAATAGGGTTCGAGTGGAGACAGCGCTGAAGAATAAATTCTTCGAACCTTTTCCACAAGTAGTAGGGGAATTACGGATTGCTCCTTCTCTTTTGTTACTCCCTGATTTCTAAGGCTGTCTTGGCATCCATAATCTTGCTGCTAGTTTCTCGTTTTGTACTTCCGAATTGTAGTTGGTAGCAAATTAGATCCTAGATATCGGCTAAATTTACAACATCTTGGAGTCCTGCTATCACACATCTCTATAAGATTGAAAGAAGAGCCTCCCTAACTACGTGCCTATGTGCTAAGTGTCAACCCCTTCATTCTAAATACAAACACGCGAGACGCAGTTCTAACCGCTAAATTTCGTCTTCTCCACTACCAATCTCATCAGCACTAGCACCAGCGCGAGATCATGGCAAGCTTCCTCACAGTCCGCCCTGGGGTCTACTGCATCGAAGACCAGCCGCTGATCTCAAGATGCCGAAGCAGATGTGTGTCCCTCCCGACGAGATCAAAAAGTATACTTGTAAGAAGCGCATAGCCTAAAGACGAGTTATGCGAAATTTAAAGCTACATGATATCAATTTTGCGCATCATGAGAAGGCAAGAGAGATGGGTGGTCCTTTGGGACGAGCTTTCAAGTGCGAAAAGATATGTGCATGTGGGCGTGCTGGTCTGGAGAGAGGGGAGGATACCAGCATGACGCAAAACCCACGCACAGTGCACGAAAATCTTTGAAAAGCTGCTCGAACTGGAGAAGAAACCACGAGCAGAATACTAGAGAATGCTTCCAGCACATCTCAAACAAGTCACGCAAGACTAGCAGAAGCGACAAGTCAAGCACGAGAAAGAGGACGCTAGAATCCCATCGCTCTATTAAGAAAGCAGAAGCAAGAGCACCTTAAGAACCAGAGAAAAGAACTCAAATTTGCATAACTAGGTTCACATTCAGGGAGGTTGCATTCGATGTCGACTTGTTCTTTCAGAAGTATTTCTTGCTAAACACGGTAGAAGATGGACGAGTTCGTTTCTTAGATTGGATTCCCGATTACGGTAAGAAGCCTGGTGTTATTATTCTCTTAGGTGAGCCTTCCGATCGAACACGTGCAAGCTTGTTGCGACAAGCCAATCATATCAGTCTGCCGAGTCTTTGTCTGCGAAAATATATGAAGGGCTCTCTGATCCTAGGCTGGGATCGAGGAGCTGTGTACTATCATGGGATTCCGAATTGCACAGAAGACGATGTCCAAGATTTCGTTGTTGCCAGCGAGTTCCAGAATAAAATAGCGATGGCAAAGGACTGGATCTCGTGTGGAAGCATTGCAAGACTATTCCCAAGGTGTTTGATATTCGAAACGCAATTGAAAGTTACGTCGTCCCCTGCAAGGAGATACTAGAAGGCTGGGCGGCAATGACGAACTTGGATATAACGATGGGCTTTCCCCCGACTCCGATAACGGCTACGGCATGATTTTGGAATTGAATTTCAGGATCTATGAAAGCATAATGCTGCTTGCAGAGACGTTGGGTCTGAAAACAGTTTGTGCCTTGCCCACTGAAAAGGAGCGAGAGTGACCTATCATAACCCTGAAGAGCATTTCACCCACAATCAAACATTAGAAGAACACTCGGCGGTTCTACAAACGCCCTACGCCTGCAGCGTCTTTAGATACACATCCGAAAAGGCAAAGACGTTACCCAACAACATAGGATCCCAGTTTCAATGCCAAGGGCGGACTCTATACGGTAGTGCTGGAACCACCTCCAACTCCGCACGTAATCCAGAGAACCGCCACCTCCACTTCTCCTAGCGACGATAGATGGGCGAATACGAAATCGAAGTCGGATTCAGCGGATCAAATGAAGGTCTCATCGGCTTTGACTCCAAATTTCAAGGCACTACGAACTGCGGAGTTGTAGGTCAAAAACATCAGTTTCGAAGGGTTCAAGATTAACGAAGAGCAGGCAAGGTAAAGACACAGCGGGGGATCGCTGCGAATGGCAGTATGAAGCTAAAGTGACAGGTAGATGGGGGAAATGGCTTGGAGAACGGATCCCCACAGAATCAAAGGGGTATTTATGGGTTTGCAATCTCGTTTTGGGTGGGTGGTGAAAAACGTGATGTGCGGCTGCATTCGCGGCTGGCTAGCATAAATTATCAAGACCCCAAGTTCAAGACTTCATCAACATGTTGTTATAAGTATCAAAAGAAAAGAAAGCCTAGGAGAAAAACTCGGTATGCTAACGAGTTACAACTTCTGCGGCATCTCCACCCCATCAATTTCCACTGGTTCTCCGTCATTCGTGGATGCTGGCACTCCAGTTGGGAGGGGTCTGTATCTACATCAGTAAGGGTCACTTTCTTAGGTATCGGGGGAATGTGGTTAACTTACCCATTGCGCGCAGCAGCCCACTGCCTCCCATACGGACCTAAAGGAACTTCCTTTGCCCAATTCACTCTCGCTCCACCCCTCCCCATTCGCTTATCCTGCTCTACTGTCTGCAACCCCTCGTCTTCATACAACCTTGTAAAATGGCCCGTAGGACTGACATCAAACACGCCCCCAACACTCCTATGACTCACAGACCTCTCCAAACTATTTCCTGCATTCCTTGAAGAATTCAGTCTTAGAATACCATCCTCATCTCGCTCCCCGGCGCCATGTCCATCTTGGACGCCCGGAGAAACAGCAAAATATGCTGGCGGCAATGCCGAGAGTGGGTGCTTGCCGTATTGGTGTTGGAACATCAAACTCGGGCTTAGAGGACTGCGGGGTCTTCTCGTGCTACTCTCGCGTCTCATCTCCTCTTTTAATGTCCGGCTTCGTCCTATGAAGAAGAAGAGGAGAGCGCCTAGGAGAATCACGCTAACAGCCGCAACGGTGATTCCAGCGATAGCGCCGGTTGACAGCGCGGATTTCTTGGGTAGTGCAGGAAGCGAGGTGCCGGTTGAGGAGTGAACAGTTGGGAGGGACAAAGAAGATGAGGTGGGTGAGGCTTCACTAGGGAACTGGTCGCCGGGGTTGAGCATGAAGGCCGAATTCTGGGCCAAGTCGCGTTGGTGAGATAAGGAGGTCGAGGAGTTCTGTGTTAAAATATCAGTACTTGATTTGAAGGAGCAAGGGCCGTATGATGCCCTATAGGGTAGCTTAGACTAAGAGATTACAGGATTTATAACGCCAACCATCCCAAATTGAATACAGGCGTTCGGCGCACTGCAGTAGAAGAATATCGGACTCGAGTCGTTGATCTGGATCCGCCATTTTGGAGGCTAGAATCCATTAGCAATCCACATCTATCGTCTCGTCTCAACCCATCAATGTCAGGGAACTTACATCCGTCAACACCGAATCCACCGGATGAAACCCTGAAAAGAATCCCACTTTAGCTTTCCCAACCATTTCAAATGGTATACACGGGTATTCATATTCCGCGCGCACGACAGAATGATTTTGAGGGTAAAAGTCAAACTCGACGATCTGGTATTCGCCCACTTATCAGCAAAGTATTTAAGGGCTAGAAGGAAACTTGGAAAACAAAAATACAGTAGGGCAACTTACAGATCCAATTTCCGCTTGCGTAACATCCGGTCTGAACTTATGATCTCCATTCCCTACAGATATGGTATACGTCTTGGCCGGGGTCGAAGAAGTGCGGCTTGGACTTCCTAACTGCGAGGGTGAGGGCGAAATCGAAGAATTTGCTGCAAAAGAAACAGCAATCAGATAACAAACACCCAGCCATAGTGGGTATATCCTGAAAATGGCACACATCTTGCGGTGCTCTCCTTTCGTTAAACTTCTAGTCGTTTGGCGCCAGGAAAAGGATCAAACTAGGTTATATCTGAGACTTCGTAAAGGTAGTGTTAAGTCTGATGGCGGAAACCTCATGTTCCGGGTACACAAAGTATTCAGGTCCCATCTTGCAGACCACCCCTTTCAATATAAGCTGCAATTGGCCACCACTGCGTCTGGCGCAAAGCTGCATATGGCATTGGTTGAGAACACAGCCCCTCCCCAAAAGTCACGAATAAAGACGTTTCAGAAGTTGAAAGAATGTAGTCGCTTTTAGAGTAACTAGAAAGTGAAGAAGAATAAGGACGAGAACAAAGGGTGAACCTTGGCTGTCGGGCTTTCGCGTCTACTCAAGAAAGAAAATTGTGTAGAAACGAATATGCGGATTTTAACGTGGAGAATATACATACGTAATTTACAGGCGAAAGACGTTTGAATAACATTAGTTTGGGGTTTTGAAGATACCCAACAATTCAGCCCACAGCCCCGTACATTCTCAGAATAGGAACAACGACATACCCTTGTTAGATCCACAACCAATCGCAATCCGCCCACACTATTGTCCAAGGCTGTAACGTTGGCATCACGCATGGTCCTCGTGTTCGCATGCATCACTCGAAGGTATTTCTGGAATGATCCTTTCTCATTCTGATACTGTGACGTTCATCCAATAACGTTAAAGAGGGTGATTTTACTCTCGTGGTGTCATTACATCATTCGATATCGTGCGAGGGTAGTAGGGGGCATTTGAGATGTATCGTAGTGCAGCCAGCAACACGGGGTGAATGTTCAGCCGAAGATAGAGATGGGATCTCACAACAATTGGAAAACCTAAAAAATTACAACCCCCCAGGCTTTTATTTCGCTCTATGGAGGAAACTGGAAATCTCAGTAAAGAAAGCCATTCATTCCAGCGTACCCTGATTACCGTGACCATCTGAAAGCATTAATGCCATCACCGTGATCGTTCGGAAGGATTCCTAAATTTCTACGTCTTTCCGCAGTCTCGGACTACATTGATCTCTCTCGTCACCGAATATCCCTGAAACTCGCCCAGGTGGTAACCGATATTAGAAAATAAATGTTCCCGTCATAATTAGCATTCGGGTTGCGATGTTAGAATCCTTAAACCGTTTGAGGTGGAGACACACGTGGTGCAGACATGTTGCCACGGTAGCGCTTTCCGCTATTCAGCTTAGACCTGGGTCACCGAATGGGTCATTGCTGGAAGAACTGCATGTTCTCGACGCGTAACCAGAAGGAGCGGCGGAGAGTTTCGGTTGGGATTCGGGAGCCCAGATTGGGAAGCCTTCTGGTGGTTGGGACTCCCCAATTGGTTTTCCACGAGAATATTCTGCAAGGCTTCCATTAATTCCAGTGAGAGCCCATGCGAAAACCGCAACATCTCTGATGCTCCTCATGAATTCATTCTGGAACGCTGAAGTAGGGCCGACTTGCGCCATAGCTGGATGTTGAGCTCCAAGCGGAAACGGCGGCGGTCGTGGGAGAGGAGGCAGAAACATGGGTTCCGGAGCCCAAGGGGCTGCAAATATACCGTTATGATATGGAGTTTGTACAGTTGGCATGGCGGTTGGCACCATCGGGCGAGCGCGGCGTAGACATACAACAAGCCCATCAGAAGTACAAGACACAACAGCTTCAAGCTCGATTCGCTCATCGCGGGCTTCAGAATGAGGTGAGGCGGCTGGTAAAGAGGAAGTAGGTGAACGAGGCCCAGAATCCTGCCCCAAAATGCCAGTATGTGTTTCAGACAGATGAGTACTGTCTCTAGAGCTTGTGCGAGGGTTCGAGTGTGCTCCCTCACTATTGAAATCCATGCTGTTGGACGGATTTAGTCGACTATGACTAGAAGAGTCGCCATTAGACGTGAACCGCTCTCTAAGATCCACGCCACCTTCCGATTCGTCCTCTGATGAGGTAATATCAGTCATCATCTCGTCCTCGCTCTCAGACGCGTCAGCATCAAGCGGATCATCCTGGCGAGGATCGCGGAAGAAGAAACGCATATAAGCGATGGAGTCGTTACCCTTTGCAGTCTCCAAGCAACGGACAGCATCCTCAAGACAGTTCTCTTGAATGCAGTAGTAGAAGCTGCGTCCTTTCATGGTTTCACCAGATATACCGATGATTTGCTCAATGCCGCTTGTTGCATACATGACGGTTAACGTGCGAGTGAATCGATTAAGGAAAAGTGCAGCACGAGGTTCATGCGTCTGCTCTTCAGGCCCGAGACTGAATTTGCTGGACAAATGTGATAGCATGTGATAACGGGGGTCCTTAGGCGATGAGGCAAACAACCGACGCACCAGTGGAGCTTCAACCGCTCGCTCTGATTGGCTGTGTCAGACGTGCAGAGAGGGATGGGGCACGGGTAACATACTCTGGCTGCTCATGCCACGACGATAGATCGAGGTACAGCACACCATAACGTCGTACACAATAGAAAAGCAGCACTCGCATCCTACCCAATCGCCCTGGCGGTTACGAATGCGGCAGTAGGAAAGGACCGCAGCCTTGTCGAGTCTAACGCCTCGACTATGGAGCTGTTTTGCAAGGGGAATCTCTTCAGGGTGGAAGAACTCCCAGCAAGATCTATTGACTACTTCGTCAGGCGTGTGACCGAGGATGTCAACAATCGAGTCGGAGGAGTAGAGAATGTGGGCATCCTCCGTGAGATCTGTCACACTAAGCATTGATTTGTGTTGAGCAAGGCAAGAACGGATAACTTACCGTGTATGGTAATGAAGGTGGTGTCCATTGTTGTAGACTCCTATACTGGATGGTTGAGGGAGCTCTTCGAAGTCCGCTATGGTCCGCAATGTCGAATCTAATAATTCGCTCTGGGCCAGCGGTGAAGGGGTGAAGGGGTGAAGAGGAAACTCGAGGGTGTTCGACGCAGCTACAAATAGGCAGGAGTAGTGTTCTACAAGTAGGCGCAGGATGCACGAGTCGACTACACCGAAATGAGGTTGCGGAATACAGGGTAACACTTAGGGAAGCGACCACGGGCAACAGAGAGTTTGAGCTTTCGTCCACGCGATGCCGTCGATGCTTAATGATATGTGAAGAAGGTTAAGAAAAGGAGGACGCAACTGCGCTAGAGCGAGGCTGAGAGGATACGACCCGTGGGATCGAGGATGGATAAGGAAGTATATATGATGATCTGGAGGGGGTATAACCTACTCAGAACGGCTAGCTCAAGGTTAGCTCTCAGTTGACCTTGTCCTGGCTGTAGCGCCTCAACCGTGAGGGAGCAATCAGGAAAGCGTACACCGATGTGGAGTCAAGGGTTGAAGCCGTTGACAGGGCTCGCGGAAGCAGAGGAAGAGGAGGCGAAGAAGAAAGCTGCAGACGGGACGAGCGCCACCACGGATGTGAACAGGTTCAGGCCCTGGGCTGCAGCGAATGACGACAACCAATCGATAGCTGTGCCTGCGAGGGACAGCTCCTGCGCTCGGAGTGGGGACCGTGGGGAAGAAGAAGAGAAGCGTAGGGGTGAAAGTTTAAGATGTGCTGTGAAAGACTAGCTGCTGTGGACGATTGACGCCTGCCTCAGGTGGTGATCTTGGAAGGCGCGAGTACAACCTGAAAGCAGAGGGGGATGCAGTTGCGACCGGGCCAGTGTCAGGACATGGCTGTGTGCGCTCCGGCTGCAGTTCGTGGCATTACTAGAGGACAGAAACGGGGTCTTGTAGGGCAGAGGAGACGAGGAGGGAGAAATGACTGATGTGTGCCACGACGGCCTCAGACCTGCGTAAGAAGAGCTGTCGAGGAAGGTGTCAGTTTTGTCGTCCATTGGGGACAAGCCCAGGCCTAGGGCCACACGTGCGCAAAAGTCCTCGAGGATCTGAACCTTCTGCAGGGCGCTGCGCCGCTGTCTGCCGTCGATAATTGCCTTGGCTAGTGACTAGAAGTGACTAGAAAGTCCCTGTGATGTCTCTTCAGAACGGTTTCACGGAGGATATCAAAGGATTGGAGCCCTGGTCTGAGCGATCTGTCGTTGCAGACCCGCGGGCCAACCACGTAGGCGTAGGCATCGCTTCCAGGCTCGTCATTCTTTCCCACCATGATTTGCCCCGTGCTCAAAGCGGAAACTTCCAAGGTTTGGACCGGAAAACCACATTGCGCACTTCGGAGGGCGTTCCGAATGAATCGGTCCACCGCAGCAGGCACTGCGAGGAGGAGACAGACTTCAAGCCGTTATCTTCGCTATTCTCGCCCCTCTCAACCTCCATCCTTTCTGGTCTCACAGCTTCCCGGGACCCTCTCTAATCGACGATCGTGACTGGTCTTGGTGCTCTCCTCGCCAAGAACAACCACTCCCCTCCACCCCTCCAACCTTACGACTCAATTGGACACAGCATCGCGTGAAGACACGTTTGCTCGAGCTTGAGCAAGGGACATCCTGATAGACCTCATATTTGGCGTTGCCGCTGCGCCCAAGCTGTATTCTTTTTTCTGATGAACCAATTCTTCACGTATTCACAACAGCGGTCTGATCTTCCCACTAACACCCACTGCATTCCGGAAGCCCTCGCTCATTGGTACGCGTTCCGCGCAGTGCGCCAACACCCCGCCAATCCGCTTCACCTCAGCTCCTTCACCCTGCATTAATTGCGACTCCTTAGGCCGCCGTACCGAGGACATCCGGCCGACCTCAACATGCAGCAAACCCACAGCGAGCTGCCGTCGCTTCGAGCAACCATCAGGCTTGGGGTACGTTTCTCAAAAGTGGCTGCAGCAACCTATGCCCCTCACTAACTGTTTCCCTATAGGGCAAAGACTCGAATACTCCTAGTAGGTGACCTTTTGAACCCCTCGACTCTGCTGTGCGCGGCTGATGGGTGGCTTCCAGCTCCCTGGTTTGATGTCAAGTTTTACCCGTACACACCACCAGGTGCGGACCCGGTCTTTGCCGTGACAGGAGGCTGCAATGTTCGTGATACCTTTTTGTCCTGCTCTAGGCTAGTCGCTGATTGGCCAGACCGTAATCTGTCGATGTGTCTTGCAGAAGGAGAACTCCATCGAGATCATCCGGTGGTTCAAAGACGATGACGAGGTTTGTTTGCCGCCTTTGCAGATGACGAATGGCACTGGCTAACTACTTCTGTGTGGCTGCTTCCAGGACGTCGCACTTAACAGCATTGAGTGGTCACGTGCAGCAAATGGAGACCCACTCGTCTGCGTAACGGGAGTAAACCCCCTTATCAAGGTTCTGAATGTTAAGACAGGCGGACTGGTAACGGTGCAGTCAACCTCGCTGCCAATACTATCGGGTCTTAGTTGACAGTGGTGCAGACGCTTGCAGGGCATGGCGATGTAAGTCCCGGAGCAGCACTGCCACGTCTTGTGTTCGGCAGGTTTACTGATGGACTCAAAGAGCGTCAATGACCTTGCGACGTCTCCCGCAGACCCTAACATCATAGCATCAGCTTCCAAGGACAAAGCTATTCGAATATGGAGTCTAGATCCCGACCATAGGAAACAACCAACCGCAGCCATCTGCTTCGGCGAAGGCCACAAAGAAAATGTGTTGGCTTTGGTGTGTCCCTTCAACTTCTAGACATGCCTAGCTCCTAATTTCTCTTTAGGGATTTCACCGGAAAGGCCAGTACCTCCTCTCAGGTGGGATGGACACGACGTTGAATCTGGTACGCTGGTAATCCAAATCTCTTATAAATTTATACTATTTAGGATTGCAATTAGACTGACGAACACAGTGGATGATTCCCAAATTTCAGAAAGAAGATTTGGGAACCGACAATCCCTTGCTGATTCACTACCCTTATTTCTCTAGCACTGAATTACACGTTGATTATGTTGATTGGTAAGAACCTTTCCGCGCACATCCTCGGCCATTTGTAGCACTCAGGCTTGGGGCAAGCTAACCAGCTCGAAGTGTGAAATTCCACAACGATCTCATCCTCTCCCGCGCCTCCAAAGAAAACAAAATACTCCTCTGGCGCATCGACCACTTCGACTCGAACAAACCGCCTCCAACCTCCGCCCCTATGCCTCCCCACCAAGTCAAGTTCATCGACAAGTTCGATAAATCTAATAGGAGCAACACGTTGGAACACGTTGCGTATTCCCACGCAACTAGCACGCGGTCTGCCTGGGGCGGCCGGTTCCAACGCCTGTTGCAATTTGATGAACCTTTTTCCGAGTTCTTCTATATTCGGTTTAATTTATTCAGCGAGTTAGGTAAACACCCAGTGCTTGCGGCGGGCAACGACAGGAGTCGAGTGTTTTTCTGGGACTTGCAGAGACTGGAAGAAGCTAGTGCGACAGGAGAGGACTCTAAACAGCCAGAGAAGAAGACAAAAAAAGATACAGTACTGAGTCGAGTTCGTGAAGGCAGTACCTATTCAAATGCGTCTTCCGGGGCTGTATCCATCAGCTCTGCGCCCACTTCGACCACTATTTCTGCAGAGTCGACATCTACGAAATCTGCGGTGAAGTCGAAGCAGGTGAAGGAGAGGGAAAAGGAAAAGGAGAAGGAGAAGGGCGACCGCACGACTGGAATCGGTGATCCGTTCCGTTCAATACAAGCCCATAAGACCGTTATGGTACCTAAGATTTCGTTCATGGTGCGCCAAGTAAGCTGGTCGCGAGCAGGCGACTGGTGTGTTGCTTGCGGAGATTATGGGATGATCTGCCTCTTCTCAAGATGGGAAACTGGAATCCCGGATCCAGAGGGTAAGACATTATCATTGTTCTCAAAGTAGCGTGTAGCGTGCTACGCTAATAGAGCATTCTAGGCTGAGGTACAATTATTTTTGGATGTTTCTAAAATGGGAAGGATGCCGAAGAAGTAGCACGTCTTCGCCGCTGCCGCCCAAGGAAAGGGGAAGTGCCATCATAAATCTTTTAGTCGGATTGGCTCAGTTGACAAAAAATACCTTTGCTGTTAAATAGGCTCTGACAGCTAGCTGCTTATAGTATGAGCACTTAAGTAGCAAGAGTAAGAGTGGTGTACAGTGTGCACAGCGTACAAGGTAGGTAAGGTGAGGGCAACATGTTTCTAGTTCTATTGCTCTTGTCTTTCCTCTGTACAGAGGAAAAGGGGGATATCTAGATGTTCGCGCACAGAGGTTCGCGCACAAGCATCATGTGACATAGATACGTGATCCTGCTCGTGCGCGATCGCTCGTATCCAGGCCGCGACGCTGCTGCTGTGTACAGACACTGGCAACTTTTCTTTTTGTCTAAAGAGTTGCCTTCTGTACGCGTTACCTCCCTTCTGTCTGTGTAGGTCTATCTAATTACATTC